CGGAAACCTCCCCGGGGAGTGTGGGAGGGTCAGACAGGAGGTCAGTGTCTCGCACTGGGGTCAGGACACAGGCCTTTAGGACAGGATGCTGAAGACACAGAGCAACATCTGCCTGCAGCCAAGCACGGACGGCCTTTTCGTCCGCTGGACACGGAGCTCCCTCTCCTCCCGCCCCTGACCTCAGGCTGTGGCTCTCCAAGCCCCCCCTCTCCCCCCAGCAGGGAGACATGGTTCTGGAAACAGAGATAAGGGAGAATTCAGCTCCTCCTTTCGGCTGTGGGTGCAGGGAGCCTCAGTCGCTGATCCTTCCGGAGCGGAGACCACAGTCCACAGTCCTGGGGCTTTATCAGGGACGCTGCCTCCCTTGCACTGCAGCAGGTGACACAGCAGGAGGCGCAGCGGCCTGCCTGTCTGACTGAGGGCCCTGCTCTCTCCTCTCTCGTGTGCTCCTGCAGGACCAGGGGGTGTGGGATTGGCAAGCCTTTCCGGCAGAGGAATTTCTTTGTGTCTTGAGCCCTCATCTAAGTGGCTACTCCTTGGGGGCAGAAATATGTCTATCATGACCATGCCTGGAAATATGTCACAATCACTGGAAAAGGGTGGTCCAGCACAGAGGGATTGGCACAAAATACTCAACGTGATGAGAAGCAAGGACCTACAACCCAGATTCCTCTACCCCGCAAGGCTATTGTTTAGGATTGAAGGTGAGATAAGAACTTCCCAAAGGGCCCGGCCAGCAGTGCTCAGTGGCTGAACATTGACCTATGAACCAGAAGGTCACAGTTCGATTCCCGGTCAGGGCACATGCCTGCATTGCAGGTTCTGTCCCCAGCTCCAGTCAGAGTGCATGTGGGAGGTAACCAATTGGCAGGTCACTCTTACATCAATGTGTGTGTGTTTTCTCTCTCCCTCCTTCCCTTCTACTCTTTCTAAAAATCAATAGAAAAATACCCTCAATTAAGGATTAGGAAAAAAAAGAAAATGGCAACAACTACGTACCTATGAGATGGATTAAATGCTCCAATCGAAACCCAAATGGCCCAGTTGGCGTGGCTCAGTGGTTGAGCATCAATCTATGAACCAGGTCACAGTTCAATTTCCAGTCAAGGCACATGCCTGGTTGTGAACCTATTCCCCAGTAGGGGGTGTGCAGGAGGCAGCCAATCAATTACTCTCATCTTTGATGTTTCTATCTCTCTCCCTCTCCCTTCCTCTTTGAAATTAATAAAAAAATATATATTTTAAAATATATCTTATTAATTTTTTACAGAGAGGAAGGAAGATAGTTAGAAACATTGATGAGAGAGAAACATTTATCAGCTGTCTCCTACACCCCTCCATGCTCCACTGGGGATGTCCCTGCAACCAAGGTACATGCCCTTGACTGGAATGGAACCTGGAACCCTTTAGTCTGCAGGCCGACGCTCTATCCACTGAGCCAAACTGGTCAGGGCTAAATAAATATATTACAGAGAGGAAGGGAAAGGGATAGAGAGCTAGAAACATCAATGAGAGAGAAACATCATTCAGCTGCCTCCTGCACAATCCCCAGTGGGGATATGCCTGCAACCAAGGTACATGCCCTTGACTGGAATCAAACCCGGGACCCTTCAGTCCACAGGCTGACACTCTATATCCACTGAGCAAACCAGTTTTAGCTAAAAATATATATTTTAAAAAATCTTCAGGAGCGGGCTGGAGGGGGGTCAATGAGGGAAAAAAGGGGACATATGTAATACTTTCAACAATATTTATATATACTTAAAAAAAAAAACAACACCTTATTATCTGCGATAGCCTGGATAAACCTAGACGGTATTATGCCAAGTGAAGTCAGAGAAAAATATATACTACATGATTTCACTTACGTGTGGCATCTAAAAAACAAAGTAGCCCTAGCTGGTTTGGCTCAGTGGATGGAGCGTCGGCCTGCGAACTGAAGAGTCCCAGGTTCAATTCCCGTCAAGGGCACGTACCTTGGTTACGGGCACATCCCCAGTGTGTGTGTGTGTGGGGGTGCAGGAGGCAGCTGACAGATGTTTTTCTCTCATTGATGTTTCTGGCTCTCTTTCCCTCTCCCTTCCTCTCTGTAAAAAATCAATAAAATATATATTAAAAATAAATAAACAATAAACAAACGAACAAAGGAGAGAGAGAGAGGGGAGCTCAGAGATACAAAGAACACATGGCTGGGTGCCGGGTTGGGGGTTGGGGGGTGGAGGGCCGGGTGAGACGTGTGAGGGGATTAGAAAGTGCACATGGCAGTTACAGAACAATCGTAGGGTGTGTCGCACAGCGTGAGGAATGCAGTCAATAACTTAACTGGTATCATGCTAGGGGTGCAAGACCATGGAGAGGGATCACTTCGTAAGTTATATAAATGTCTGACATGCTATTCACTTGGAACTAATACAGTATTAAGTGCCAACTGTAATTGCAATTTTGTTTTAATAAAAAAAAAAAAAAAAAAGCCAACGGGAGGACAGAGTTTGGTGGCCAACCAAGTCCAATGGCTAAGGGATCGCAAGATGAGACCTGCAGTCTCCACGGGGCACGTGAAGGTACAAGGTGATTCCATTGGAAGCTCAGAGGAAGCATCTCGTACAGAGATGGAAGAAAAAAGCGTCTAGAAGTGCCCCTGAGCATAAGTAATGCTGCCCCCCGCTGGCTGTCACAGCTCAGTGGCGGAGCCTCAGCCCGTGCACCAGGCCATGGCTTCATTCTGAGTCAGGGCACACGCCCAGGCTGCGGGCTCCTTTCCCAGTAGGGAGTGTGCAGGAGGCAGATGATGATGTTTTTGTCCCTCTCTGAAATCAATAAAAAGTTATTTTTACAACTTTTTGTGCAGGCTTGCTTATCATAGTTAGGTCCCTGATATTCACGTCTATGAAAAGCCAGGAAGATGTGAGTCTGTGAGGCTGATACTAATGGATGAGGTATGAGGTACAAGCAAAAACAAACAAACGGAAACATAAAATATTTACCTGGTACTTCCCCTGCACACACCCGCCCACTTGATGGGTATTACAAGGGACAGGTCAGCTTGTGTTTGAAAAAGGGACCAGGTCAAGGTCCTAAGCACAAACACACAGTCCCTGTGATGCGCCTCTGGGCCCCGCCCACCGCCCCGGCTTCCAGCTGGACCCCAGGCGGGGAGGTGTGCTGACAGCGGGGCATCCCCCAACCCTGTCCCCTCTGAGAAAAGGTCTCTCTCTTCCCTTTGACCATGTCTCAATTCAACATCAGAAAAGAAACAAATCAGACATTTCTCAGAAACTGAGATTTTATAAAAAGGCATCTTTCTCTTATATCCATAAAATGATATAATTTTTTCCAAGTATAGAAATGTGTCATAAATTATACAGAATGCTCCTTAATTACAGTTCAATGCAACTTGGTACTTTCCTCCCTCCCTAAAAAATGAGAGAGAACCAAAAAAATAATATATAACTGTATACATATATATATATATAGATTTGTATTTATATTTATATAATAGACAAACCAAATATGAAAAAAAATCGTTTCCTCTTTGGTATAAAAATCAGACTCTCACCTCGAGACGCACAGACAGACACGATGTTGGGTTTGTAAACTGTGTGGCCCCAAGGGCTTTCCCTGTCAGCTTTCCCTCCCCCCTCGGAGGCCGCCCGCCCTGCCTCCCCGCAGCCCACTCGCAGCGCCACGGGGCTCCACCCGACGGAATGTTCCAGATCCCTGTGCCCCACACCCAGCGCCCACCCTTCCTGAGGACCCTCCACCAAGACGAGGAAAGGTTCGCCCATGAACGGAGGAAGGAGGTTGCTGAGGCTCCCGCCAGGCAGGTGTAGACCAACGTGTGGCCTCCACCCCCGCCTCCCAGGGGCTGGGCTGGGGGTGGGGCCCCGTTTACCAGCTTCCCCTTTCGGGCTGCCCGGGGTGCAGGTGCCCGGGGTGCAGGTGATGGAGAAGCCAGAGGAGGGGGAGGAGGGAGCCCAAAGGGACCCTGCTAATGGACTTGAGTCTACATCGAAAACGAAACAAGACCTTTTTTCAGGACTAAATTTCACCCCCAGCTTTTGGTCAGAGAATGACTGGGCCACATTCCAGCAGGACGTACGGACGACAGGAGCTGACCTGCTGACCCGCGTGTGTGGTGGGGGAGGAGCGGCTCTTCACTCTCCAGGTGAGGAAGGAACGGGGACCAGACCCTCCTTTATTCTCTGCGCGCCCTACCCCTGCTAACAGGCACCTCCATCCCCATCGCCTCACTGCCCCTCGGCCCCCGAGGGCCACCTACCGGCAGCCGGGGGTGGGCACCTGCGGGTGCCAGCCTCCTCTTTCCCAGGGGGGGTTAAGACACCGACCATAACACAGACGTCACTCAGAGGCCTCCTCCACAAGCCAAATAAAAAGGACAAAACCAAACTGGACACAAACACAAACCAAGGAGAGACATACCCGACGTGAGGGCCAGCAGGCCTCTGGCTTCCCGGCGATACATTCTCATGTGATGGGGGACGAGGCCTCGAGGGCCCCGGGGACGGGGAGTAGAAAAATACAGAGACGAGTCTCCCTGCGGTTCCCAGGCAGCAGGGGCAGACCCATCTCACAGTTTCTTCTTCTGCTTTTGGTTCCACATCTGGTCCCCCACAGGGGCTGGTTCCGGATGGCCAAGCCCCTACTCTGCTCGAGGCCCGTGCCCTCCACCTCCCAGCCACAGGAGGCCCCGGCGGGGAAGGTCCCAGACGCCCCTGATGGGGCCGCAGGGCAGAGTCCACCAGGCAGACGCCGGGAAAGGCAAGGCAAAGGACCCGCCGCTGAGACCCGGTGCCCCGGCGGCCGGCCCGCCCGCCCGCCCGCCCGCCCGCCCGCGTGCTCAGATCGGCCGGGGCAGGAGGCGCTCAGATCGGCCGGGGCGGGAGGCGCTCTGATCGGCCGGGGCGGGAGGCGGCCGGGGCAGGAGGCGCTCAGATCGGCCGGGGCAGGAGGCGCTCAGATCGGCGGCGCAGGGCCCGGCCTCACCCCTTGAGGGGCTTGTCGGCGCCCCCGCCCGGGCTCCCGGCGCCGTCGCTCTTCTTCCTGCGCAGGCTCTCGATCCAGCCGGAGCTGGAGCGCGCGGCGAAGCTGGAGAGCGCCAGCGAGCTGAGCCGCATGTTCTTGCCGGACATGATGAGCTCCCCGAAGCCCTCCTGGTGGGAGAAGGCGTAGCCGGAGCGCCGGGACCCCGCGCGGCCCACCCGCCGCATGCAGCGGTGCTGGGCCTTCTGCTTCCTCCGCACCAGCTGCGTGTAGCGGACCTGGGGGAGCGCGAGGGGGAGGGGCCGTCAGGGCGGCTGCGTCAGACACCCCCCCCCCATGGGACCCGGAGCCCCCGGACAGGGCGGCACGGGGCCACCTCCAACAGGAGGCGGGGCCCGGGCGGCGGCTGCGAGGGCTCGGACCGGAGGGCCGGAGGGGCCTGACGCCGCTCTCACCGTGTCGGAGAGGTCGGGCCGCAGGCTGAGCTTGAGGAACCGGAACGCGACCACAGGCAGGATGCAGACGACCGTGGTGAGCGCGATGGTCAGCCACACGGCGGGCTGGGCCAGGGTGTTCTGTGCGTTCCCTGAGGAGGCAGAGGCGTCACAGGGGGCACAGCTCCCCATTACCACTCCTGGCAGCCCCCTCCCCCAGCCTCACAACCCGTCATCCTGGCTCCCGGCTCCCCCCTGCTTCCCATAGAAATATCTCCGAATGTGACTCAGCTCCACACTCCCCCAGAACGCCAGGCCTGTTCTTTAATCGCCTCAGGTGACATCTCTGAACATCCAACCGGCATCTCATCCCTAACGGCCACGGTGAGCTCTCGTGCCCTCCACCCAACCTGGCCCCGGCCCCAGCTCCAGTCCGTGGCCGTCACTACAGCCCTGAGCCACCTCGGGCTTCTCTCTCCAGCTGCTCGCCCGAGCCGTTGGCTCTATTCCCATGGCCATCCTATGGCATCCCGCCCGGTCTGCTTACTGCAGCCACCGCTGCTCTCCCGGGGTGACTGCTAGAGCACCTTTCCCTCCACACCTCATCACCCAAAAGCAGCAAGTGTGATCCTTTAAAACCACAAGTCGGTTTATGACAATTCCCTGCTCAACGCCTCTCAGGGCTTCTTCTCGCGTTTAAGTTAAAATGCAAAGTCCTTACTTGGACCTACACACACACACACACACACACACACACTCACACTCTCTCTCTCTCTCTCTCTCACACACACACACACACACACACACACACACACACACACACACGCTCTCCCCTGCCAGGCCCTCCCTGCGAGCCCCCACTGCGGCTTCTGTCTCACTGCTTCTGCTTCCTGGAGCATTCCTTCCCTTTATTCAGATTTCTCTGCACCAACGGCCCTTCCTCAGAGGAAGGATGACTGTTCTCACCCCTCTCTACCCTACTTGGTGTTTCTGGGTAGCTCCAAACAGTGTATCTATTAACTTATAGGCTGTCTTTCTCGCTGAAATAGGGAACCTGGGAGGCTGAGGACTCTGCCTGTTTGTTAACGGCTGCATCCCCGGCATCCAGCACAGCGGGGACCTCAGGAGGGCTGACCGAAGGCCCACAGGACGACCAAGTGAAAAGATCTAGAGAAAATGCCAAAAGCACAAATGCATCTCTCCCCTCTTGCCCCGCAACAGCCCCTCCGTGTGCCTCCCACCATGGCCACCTCGTCACCAGCGTGAACAGCCGTCCCCTCAGTCCCTGCCGGGGTTTCCTCACTGGCCATCACTGCCAGAGTCATCTTTCTGAAGTGATCTTTTGCTGCCATTCCCCCTCTCTCCTCAAAAGACAAGCAGCCCTGGCCGGTGTGCCTCAGTGGATACAGCGTGGGCCTGGGGACCGAAGGCTTCCAACTCTGGCTCCCAATAAGGGCACGGATTTCGCAACAGGCTCCTCCCCAGCCAGGCCCTGGGCAGGAGGCAACCAATCGGTGTCTCTCTCACATCAATATTTCTGTCTGTCTTTCCTCCTCTCTCTAAAAATTGATGGGAGCCGAAACCGGTTTGGCTCAGTGGATAGTGTCAGTCTGTGGCTTGAAGGGTCCAGGGTTCGATTCCGGTCAAGGGCATGTACCTTGGTTGCAGGCACATCCTCTTTGGGGTGTTTGCAAGAGGCAGCTGATCGATGTCTCTCTCTCATCAATGTTTCTAGCCCTCTATCCCCCTCTCTTCCTCTCTGTAAAGAATGAATAAAATATATTTTTAAAAATAAAATAAAAAATAAAAATTGATGGGAAAATATCCTCAGGTGAGGATTAAAAATAATTGTTATTATTATAATTTAAGAAGAAGAAAAAAAAAGATTCTTGGCAAGTCAGATGCCAACCTGACAGCCTGGCATCCTGACGCCTCGAATGCCTGACCTTCCGCGGCCTCTCCCCCTCGGTTCATCCGGCGCCACCCTGGCTGGGGTGCTCTCCGGGCCCTAGGAACAAGCGGCCCTTTCACACCTCCAGCTCCCTGACCTGGAACCCGACGCCCAGTCCTGGCACCATCACAACACCTCCTGTGTGGGCCTCTCCCTGACCACCCCCCTGCACTCACTCTGCTGGCCACCCCCCTGCACTCACTCTGCTGGCCAACCCCCTGCACTCACTGCTGGCCACGGCGCCGGCCAGCCCTCACCCTCCTCTGGGCCCGACCGCGGACAGCCTCGCAGGGCTGCTCTTCACTCTCACAGACATGGGAGCCCCCGAGGGCAGCACCGGGTCAGACACACCCAGCCTCCCCCAGAACTCCCGGCACCTGAGGAGCACCGAGTGAATGCTCACGGAGGGCAGACCGGCCACCTGCCCCGCTAGTCCCAGGACAGTCGTGACACCCGAGACGCACCCACAAACCGGAACTGGTTGGGAAACATGTCGAAGAGCCCGTTGCTGTGCATGGCGAAGAGAATGGCAAAGTACACAGCCACGCTGCCCCAGATGAAGAAGTGGTTGATGGCCGTCCAGTAGCCTGTATCCAGCCCGATCTGCAACAAGCAGGACTGTCAGGGCGGAAGGAGCGGCACCCCGAAACCCGCCCCCTTCCCAGAAACAGAACGGTGGTGCCCAGGTAGGCCCCAGGACAGGAGGTCCTCCTTCCAGAGGGGAGGGCGTTCCTACCTGCACGCTGACCACGATGACCAGCGACGTGGCCACGGTGACGGCGAAGGACTGGTAGTCGGCCAGCTGGGTGCCGTCGTCCCGGGTGGCCTCTGCGAACACGCCGTAGGGGACGAAGAACAGGAGGACCGAGGTGTAGATGCCCTGCGCGATGCAGATGAAGAACTCCCGCTTGTTGAAGAGCAGGTTCAGCTGGCCCGGCTCGTACAGCTTAGGGTATTCCATGCTCCGCTGCTCGGGCACGTCCTGTGCGGGGAGGATCAGGGCACACACGGGGCCTCAGAAGCAGCCGTTCTGACTCAGGCAGCCCCTGTCCCTGCCTCCTCCTTCCTAAATTCTTTGATACTAGACCTAACTTCCTGCCAACTGACCCCAATCATCTTTGCTCAGCCTCCCAGGGGAGTTACAGTCAGTGGTGGCTGAGAGGAAGAGCACCCTGCCAGCTGGGAAAGGCCGTCCCAGGGGCCACAGGTAGAGGGCACAAACCCCCGCCCACCACTGCAGCGTGCCTCCTGCACAGAAATGTCTTCTCCCCATCCTGCCTGATCACCACCCCCCACCACATACCTGATCGAAGACCCCCATGGCCAGGACTGGAAGGGAGGTATACACGATGTTGTAAAGGGTAATGAAATACTGGTCGTAGACGGTCTGGGAAGAAAACGGAGGGAGAGAGAGGAAAGAACATGTAGCCTTCCTTCACGACAAATCAGGCAGAGGAAAATGGCAGTGTGGCGTACACAGAGCCCCAAGGAATTTTCTGGAAGTCTCGCCCACTCCTTCAACAAGCATTTTTTAAATGCACGAACCAGACAAAAGCCAGGCCCGAAGGGATGGGGCTTTGACCAGAAGAGACACGATCTCTGCCTTAAGGAATGTTCAGACGGACAAGCCAGGGAACCGGGAGCTCCCTACCTGGGCTGAGAAGCCGCAGAAGAAGCCAAACCAGAAATGGACCATGGTGAAAGCAAAGTTCTTGTAGAAGAAGTAGCAGAGGAACTTGCACATGCGCAGGTAGGACCAGCGCCCGTGCACCAGCAGGAGGCGCTGCAGGAACTTGAACTGGGAGAAGGAGTAGTCGGAGGCGAGGACCGCCTGGATGCCTTCTTGCCCGCTGATGCCCACCCCGATGTGAGCCGCTGCAGAGACAAGAGGGGACACGGGGGTGAAGGTGGCCACACGCCTGAGAACCCCACCAACACAGAGCCCCGTCCCCCTTCATCCTCCCTGGTTCCCAACCCTCAGGGGCCCCTCCCTCCGTCCTCTGCCGCTCACTTTTGATCATGCTGACGTCGTTTGCCCCGTCCCCGATGGCCAGGGTCACGGCCTTCTTGTACTTCTTCACCAGCTCCACCACCTGCGCCTTCTGCAGGGGGGTCACCCGGCAGCAGATGACCGCTTTGCAGGCGCAGGCCGTCTCCAAAAACTCCAGCTCCATGTCGGCCTCCAAGGCATGGGCCTGCGACACAGAGAGCCCTGAGAGGCCCCGGCCACCCCAGAGAGACCTGGGAGCCAGCCCCGCCGGCCCCCGGAGTGAGGGGCATCAGAGCCAGGTAAGACAGAAGGCCACGCGGAGAGGGTGCTCTCTGGGAAAACACTGCCCAAGCCCAGGAGGGCGGCACTCACCAGGCTGTGCCCGTTGATGACCAGGGCGTACTCCCCAGCGACCGCCGCCTCCAGCACGGACGTGAGCTTGGGAGAAGAGGGGCCCTCATGGCAGGTGAAGCCGTTGCCCACGGTGCGGGATGGGTCCACCATCTTCTCCCGCGCCTTCCTGGAAAGGGATGATGGACCCGTGGTCTCCCCGGACGGGAGCCGGGATTCCAGCCCGGCCTAGGTCCACCGCCCGGAGCGCCCGCAAGCACGGGCCCGGTTACCTGAGCTCCTCCCGCACCTCCAGGACGGTGTGGCCGGTGACCACGAACACCTCGGACATGTCATCCGTCAGCATCTTGCAGGAGTAGCCGATGTTCACAGCCGTCTCTACCAAGAGAGAACGCAGGAGCTACGGGCAGGCCCCCAACAAAGTCAGCGCCTCTCCTACCAGCCGCGCGGGGCTCATGCAGGACCCGAGGGGGCCGCCGTCCGGGCAGCGGCCTCTGCCCCGCCGGCCGCTCACCTTGCTTGTCTCCCGTGAGCACCCAGATCTTGATGTTGGCCAGCGTCAGGAGGGCGATGGTCTCCGGAACCCCTTGCTGCAGCTTGTCCTCGATGGCCGTCGCGCCCAGCAGCTGCAACACCACAAGGGCCCCTGGCACGCGCGTCCCGGACCCGAGCCTCCCACCCTCCCTCACTCGCCCGCGGTCCGCACTGCAGCCCGTACCATCATGTCGCTCTCGATCTCCTCGTACACGCTGGCCAGCCGGTCCTCCCGGCTGTCCTGGGCCAGGCTGGCCTGCAGCCGCCTGTCAGCCCACTCCTCGTAGTGCTCTTCGTCCAGGTCCTTGTAGGCCAGCACCAGGGTCCTCAGCCCCTCCCCGGCGTACTCCTGGGGGCAGAGTCAAGAGAGTCACCCCCGCCCCGCCCTCCGCACCGAGAGCAGCAGAGCCGGGTCCCCCTCCCTACACCTACATTCAGGTGATCCGTGGTGCTGGCGAGCAGCTCGGGGGCGGAGGGGTGGAGCCGGTCCAGCAGGATGGTGTCCGCCCCTTTGCAGTAGAGGCGGATCTTGCCCTCCGGGTTCCGCACTGAGGGAGGAGGGGAGAGAGGTTGGTGAAGACCCCAACGTCGCCATAGCAACAAGCTTCACCCTGCACCCCTCACCCCTCCCACACCTGCACACTGCCCCGCCCCCCACCCCCCCCTCAGCGCCCGACCCGGCCTCACCGATGACCGACATCCGCTTCCGGATGTTGTTGAAGTCCAGGATGGCCAGCAGCTGGTAGGTGACGGCTGTGCCCAGCTCGTGGACAGTGATGGTCTTGGGGGTGCGGGAGCGGAACACGAAACCAAAGTTGCGGGCAGCGGTGACCAGCGCCCCCTCGTCCGGGGACTGGGCCTTGTAGAACAGTTCCCCTGGGCGGAGGGAGACACACGTGGGCAAGTGGCCACGCTCTCAGCCGTGCGTCCCGCCCTGGGCCCGAGTCAGGCAGGAGAGCGCGGCAGCCAGACCTGCGGCTCACCTTCGCTCTTTTCTTCCGACATGACCGTGTGGCACAGCGAGAGGAGGCGGAAGAACTCGTGCACGTGGGGGTTCCCCATCTTAACAGCTTCCAAGAGGGTGGGGTCCCAAAATAAGAACTTCTGGTCGGCCAGAGGGTTGAAGGAGAAGTCGACGGGCTCAGGCCTCTGTGGCAGATGAGGGGGCAATCGAGAAAGAGTGGGTCACCAGGCAGTGCCCCAGGAGAGTGCTGCCCCCCCTATAGTTCCTGCCCTTCTGACTCGCAGGAGGAGAGCCCACATCCTGTCCACTGCGGACCTCCAAGTTCCCAGCTCCCACCTCTTCCCTGAAATACCCGTTTCTCCACACAGCTCCCGCCTCCCGACCAGAGAACACATGGCTGCTGACTACACCGGCTGCTCCCGGGGGCCCTGCTTCACTGGCCAACAGGACACAGACGCACTGCGGGGCTGCACCTACCTCTCCCACCTCGGCCTTGTGTCCCAGGACATCGAACACGTCACCTACAGCCAGGACGGAGAAGCAACATCAGCGCTGGCGTCCCTGAGAGCAAGAGGAGAAGCCCCAGCACCCCCCCCCCCCCCGTCCCCCTGCCCCAGGCACCTGAAACCCACACCCCCAACGGTGAGCAAATGTCACACCGGTTCACACGCTGACCCAGAGGACAGGCGGCAACAGGCACCCTGGAGCCTCGGAACCCAGGCCTAAAAGGCACGGCACCCACTGCTCCCCATCCCGCCCCTGGGTCCTGCCCCCACCGCATGCCCCCCAGGGCAGCTCCTGTTTTACAGCCCCCGCAACCCCCAAGCCTCCTGGGTGCCTCTCACCCTTCAGGCCTACACAGCAGACAAGGCCTCGGGCCTGAGTTAGTGCAGAAAGCAGTTATAGGAACTCCCTCTGCAGAACAGTCAGACATCACACCCCCTGCCCAAGCCGTCCTGGCAGTTCAGCCGCAGGCCCCGCCACAGGCCACACTGAAGACACGGTCACACTGCAGAGACTCACAGGCCCCTGAACAGCAGCACAGGGTGAGCCCGGCACTCCACGGGGTGGCCTAGATCCAACCCAGCAGGACACCCCGCGGCCAGGGCCTCAGGCCTCACTGCAAACCGGCGCTCCCCCCTTGCCTGGAGCCGAGGCCGAGGGAGAGGTCGGCAGATGGGGGAGAGGTCGGCAGACGGGAGGGAAGAACTGCCAGCGTCTGCTTCCTGACGGGGGACCCAGAGTGGACCCTTTCAAGCCCCCCACATTGGACGCCAGGAGGAAAGAAACCCAGATGTCAGGACGGCCATGGGGGCCCGGGACCACACTCCCGCCAGGCGAGAGGGAACCCCGGCCGGCGGCGCCACGCACCGTAGCTGCGGCCGTGCACGGAGCACTTGTTGAAGACCATGATGTTCTGGGTGAGGGTGCCCGTCTTGTCGGAGAAGATGTACTCCACCTGGCCCAGCTCCTCGTTCAGCGTGGTGGTGCGGGCCTCGGCCGGCGTCCGCTTCTTGGCGCAGAACATCTTCTTGTCCCAGTTGATGAAGTAGCTGTGGCCCAGGCGGATGACCTCCACGCTGCACGGGAGACAGGGGTGAGGCTGGCGGGAAAGGAGCAGGGGCCCCCACACGGCCCTCTCTGCGGGCACTCCGGCTGGGGAGGAAGGAGAGCGGTGACACCTGGGCACCCCTTGGCGGGGCAGGGGAAGGAGAGCCAGCAGAGGAAGTCCCTGACCCCGACCCTCCGGTGCCGCCAGACAAAGGTGCAAGGGTCCGGGCAGGTGGGGCAGACGGCACGGGCAGAGGAGGAAGAGGGGCTGGAGACAAGGCATTCGGCCAGTTCTTACCTCAGGGCTAATAATACAGAAACCATGCAGAGAAAACAAGAGAAAGTGCGAGAGGGGAGGGAGAGAGAAAAAAGAGCGGTAATGAGGGCGCTGCACAGGCCACGACACTGGGGCCGCGGCGGCGGGAGAGACCGAGGGAGCTCAGCCCGCCCCTCCCCGGCCACACACAGCTGACCCTGCGCCTGGCTCAGGGCTCCACCCGCCCCGACGCCGTGGCTTTCAGAAAGAACAGGAGGCCGAAACCGGTTTGGCTCAGTGTCGGCCAGCGGACTGAAACATCCCGGGTTCGATTCTGGTCAAGGGCATGTACCTTGGTTGTGGGTACATCCCCGGTAGGGGGTTTGCAGGAGGCAACTGATCGAATGACTCTCTCATCGATGTTTCTAACTCTCTATCTCTCTCCCTTCCTCTCTGTAAAAAAATCAATAAAAAACATACATATATATATATATATATATATATGCACAACAGATTATCTAATCTTTTAAAAAAATCAATAAAATATATTAAAAAATAAACAAGTACCGAAGAATCAGAGTTACAGTGGCAGTGACGGACATGCTCCCACCCGATATCTGTAAGGTAATTTTTGATGTTAAGCTATTTCCCAGTCAGTGCCTTAGATCATGGCATCCCGATGAAGAAGGCAGACCAGGTATTGTCATTCCCGTTTTACGCGAGAAGACTGAGGCCTCAGTGACTGTGGGCTTACCCTGGGCACGTAGCTGAGGAGAAAGCAGGGCCAAAGCGCAAACCTGTCTCCTCTTATCTAGAGATGAGCTAGGAAAGCCCTCAGCCCGGAAACTGCCTCCTGTCACTGCCGTCGGCACTAGGGCTCGGGGGCTAGTGGGGAGACGGGAGGACTAGCTGGGGAATCTGTATGAACAACACAGTGGCTCATGGGAAGAGTTCTCAGACTCCATGAAGCATTTCCTGATAAGGGTGGGGGTCCTGTAACTCCAGTGCAAGGCACTAAAAACAAAACTCCTCTCTTGGCCACTCTTCCTTCCTCCTCTCTGTTCGTTCTCACTGGTCCAGCCCTTGTTAACTGCTTCCTCAAGCATCCTACCTGCCTCCTTGGTCCTATTAATGGTCACCACTGTCTGCCAACACTTCCTAAAATATTTTTTTTTATTTTTATTTTTTAGGAATCCTTTAATGGTTTATTAAGTACAAAGGTCAGAGGCAAAAACTCAAGACCCTCCACTATTGGGAACAAACTTATGGCTCCAGCTCTCTGCCCCACAGCCAGATTGTCCCATGACCATCCCTCGGTTCCCATTTCCAAGCCCGTGTTTCCAGCCCTCTCCCCCGTCCCAGCCACCACTCAAAGCCCAGTCCACAGCCACCTCTTCAGAGAAGTCCTCCCTGATTGGCTGTGCAGGGAACCATGCCCTCCCACATGGCACTGTGTGTTACGCTGCTGGCCTCTCCCTGCCCTCCCAGTCTGTGCTTTTGAAGTCAGAGGCCACGCTCCACCTCTCTGTGTCCCTGGCTGTACAATAAGCCCGGAGGCAGAAGGACTTCTAAGACACTTGTCCCGTTCTATCTTATAATGTGCTCACATCTTTCTTCCTTGCCTGGACCAAAGCGCCTAGAGCAAAGGACATCCATTCCCACCTCACCTCTGCATGTGCCACGCACCTAATGTGCTTCTTGGCACAAAGTCAGCATGCAACAAACACGTGACAGATAAACACCGTGTTCGTTCTGCACAGTCCGAGTGCCCGGGAACTGGGGTGAAGCCAGCTCTGCGCACAAAGATAAACAAACAACATAACACATTCACGGCGTGAGAAGGGGCCGCCACGTCCATTCTGGAGGATGTTGCCTTCACAGACGAGAGACGCCGGCCACAGGGCAGCCCCAGCTCCCCGGAGAGCAGCATACCTGACGTAGAGCGAGATGGGCACGACGGTGTTGAGGATGATGATGTAGGACCAGAAGGAGAGGAAGCCAGAGAAGAAGGCACTGTCCACCGCCTCGTCCCAGGGCAGGTAGACCTGGAAGAGCATCCCGACCTCGTGCTCCCAGATGGCATTGCCGATGGCCAGGATCACCCCCATGCAGACCAGGAATCCGAAAATCTGAGGAGGAATGAGAGGCAGCGGTGAGGCCGCCACTGAGGAGGCCCTCCAAACCAAGTGTGTCCCTGAAGGTCATCGCTCACACATGATCCTGCAAAATGCAAAAGCTCAGGCATTTTTTGTTGTTGTTCATCCTCTCACCTGAGGATCTTTGCCCACTGATTTTTAGGGAGAGCGGGAGAGAGAAGGAAAGACAGAGAGAAACATCGATGTGAGAGAAACACAATTGATTGGTTGCCTCCTGCATGCGCCCCAACCAGGGCCTGAGCCGGGAATGTGCCTGCAACCAAGGTACATGCCCTTGACAGGAATCGAACTCGGGACCCTACTGTCAAGGGCCAACGCTCTATCCACTGAGCTAAACCGGCCAGGGCCAGGCATGTTTAGCATGGTGGTACAGGCAAGTGGGAAGCACCCAGAAGTGGCAACAGGTTCTAGTCTGCTGCCGACAGCACAGGGCCTTCTTTGACCATTCTCCCATCTGTTCTACCATCTGCAGCTCCCCACCTGACAGCCTAGAACCCGTACGAGACCTCAACAATGATAAACGTGGGACGCATTTGAGATCTTGCTTCCTGATATGTCCTCAACGCTGCTCCAATAACTCTTATAAAATTTTCAACAGGCCAAAACTAGTTTGGCTCAATGGATAGAGCGTCAGCCTACAGATTGAAAGGTCCCAGGTTTGATTCCGGTCAAGGGCATGTACCTTGGTTGTGGGCACATCCCCAGTGGGGGTTGTGCAGGAGGCAGCTGATTAAAGTTTCTCTCTCAGCGATGTTTCTAACTCCCTATCCCTCTTCCTTCCTCTCTGTAAAAAAATCAATACATTTAAAAAAAAATTTTCAACAGGCTTTTATTTTTTTTTAAAAAAGAAGAAGAAAAAGATGATAAAAGTAGGGGAAAGCTGCTTTCAAAACTCCAAAAGAAACTTAACTGGAGCCGAGACCGGTTTTGCTCAGTGGATAGAGCGTCGCCTGGGGGCTGAAAGGTCCCAGGTTCAATTCCAGTCAAGGGCATGTACCTTGGTTGTGGGCACATCCCCGGTGGGGAGTGTGCAAGAGGCAGCTGATCGATGATTCTCTCTCATCGATGTTTTTAACTCTCTGTCCCTCTCTCTTCCTCTCTGTAAAAAAAATCAATAAAATATATTATAAAAAAAAGAAGAAAAAAAAAGAAACTTACTGGAAATCACGCATTTACTAAGCTAAGCCACCATAAACCCACAACAATGCCCAATTTCTTTCATGCTCACTATCTCATACAGATTGTCCCCCTCCCTCGCCCCGCATTTTTAAAATAGGTTTTTGTTAATTCTGGAGAGGAAGGGAGGGGCAGAGAGAGACAGAAACATCCAAGATCTGAGAGAATCATTGATCGGCTGCCTCCTGCACCTCCCACCCTGAGGCTCCGAGCCTGCAACCCAGGCACGTGCCCTGCCCGGGAAATGGACCGGGACCTCCTGATTCGTAGGACAACGCTCAGCTACTGAGCTGTGCCAGCGGGGCATCCCCCATATTTTTAAATCAGGAAACAAGTTGTATCTTCAGAAATGTAGATTTCTCCATAGCCAAAATCTTATAAAACTTGTAGTCCTTGGAGAAGAATCCTAAGGAACTTTTGGAAGAAAAAAATTGAGACCATCGTCTGATTTTAGACATCGATTTGCCAAGCTGTTTTTTTTGGTTGTTAAATCTCAACTGAGGATTTTTCCATAAATTTTGAGAGAGAAAGAGAGTGATAGGGAGGGGTATACAGAGAGAGAGAGAGAGAGAGAGAGAGAGAGAGAGACATCAATGTGAGAGAAACACATTGATGGGTTGCCTCCCACACATGCCCAACTGACAGGCTGCAACCCAAATATTAGGACATGCCTTTGACTGGGAATCAAACCTTTTGGTGCTTGGGCCAATGCTCTAACCATTTTACCTCACTGGCCAGGGCTGCCTTCACTTTTTAAAAAATATATATATTTTGTTGATTTTTTTACAGCGAGGAAGGGAGAGGGATAGAGAGTTAGAAACATCGATCAGCTGCCTCCTGCAGGCCCCCAGGGATGTGCCCACAACCAAGGTACATGCCCTTGACTGGAATTGAACCTGGGACCTTTCAGTCCGCTGAGCAAAACCGGCCAGGGCTGCCTCCACGCTTGATGCTTTGGAAACAAAACAGGAATCATCCTGGTACACAAGAGCCACCAGAGGGCGATGCAAGCCTCTGCATGACAGACCCACTCTCTCAGGCTGCGTTTCTACCACACAGACCTCTAAGACCAGGGCGAGACTGTCTCACCAGAGGCTGGCCCGGCCTTTGCAAGCTGGCATGGGGTGGGGAGTGGGGGGGGAAGAGGGGGAGGGCAGGCAGCAGGCACTGGGGTGCATGAAGGGAGGAGAGAAGGGAAGAAGAACCTGACAAGGAGCTCACATTTCTAGCCAAACAAGAGAAGGATTGGGGAATGGACAAAAACTGAAGCAGAAACTTTTCCTTGAGGATCCTTCCCTCCTGGAAGGCGGGGGCAAACACCCCATTAGACCCCGTTCTCCATCCCCCGAGTGGAAATTTTTCTTTTAATGCCTTCTCCATCCCCATGAAGGCCTCCTTGTCTCAGGCAAAAGCAAACAGAGGGTCACATGCTACCCTCAGTCGTCATCCTAACTGGAATCGGGAGAAAGGAAGACTTGTTTCAGCTTTAAGTTGTTGATTCACACACGTCCTTTACATAAACCTGCCAAGTCTAAAAGGAACCTGAAATAAACACAGCCTTTGAGGGCTGACCTGCCCGTGGCTTTAGAGCCAAAGCCTGAAGCCTGGCTGCCATCGGGAGGAGAGGCAGAAGCAAAGGGAGCCGCGGCGGGAGGCCTCACCCAGAGCACCAGGGTATTCATCAGGCGATCGATACTCGTTCTCTTGAACTTTGTCCTGCCGCTGTTCTGCATCAGCTTCGTATCGGGACCTGCCGAGGAAGAGGAGGGCCAGCAAAGCCAAATCAGGAAACTGCTCCTGGGCTTCTGCCCGAGCCCCCGAGTGCAGGACCTTAAGGGGAAGAGACACGGGCTGGATGGACGGGGGACTTGTGTTCGGGGCTGCAGGATTTCCACCTCATTCGTGGGACCAACCCCCTTCGGCCTCCTCCCAGGTCTTGGAAGGAGGGCTGAGGAACCGCCTCGGACCTTCCTCCTTGGAGTCCCAGGAGCTCACCTGCGAAGATGACCAGCCCGAAGCACCACTCGGTGTTGCGCAGCACGCAGCCCCGCAGCAGCATGTTCTGGTTGCTCAGGGGGAACTTGCTCTCCTTCCAGTAGAGCGTGCCGCTGAACTTGTCCAGCTTGTTGTTGGGGGGCTCGCAGATCACCTCGCCTGCAGGGAAGACAGGAGCGCCGCGGCTCAGGGTACCGTCTGTAGCTTGAGCATGAGACAACGAAACAGAGAAAGCATGCCCTGACCGGTTTGGCTCAGTGGATAGCACATTGGCCTGCAGACTGAAGGGTCCCAGGTTCGATTCCAGTCAAGGGCATGTACCTTGGTTTCAGGTACATCCCCAGTGGGGGGTGTGCAGGAGGTAGCTGGCCGATGTTTCTAACTCTCTATCCCTCTCCCTTCCTCTCTGTAAAAAATCAATAAAATACATTTTTTAAAAACAGCGGAGAAAGCAGCTGAGGGAGAGGGTGTGAGGACACGGGCCCAGCCACACACCGCTGTGTCACTGTGAGCAAACGGGAAAGGAATGGGGCCACGGGAACTAATATTAACAGTACACACACCCTAAAGCACCGAACAGACTGTCAGATTACAGCGGGAAGGCAGGGGAGTGGAAGGGAGGAGGGAAGAGATCAACCAAAGGACTTGTATGGGTGCATATAAGCACAACCAACGGACACAAGACACTGGGGGTGGGATGAGGGCATGTGTCGGGGGTAGGGGAGGCTGAGGAAAGGTCAACGGGGGGGAGAAAGGAGATATATGTACTACTATTTGTAATACTTGAAGCAATATAAAAGAAAAATACGCATTACATACAGAAGAACAACAATAAAAGTTATGAAGGATTAAAAAAAGAGGACACACATCCTTGGACCCAGTCATCCCACTTTGGGGACTCTATTCTACAGAAATAATAGCACGGGTCAAGTTTTTATTGAAGCATTATTTGAATAGAAAGACTAGACATGACCGAATGGTCAGGGAATAGTTGAGTAAATTATGATACATCAGTTCTATGAAACAATATGCAGCTATTAAAAAAATGAAGGAACTTTATGTGGTGATGTGATAAGATGATGAATTGAATAGGTAGAGGCAGGTTGCAGGGATTTGGGTACAGTATGATCCCACTGATTTGTGTTTGTATAAATGTAAAAAAAGTGTGAATGAAAACACATTCAAGTGCCAGGTAATCTGACTATCTAAGAAGGTGGAACTGGAGGACAGGAGAGCTTTTTCCTGTGCATGCTACTTGTTAAAGGAACATACAGCACACTATTCTGAATTGAGTAAGAATAAGAAATAAGAATAAGCTGAAATTCCATCAATATGCCCAGCCAGGAGGGAGTTATCACCCAAAAAGATCTATTGAAATGACCATTAATTAAAAAATAAGTGGTAGTGCCTGATTAGTGTGGCTCAGTGGTTGAGCATCAACCCATGAAGCAGGAGATCATGGTTTGATCCCCATCAGGGCACATGGCTGGTTTCAGGCTCCATCCAGTAGGATGAGTTCAGGAGGCAGCTGATTAATGATTCTCTCTTGTCATTGATATTTCTCTTTCTTCTTCTCCCTTCCTCTCTGAAATCAATACAAATATCTTTATTTTTATTCATTTTAAAAATATATTTTATTGATTTTTTACAGAGAGGAAGGGAGAGGGATAGAGTTAGAAACATCGATGAGAGAGAAACATCAATCAGCTGCCTCCTGCACACCCCACACTGGGGATGTGCCTACAACCAAGGCACATGCCCTTGACCAGAATCGAACCCAGGACCCTTCAGTCCGCAGGCTGACACTCTATCCACTGAGCTAAACCAGTTTCGGCAATACAAATATTTTTAAATATATATACACACATATATATTCACTTAAAAAATAAACGTTAGTAGTAGCCACCTGGCATTCCTGACACCTCTATACCACCCACCCCCACACCAGTCCAGGGAGCTCCACAATCACAGCAACAAGAAGCCAGGAGGAGAAAGTACAACTTAAACCCCAAACCCACCACCGCCTCTCCCTGAAGGCGCTGTTCCGGAATCACTCACCGTCGAACTTGGCCAGCTTACTGACGTCTCCCAGCTCCCAGGTGATGGGGATCGCCTGGCGCACCTTCATGTTGGTCTCCCTGGAAGGACACCCACAGTCCTGCTCACCCCAAGTGTTCTTAAAGGCGCACACCCCTCTTTCCAAAGCCAGCTTGCTACCCCTTCGGAGGCAGAAGGAGAGGTGGGACACTGAGCAACTCACCCATCGAGTTCTGCTGTCTCTATGTAACACAGCCCGTGAGGCTCGCTGCTGGAGAGGAGGAGGAGGTCCGCCTGGAGAGGAGAGCTCATGAGAATCCAAAGACCCGAGCCTCCACCCTCCACAGACTCTGCCATGGCCCCTCCTTCCAACCAGCACGTGAATGGCCGGAAAGGAGCCAGCCCCAACGGCACTAATAGGACACAGGAGTTTCTCATTCAAGAACGTTCCCTTCCAACGTGTTTAAAGAGGCAGCAGTGAACCAGGAGCGGCTCATCCTTTCGGCCTGGGAAGCCCCTGCAGGCCTCGAGGGGCACCTGGTCCCTTACCGCCACAAACTGGTTATTTTCGAGCTTGATGATGTCACCAACACAGACGTTCATCCACTGCTCCTGCTGGAGGCTGAGGCAACGAGAAGGCAGAGAGGAGCTGTCAGGAGCTAGAGGAGTCCCCAGGAAACCCCGTCCTCCCAGGCCTTCCTCCTTCCCACTGGCACTCACATTCCATTGATCAGCACCTGAGACTGTCGGTTATTCACCTGGTTATCACTCTTGTGGCGGAACTGAGAAGAAGGAAACGAAGAATGCTAAGACACCTTCTCCTGCTCCCAGCGATTTAAATCAATCAGCGGCATGGCAGAGCATGCTGGGTACCAGCTCTACACCGAGTGGCCAGATTACTATGATCTCTGAACGCATAATAATATGGCCACTCAGTATATGTGTGTGAGTGTGTGTGTGTGTGTGTGTGTGTGTATTAGAGGCCCAGTGCATGAATTCGTGCATTGGTGGGGTCCGGCCAGCCTGGCCAGGGGGAGGGGACACGGGTGGTTGGCCGGCCTGCCTGCTAGCCAAACTCCTGGTTGAGGAGACAGTTTGTCTATTAGCCTTTTATTATATAGGATATACACTGAGTGGCCAGATTACTATGCATTCAGAGATCATAATAATCCGACCACTCAGTGTATATACACCTGTTCACAGACCTACTCTCTCTCTCTGCCTCCCCCTCCCTCCTCTCAGCCACAATAGCATGAATCTAGCTGGACCAGGTCAGGGACGGCAATGAGAACGACTCACATAGTCATCAGTGGCGTCTTTCACAGCTGTGATGGTGAGGACAAGAACCAAAGGCACAATGGTGGTGAACCAGGACAGGGACGAGATCTGTGGGATCAACTGGAAAGAGGAAAGAGAAGGCCTGCCTCTGAGGCCCCGTCCTGTGCCTTCTTTCCCCCTCGACCTTTCTTACCCGGGACTGTGTTTGGCCTTGTGAGTGGCCAAGGGTCTCCCACGGGCTACTTACCTGCAGAATAAGAAGGAACAGGAAGTAGGTATTGGCAACTTCCTGGAACTGCTCAAAGAGGTTGACAGGCAGGAAGGTGAGAATATTGTACTTGGAGGTCTTGATGCAGTTACTCTGTGGCAGTGGGAGAGAAGACTGTGAGGCGGCCTGAGCACCGGACTGAGGGTGCCTCTTCACCTGCACTACCCTACCCCTCGGTCCCCAAGTGTGGGAGGGGCAAAGAAAAGAGAAGGGAGTCTCAATGGGGTCCCTGACAGGTGAAGGCATGAAACATTCAGCTCAGCAGCAGATAGAGGCTGGTGGGGAAACTGACTGCCCCTCCCGTCAGCCCGTCCCAGGATGCTCCCGATGCTTCTGCACCTTCCCCCCTCCAGCCCAGGAGGTCTGAGCGCGGTCCAGACCACTCACCGCATACTGGAACTTCTCATTGTATTCTCGGTCGTTGGCCCGGGCCCTCCTTTCTTCTTCTGCAACGGAACGACACGGCGTCAGGAGCGGACGGAGGCCCGGCCGACACCGTGCCAGGCGCCCCGCTTTGTGGGCTCACACTGAGGGCCCTGGTGCTTTCCTCAGTGTCGCGTTAAGGAGTTGGCGCCTCAGCTGAGGCGTCACTGAATTCCTCTCTCTCGTCCACTCTCCTCTCACCGCTAGCCTCACTGCTGGGCCTTGCGGGCATCACAGTCACCAAACAGGATGCTTCTCTCCTCACAACCCTCAAAGGTCTTCCACTGGGGGCACCCCGTTCCTCTCCCCGTCCCATGAGTTAATGCCCGAGGCGTGCATGGTCTTGGGAATCCCAGAGGAGCAGCAGCTGGAGGCAATGGCTCCTTCTGGGGCCCTGCAGACCCAGCCGCAGTGGCACCGTCCTCTCCCACTGGGAAGTGGGCGGGTGGCAAGACCAGGGTCACAGTGCCCTGGGACTGCTCTGCGGCAGGATCCCAGCCCCACGTGCAGCCCCCCCACTGGAGCCTCTGCTGGTCACATGGCACCGGCAGAGGCTTCTGACTGGTCCGCGATGACATCACCTTATTTTAAAGCTCATCTTCAAGTAGGAGGGGGGGTTTCAAGGATATGGGTCATGCAGACGGAGTCAGACAGGAAAGAGGACAACAGTTGCTCTCGACATGCGTGCCATCTGCCCACATGTCCCCTATTTAACACACGTGTCGCTGAGTGACCAATGACCTACACCTATCCTGCAAACTCTGCACATCTGGGGCCGTAGGCACCAAGTTCAGAGACAGAACATGGGGTGTCTTAGGAAGGGTTCTCCAGCCCATCTCTCAGGGTCACGTTTACCACAGGCTGAAAAGGGGGGCGGGCATCCTGGTTAGATAGGAAATGTGCCTTAAACCTGCCCTGGAGCCACAGCATCATTCCTCACCCCTGCTCTCACCCCTCACCCCCTCCAGAGACCCCTGCAGAGCACACTGCAGTGCAAAACCTCAACCCACAGCATCCTCTGCCCCCCACCCCCCCTCAACATCACTTTTCTCCCAGAAACTTCCGGGAGGGGACCCTCGGGCTGAGACCTCTGCTAAGCCCCCAAGGACCATGCAGGGGAGAGTCAGGGACCGGCCCCTTCGGAGCCAGGACCTCTGGATCCTGACAGGAGAGGACAGGGACGGCTGGGGGAGGCGGAGGACAAGCGAATGTCAGGGTGGGAGGGGAAGTCAGGGGCCTGGGAGAGCCGCCGGTCGCTGCCTCCCGTTACCTGTCCCCCAAGAGGGCTTCTTTCGGCTCCAGGAGGGGGGCGCCCCGGCCCGGGCCCACTTCTCCGGCATCTCCTTGGGGACTGTCATGATCCCGGTCGGAGCGGGGAGGGCGGCCTGGTGGTCGGTCGGTCCTGGGGCTCAGTGGCGCCGGTGGGGCGGCCCCCCGGGGAGGCGCAGGAGCTGCGGCCGCTCGGAGGGGAGCCCGGGCCGTCGGGCGCGCACCCCAATTGCAGCGCCAGCCATCCTCTCGGCCTCCCTCACCCCGGGACGCCGCCGCTCAATGACGCCCCGCGACAGGCGAGCCGAGCGGTCCGAGCCGAGCGCCCGCTCCGCCCCGCCCGCCCCGCCGCCCTCAGCGCCGCGTAGGCGGACGCCGGCCCCGCCCCGCCGCCCGGCCCGGCCAATGGGGCGAGGGGACGGCATGTTGTCGGGGCAACCGCTTTGGTCCCGCCCCCACCCCGCAGGCAGGAAAACGCGCCCGGGAGGATGGAAACGGAGCGAGCCGGGAGGCATGAGGACCGAGGGGAGAAGGTGGAAGCACAGCTCCCCAAGCTCTCCAGGCCGGAGAAGGGGAGCTCCAGGCACCCTGAGGGGAGGGTCTGTGTGTTTAAGGCTGAGGGGCAGGTCCGCAGCACCTCCCAGAGAACCCGGCCCAGGGATCAGAGGGAAGACTTGGGTTCCCCAGGTTCTCCCAGGGTGAGGAGCTCCAATCTACCCTCCTTCAGCCTCCTTACCGCCGTCCTTCTCCCCTTGGCCCTTTGAGCCATGACCCCTCCTATTGAGGGCTCAAAAGTATGTAGCCCTCCATTCCCCTCTCCCTGATAGCCATGGGACCCCCCCCACTCCTGCCTGTCTTACCTGGGGGGCGCTTTTTTGCACACAGTGCCATCTCACCCAGCAAGGTCCCAGCAGTCCCATGGGAGACCCTGCAGGAAGGTGACAGGTGGGTGAGGTCAAGACCCTGAGGGTGACCCTTCGTGCCTTTCTTCAGGCTCCTCCTGAAGGCTTCAGGTCTAACCTCGCTCCCCGGCCTTACCCACCAACTCCCACCAACACTGCTCCGATGGGTCCCTGAAGAAGGAGACTCCCCCCTCCCCCGCCACTGCCTTGGGTCACACAGGGAGCCCGACAGTTCACACAAAGCAAGGCCTGCAGGGAGAGGAAGGTGGCAGAGAGAGGCTAGACACTGACTGGAGGGGCACGGCTCTCAGGGTGCCCATCCCAGGGCAATGGGTGCCCCCGTGTGCCCTCCTCGTGGCAGTGAATGGTGCCTGTGTTCACTGGAAAGCAGAGTTTCCACCACAGGGCAGAGGGTGGGGTTGAGGGGACACCGGCCAGGAAACACCTGGCAGAGCATTAGGAAACCGGTGGGCAGGCTCGCCCTTTCTCAGAAGTGTGTGCCCTCCCATCCCCTCTCCCCGTCCCTGGGGCTTTCCTGACCTCCGCCCGCAGGGCAGCCCACAGCAGCCGCTCGGCCCTCACTTCCTGTGCAAGGTCCCCACACCACCCCTCTGAGACGAGGTGCCACCTTTTCTGACAAGCAGGGGATCCCCCGACCCCAGGAGGCGCTGTCCCTGTCCATGTCCCTGTCCCTCCCCCACCCCACGCCTATCCTGCCGGTCTGGGCATTGGGTGCAGGTGCCGGGAGCATCAGCCCGCTGGACCTCTGCATCCTTCCCGCCTTCCCTGTCCTTCCTTCCCCTCCCCCTCCCCCCCCCCCCCGACAAGATAAAAAGTTCTGGCTTACAAGACAGGGTCACAGAGTCTCACCCCTCCTCCCCAGCCCACTCCTAAAGGACACTGCCCGCCGGGTCCCGGGCCCTCCGGTCACCTCCTCTCTCTTTGTTTGGATGGAAAGCCTTCCTCCTCCTCCTCCTCCGTTCCCCTGCCCCCAGCCTGCCGGTCACACCCCGCCAGCCTGTCCGCCCCAGAGATGCTAATTGCCTGTCTGCCCGGCCTCTATAATTACAGACTCCGGCCGCAGCCCCAGCACCCACACCGGCCGTCTCTTCACAAACCCAGACGCCCTTCCTGAACCCCGGGTCGGGCAACACTGAGACCCACGAGTCCTCTTCCTCCTGGGCCCGCCCCGGCCCTGGCAGCCGAGGGTGCCTGGCCCAGGAAGAAAAACCTCATCCACATTTTAGAGATGCCAAGCCTCCCCGAGGGCCCCCGGCCAGGGTCTCCACCCAGTCTGGAGGGTGAGTCATGGAGGGTGGGGTGTGAAGGGATCGGCCAGGAGAGGATGCGAGGGTGGGCATCTTCTCCAGCCCCGGGCCGGCCCCACCCTCCCGGGGAGGCGATGGAGAAGCACCCTCAGCCCACCGTCTGGGTTTGAGTCCCGGCCGAGTTCAGGGAGGAGCTGCACACGCAGCTCCGGGGAGTCAGGAGCCGGGACTCTGACCAGGAAAGTTGTTTAACCTCCAGGACCCCGGGGAGGCGGAGAGCTAGCTGGTCCCAGACCTCATCCCCTCTGGGCGGGCCTGTGCTAGGAAGGGGAAGGGAGGGGGGGACCTGCGACCAGGGACTCTTCTCACTTCTCTTTCCCGGCCTCACAGGGCCACGTAGCCCTGCCCCTCACCCGGCCCTGCCCGGCCCCGGCCCCCTCTGCAGCCACTTTGGGGACAAAAATAGCCAGCTCAGCTCCGGGAAGAAGGCAATGCTCCTTGGAGGAAAGCGCTCCTCCTCGGGGCCTGGCCCCGCTCCCATCCACCATCCCAACCCGGGGGACCTGGCCCCTTCCTTCCGAGGGGGACGGGGTATTTGTGGGCAGGACAGGACAGGGGAGCCCAGAAACGGAACCCAGGACCCCCAGCTCACCTGCCACCACCACCACCGCCACCCCTGGCCGCCTCCATCCCAGGACTCACTGCCCAGCTCTGCGCTCCCAGTTCCCCCGTCCCCCTGTCCCCGCACCTGGCTTTCCCTCGCGCCCACACAGCCTGCGGCGCCCAACTCCCCTCTCCAGGCGCCCGGACCCGCTGCCCTCTCACCCCACAGCTCCGCTCGCCTCCCCGGGGCGCCCGGAACCCGGAACCCCCATCCTCCCGCCCCGCGGATCCCCCCACTCCCCATCCTCCGGCCCCCGCGCCCACCTACCTCAGCCACCCTTTCCCGGCTCCCAGCGGCCCCGTCCTCCCGCGCCCCGCGCCCCGCGCCCCGCGCGCCGGCCCGGCCTCACCTCAGCGCTCGGCGCTCGGCGCCCGCCGCGGCCACCCCGGCCGGCCCATGCCGGGGGCTGGGGCGGGGGCGCTGGCTCGGCTCCCCGCGGGCTCCCGCCCCCGCTGCAGCCCCGCTCCCCCCGGGGCCTCAAGCCCGCTACTTTGTGTCAGTTCGGGCCGCGGCGGGGCGGAAGTGACGGCGGCGGCGGGAGCGGCGGGGGGCGGGGGTGGGTTTTGGGGAGAGGGTGGAGGGCGGAGGCGGGCGCCGCCATCTTTGTGCCGGGCAGGCGGGGGGGTCCTGACCACCGAGGCCCCGCCCACCGCCACCTCCACCCGCCCCGGAGCATCCACGGACACGGAGGCGCGCGGTTCTGAGAGGTTTTATGGGAAAGAGGGAGCGGGGAAGCCGTGAGAGCCGGGGAGCCGCGGAGAGTGAGTCCCAAGCCTGTCCGCCTCCCCGCAGCCGGTGTCCCCCCTCCCGCCCCGGCTCCGCTCCGGCGCGGCGCCCCGGCTCCGCTCCGGCGCGGCGCCCCGGCCTTGAGTGACAGCCGGGCGTCTCCGCTTCGGGGCGCCTCCGCTTCCTCCCTCCCGATCTCGGGGCGCTTGGATGACTGTGTTCCACTGCCAGCCCTCCGCGCCCCCCTAGGCGGAGGCAGGTCCCCCCGCCCCGTACCTTCCATGAGGCGGGGGGAGCTGAAGGCGGGGGGAGCTGAAGGCGAGGGTTAGGAGAACGGGGCGTCAGACCGGGGACCGGGCTTCGGAGGAAGTCCCCACCGCCCCGCGGATGTCTGCGGCTTCCCCGGGCAGGCTTCCCGGCGCGCACCCTGGCGGCCACAGGGAGGAACTGCGTTCCTGGAAGCCCGCTGGGTCCCGAAACAGGCTTGTGGGAGGAGAGGATGGAGACAGACCCTAAGCTCCGCCGGGTCTTCCTGTCCAAGCATCCTCCCCAGTTCAGGAGGAGGCGATGCTTCAGTGAGGTAGCACGGAAGCTGCCCGGGGCCTGGCGCCTTAGTAAAGAGAAAGAATGTCCTGTCTCCAGGTCTGGGTCTCTGGCCCTCTTCATTGTCCATGAGGGAGGTAGGACTGCTGAGGCATCTGAGTCGAGGCAGGAGTGTCCAAGTCTTTATACTGGGCAAGTGCTAGATCCTGAGCTGCCTCCTCCGAATCCTCAGGGTGGTGCAGAGCTATCAGCAGTTGGTAAGTGGCTGTGCCGAGGGTGGCCCCCACCATTGGGGCCACCACAGGCACCCACCACCAGCCATTTCCAGCCCTGTAAGAGGAGGACAGCAGTGAGACACCAGGAGTGACTCCCCCAGTCTTCCCCCAAAGGACTGGAGGCTGTAACAAGAGAACTCCCTCAAGCAGTTCCTGGGGTGACAGACACCAGGAAAAGGAAAACACTTGAGAGGAGGGATCCCCAGGAAGGCTTCGTCCAACCTCATCCAGCCTCTTGCCTTAGGTAATTATCTGAATATCCCTGTTTTGCTGATGAGGTCACGAATATCCAAAAAGGTTATATGCATCCCAGGACACAACCTCTAAACCTCACTGTTTCAGTGAAAAGGGTTGGGGGTGGGGCAGAGAAAAAGGAAGGACTGGGGCTTAGAGGAGGAGCCCTGTCCTAAGAAGCTAAGAACCATTTAAGAGGAGAATATTTAGGCTGGGAACCCAGGGAAGAGCCTTTAGCAGCGGGAGGCTGAGTGGAGGGACGGCACCAGGGAAGGCGATCTCGCACCTGAAAACTTCAGGGCCCCAGCCGGCCACGTAGGTGAAAATCCGGGGGCCCAGGTCCCGGGCAGGGTTGAGTGGGTATCCACAGTTGGCACCCATGGATAGCCCAATGGCCAGGATCAAAAGGCTCACTGCCACGGGCTCCAGACCCGCGGGCACTCCCTTATTCCGTGTGTCCAGGATGGCCAAGATCCCCACAATCAGGACTGCAGTTCCCAGAACCTTCGAGTGGACGGAGGCAAAGGATTCCGATCAGCTGGCAGATATCATTCCATCTGCCCTCTCTCACCCAAACCGTACAGGCCACCACCCTACAGCATCTGACTTTGTCCAATCCAGGCAGCTGGGTTGGCAGGTGGTGCAAAGACAGACCTCACCCCACCTCCCATCCGACCCGACCCCCCCAGAGACTTAACACTAGGCTATAGCAGTGGGCGGCAAATGCATTAGTCATCAGAGCCAAATATCAACAGTATGACGATTGAAATTTCCTTTGAGAGCCACATTTTTTAAACTTAAACTTCTGCCGAAACCGGTTTGGCTCAGTGGATAGAGCGTCGGCCTGCGGACTGAAAGGTCCCAGGTTCGATTCCGGTCAAGGGCATGTACAGTGGTTGCGGGCACATCCCCGGTAGGGGGTGTGCAGGAGGCAGCTGGTTGATGTTTCTCTCTCATCGACATTTCTAGCTCTCTATCCCTCTCCCTTCCTCTCTGTGGAAAATCAATAAAATATATTTAAAAAAAAAAAAAAAAAAAACTTAAACTTCTAACGCCACTTCTTCAAATACACTCTCTCAGGCCGTGGTATTTTGTGGAAGAGCCACACTCAAGGGGCCAAAGAGCCGCCTGTGGCTCACAAGCCGCAGTTTGCCGACCACTGGGCTATAGTGCCAGAGGTCAGGGACAAAGGTCACTACCAGGTCTGCCCCTCACACATACCTGATCCAAGAAGCCATTGTTCAGGGACAGATAGGGAGCAGGGTAGGTGGCAAAGATGGACGCTGTCTCCTTGGGGCCAGTCACTGTCAGGTTCCCACCCGTATAGTTCTGCAGGGCATCTGCAGGGGAGGGGAACGCCCGGGATTCCCATCTTTCTCATTCAAAACCATCCCAGGCACCCCTGCCCGCACACAGACACCCCAAAAGCCGTCCCCGCAGTTACCGTAGTAGAGCGCGTAAGTGGCTCCAGAGGCGCAGAAAGCGGACAGAGTCTGCACCAAGGAGTAGACGGGGAGCTTGGCCCAGGGGAGGCGTCCCAGGAGGCACATGGTCAGGGAGAAGGCCGGATTCAGGTGAGCCCCTTCAAGGATCGGGAAAAGACAACCAGCCAGCATCCATTAAGTGTCACTGCCAGGTACTCACCGGGCCACCTTGCTGCTCTTTCCCACGACTCCGAGGATAGATGGGCACATAAATTAGGGATTTGAGCCTCAAGGTTAAGCAACTTGTCAAGGCCCCACAGGGAACCTGGGACTGTCTGCTCTTTCCCCTACGGTGCTTGTGTCTCAAGGCTCCAGCCAGGCACACGGATGCTGTGTGCTTCTGGGGGGATGGCATGTGAACCCCAGTGGGCTTCAGGCGGGGAACACGAGAGGATAGCACTCCCCTGTCATGCCTTGCCACAGACCTCCCAGTGAGCAGAGAATTCACGCGAGGGAGAGGGATGGAGAGAGGTGGAAAGGGGAGGGGCTGGGCTGGGCCAAAGGTGTATCTCGGGCCAGGGCACTGATCAAGCTCAAAAAGATAATGTCCATGAGTCACCTTCCCCCCCCCCCCATAACCAGGCCCTCCCTCCTTACCGGAGACATTACCACCCACGTAGATGGCCACCATAACAGCCAAAGCGCCAGCCAGAAACATGGTGAAGAAGTTGCCTTTGGTTTCCTCACTAGTGACAGCCTGGGCCACAGCCCCCTGGGTGATGAGCTGGTGGGAGAGGAAAGATGAGGAGCAGAGAACCGGGAACAGAGAGTCTAGTAGACGCACGGGGGAGAGAGACTGGGAAGGTGAGGAGCGTGGCCAAGAGAGGGGGACTGTGAACAAATGTGAGGATCAGCGAGGAAGGAAGGAAAGCAGACAGGGAAGGAAACGAAATGGGAGTAGTAGAAAAAAAAAAAAAAAGTTAAGAAAGGAAAGGAGAAGCCAAAACCAGTTTGGCTCAGTGGATAGAGCGTCAGCCTGTGGACTGAAGGGTCCTGGGTTCGATTCTGGTCAAGGGCATGTACCTTGGTTGGGGGCACATCCCCAGTATGGGGTGTGCAGGAGGCAGCTGGTCGATGTTTCTCTCTCATTGATGTTTCCAGCTTTCTATCCCTCTCCCTTCCTCTCTGTAAAAAATCAATAAAATATATTTAAAAGAAAAAAGAAAGGGAGAGGAATAAAAATCAGGAAGTAGGAGAGGAAGACAAGAGACAAGAGGAGAGTAGAGAGAGAAGTGATGGGTCGTTGAAAGGAAGAGATGAGAACACCAGAGATGAACCACAGCGTTTGCCCACCTCCTGTTACCTTCCCCCAGTTACCCTGCCTACCATGAGCACAAACACACCCAGAAACTCTGCCAGGCACTGTCGGGCCAGGAGGCTGCGGATCCGGAGCCAGCCCTTGACTTTTGCCAGGAGCTGAGTAGGAACCATGGTGAGGACACCCTGTCTCTGGCCACCGCTCCCTCCGTGTGCACAGGCACACGGCTGCTTCGCTCTATGTTTGCCAGGGGAACAGATAAGGAAAAGACTTTAAAACCAATTAGCTTAGCTCTGGAACAGCAGCTCGTGTGTCTGGAGAGGCTAGAGATAACGAGAGAATGTCCCCATGTAAGCAGGCTCTGCGTGACCAGGGCCTGGAGTTTGCCCAGGCTACTCTGTCTTCCGTCCCCTTTCCTCTCAGGAGTAGCCTCTTCCTGTGCTGACGGAGAAGTCCACCCGTCACCCTCTGGGAACTAACAGGGGCCATGGTGCCCCGCTGGCTTCTCGTTTTGCATTGGGCGGACGTGAGTGAGCTTCTTGAAATGCTGGATCTCCTTGTTTTAATTAATTTTTGTTAATCCTCACACCAGGGTATTTTTCCATTGATTTTTTAGAAAGAGTAGAAGAGAGAGGGAAAGAGAGAGAAACATTGATGTGCTAGAGATTGGTTGCCTCCTGACCAGGGCCCGGGCCGGGGAGGAGCTTGTGACTCAGGCACATGCCCTTGACTGGAATGGAACCGGGACCACTCGTAAGTCTGCCTTCAGAGTACGGGATATGCACTCCACACCCTGGGTATTTCCTGAGCGATAGAGAACCTGCCCGCTATGGTTCTCAGACAGCTGGGCAGCCCAGAGACCGGCCGAGATGCTTCTAAGTCTTGGCTCAGAATGTCTCCGTCTTGCAGTAGGTGGGGAACCAGGCCACAGTGCCTTGAGATGCCCCTTTTGGGTAAGGTGACCAGAAGTCCCTCTTTTGACGGGACAGTTCCGATTTTTAACAATTTTTCTTTCCAAAAATCGGGACTTCTTTAAAACACCTCGGGATGGATTGTTAAAAATTGGGACTGTCCCGCCAAAAGAGGGACTTCTGGTCACCTTATTCTAAGAGGAGCTTACATCTCTTCCCCAGTATCTTTGAGAGGCAAACACTAAGAACTCTTATCTGAGCCATTTCTTAAAATGCAAGTTGCAGGGAGTTAATCTTCATTTGCAGGTGCTTTACAAGACAATGCTCACCCCCTAAAGCAAAGGCCCGAGAATTCATTTGGTCTGGCCCTGCCAAGGCATTAGGGGTGAATTAAATGTTTGACCAAATATAGCAGGCTAAATTTTAAGTTGATAATTTTGTACGACCTACGAATAATGTTAACAATACCCAAATGGCCCCTGGCAGAGATAAGGTCCCCACCCCTGCAAGGATCTATTTCCACCTGTTTTCCTGGCAAATAGGACCAAAAACAAGAATCAAAGTCTAGCAAAACTTGCCAAAACCGGTTTGTATCAGTGGATAGGGCGTCAGCCTGTGGACTGAGGGGTCCCAGGTTCGATTCCGGACAAGGGCATGCACCTTGGTTGCGGGCATATCCCCATTGGGGGGTGTACAGGAAGCAGCTGATTGAGGTTTCTAACTCTCTGTCCCTCTCCCTTCCTCTCTGTAAAAAAATCAATAAAATATATATTTTTAAAAATTCTAGAAAAGCTTCAAAGAGGCTGTCTGACGCACTAAGAGAAGGAATATATGCTGACGGGGTTTTAAGATCTGGCTAATGTGTTGTACCTGCAGAATTTGGTAACACTGTACATGGAATTGGATATCTAGAGTGCTGGATCAAAGGAGGTGGGACATAAAGCTAAATATGGAAAAAGTTATTGATCTAGGAGCACTCTCCTGTGACGTAGGATTTAAACTCTGGCAAGATCCCTGGAATATGAATACGGGGTGAATACACCTCTAGGATGGTCCTAGGTTTGGAGAAAACGATGGCCCACACTAAGGAAGGTAAAAATGCCAGGACAAGTAATTTGTGTTGACGACCATATTGAAAAAAAGGGAGAATCTCAGACCTTTTGAGGATTTTTGGTCAAAGGATCTGAATTAACACTGATAGTTGAGAACCCAAAGTTATACATGGTCCTTTGTTAGAGTTGGGGCATATAGGGCTCAGATAATCAATGGAGTCCCAACTCATGGATCCACCCTGTAATCTCTGCCCCATATACACATATATCATGCAATTGTAATGGATATCCTTTGATGTTGGGTTTTGGGCTCATGGAGCAAGTGATGAAGGCCAAGTGGAGGCCTGAAACTGCTCCACACCAAAATAATAAAAATCTAAAACTGCCATATCCTAGGAAAAATGGAAGAGATTAGCACTACCCTCAAAGACTTACAGGAGAGCCCAGGCAGGCACAGAAGTTGACCTTTGGCCTATGAACCAGGAGGTCAGTTAGATTCCTGACTAGGGCACATGCCGGGGTTGCAGGCTTGATCTCCAATGGGGGGCAAGTAAGAGGCAGCCGATCAATGATTCCCTCTCATTATCGATGTTCCTATCTCTCTCTCTCCATCTCCCTTCCTCTCTGGAAAAAAAAAAAAAAAGACTACAGGAGAGGTGGCCCCTTTTATACTCACAGCTTGGCTCCTACAAAAATGGAGTAGATCATGGCAGGAAGCAGTGATTTACCATAAAATCAACCAAAGAGTACATCCAGCCCTAGCAGGTTTGGCTCAGTGGATAGTGTTAGCCAGCAGACTGAATGATCCCAGGTTCAATTCCAATCATGAGCACATATCTCTGTTGCAGGCTAGATTCCTGGCCTGGTTGGGTGTGTATGGGAGACAAGCTATGGATTGTCTCTTACATGGATGTTTTTCTCTGTCTCTCCCCTTCCCTTCCATTCTCTCTAAAAATCAATGGAAACGTATCCTCTGGTGAGGATTTAAAAAGAGAGATAGAAAGAGAGAATACAACTCTGACCAATTTACTAGCTGACACTAAAGGCTGTCAACTTTGAAGTGGGACAAAAAGTAAAAAAAATCTCTGCAGCCATATGGACTCCACACACCTTATGAGACTAAAAATAAGGTGGGAGGAAAAGATGGTTTGGCAAGCCCTAATGTAGACCCCTACAGCTCTGGAGCAAAGCCATGGGAAATGGTAGAGAAATACATACCATTTGAAAAGCAATTCTTGGAGTTGACTGAGTTCCAATAAAGACAGAGCAATTGCCCTGACCAGTTTGGCTCATTGGATACAATGTTGGCCTGCGGAGTCAAGGGTCCCGGCTTCGATTCCGGTCAAAGGAACGTACCTTGGTTGTGGGCACATCCCCAGTAGTGGGTGTGCAGGAGGCAGCTGATCAATGTTTCTCTTTCAATGCGTCTATCTATCCCTCTCCCTTCCTCTCTGTAAAAAATCAATAAAATATATTTAAAAAGAGCAATTGACTCCTGTTCATCAATGACCAAATAGCCAGAATTGCCCCTCACAAACTGAACCCTGTCAGGCCCTCCATGTCATCAGGAAGGCCGGGCCCAGGCAGAACACATTTTTGTACGGAAGTGGCATCTTTGGAAGGCAGCTATGCTCACCACTATACCACCAACGCCGTCGGAAGTGGTATCTTTGGGATCTGGCATAATCTGAAAGTCAAAGGCTCAAGAAGCTGAAAAGCCAGTGGCCCAGACTCTCATATTCACATCTTACCCTGGTACCTCTTTCTCTGCTCACACCTATAACCCTTTTGGGGATGGTTTTAGTCCACTCAGGTAGGCACAACAAAATATCAGACTTATAAAAACAGAAATGGATCTCTCATAGCTTATAGGTTGGGAAGTCCAAGATCAAGGGGCCAGCAGACTTAGTGGCTGGTGAAGGCTCACTTCCTGGCTCATAGACAGCCATCTTCTAGCTGGGTCCTCACAGGCAGAAGGGGCGAGAGAGCTCTCTTGGTCTCTTTTATCAGGGAACTAATCTGATTCCTGACCAAATTACCTCCCAAAGGCCCATCCCATTGGAGATTAAGTTTCAACAGATAAATTGGGGGGGCAGGACCCATTCAGTCCATAACAAGGATCCTTGTGAGGGGGAATCAGAGAAGGAAAAAGTATAGACATGGTATGCAGATAAAGCCAAATATTACTGCCACATTGCAACCCCAGTTGTGAGGGAAAATCCTTCCAGTGAAGAGATGTGGACAGAACATCTGGTCATCCCCTTGGTGTGGAAAGACAAGGTCCTTAACAGGTAATGTACGTAGACCTGGGAATTGATTACATTAATCTAGGATAGAAATCAAATAGCCTCCACTTATCTTCAAAGTGAAGATCAAGGACAAGAAGTTCTGAGGATGAGATGTCAATGGACCTATAAGAGTAGTCTTTTAAAAAAATTAAATCTTTACTATTGAAAATGTTACATATGTTCCCTCCGGCCCCCCTCCCTACACCTCCCCCCCACCATGCATTGACTCCTTCTAACCCATCCCTACCCACAGCTCCAGGCCTTCACCACCCTGTTGTCTGTGTCCATGGGTTATGCATATAGATGGCTGATCTCTTCCCAACCGCCTTCCCGCTGAGATTCCACGCAGGAGTAGTCTTTTTTATTATTATTATTATTTTAATTGATAAATGAGGTATCACATAATTGTCCTCATCCCCCCTGGAGTAGTCTTAAAGTATGAAGATCTTTGTATCACAGATTAATACCCACTAGAAAGCAACCATCAGACGAGGCACTGAACAACCACCTGGCAGGATGAGTCCCAGTTTTAAATAATGGATACTCTGAACGGAGTTAACTAGTGGTAGGGATAGATGAAACTACTAGTCAATTTCTTTTTTTTTTTTTTGTCATTTTATTTATTTATAATATATTTTATTGATTTTTTACCAAGAGGAAGGGAGAGAGATAGAGGGCTAGAAACATCGATGAGAGAGAAACATCGACCAGCTGCCTCTTGCACACACCCTACTGGGGATGTGCCTGCAACCAAGGTACATGCTCTTGACCGGAATCGAACCTGGGACCTTTCAGTCCGCAGACCGACGCTCTACCGCTGAGCCAAACCGGTTTCGGCGTCAATTTCTTTAAAAAAAATATATATTTTATTGATTTTTTACAGAGAGGAAGGGAGAGGGATAGAGTTAGAAACATTGATCAGCTGCCTCCTGCACATTCCCCATTGGAGATATGCCCATAACCTAGGTATATTCCCTTGACCGGAATTGAACCTGGGACCCTTCAGTCAGCAGGCTTGACGCTCTATCCACTGAGCCAAACCAGCTAGGGCTGCTTGTCAATTTCCACAAAAAAAATTGCTAGCCGAAGCCGGTTTGGCTCAGTGGTAGAGCGTCGGTCTGTGGACTGAAAGGTCCCAGGTTCGATTCCGGTCAAGGGCATGTACCTTGGTTGCGGGCATATCCCCAGTAGGGGGTGTGCAAGAGGCAGCTGATCGATGACTCTCTCTCATTGATGTTTCTAACTCTCTATCTCTCTCCCTTCCTCTCTGTACAAAAATCAATAAAATATATTTAAAAAAAAAATTGCTAGGATTTTGATAGAAATTGCATTAAATCTACAGATAAATTTGGGCAGAATTGCTATATTAACAATATTGTGTTCCATATTTTTTATTTAAATCTTCTTTAATTACCTCAGCAATTTTTATAGTTTACAATGTTCAGCTCTTGCACTTTTTCAAAATTATTTTATTATGCTAATATGAGTGAAACTCTTCCTTTAATTTCATATTCAGATTGTTGCCTATAAAATGTAAATTTTTAAATTTATCTTATATCCTGAAATCTTGCTACATTGTTATTACTGCTAGTACTTGAGAGCTAGAAACGTCGATGAGAGAGAAACATCGACCAGCTGCCTCCTGCACATCCCCTACTGGGGATGTGCCCGCAACCAAGGTACATGCCCTTGACCGGAATTGAACCTGGGACCTTTCAATCCGAAGACCGACGCTCTACCACTGAGCCAAACCAGTTTCGGCACTGCTAGTACTTTTTTAAAAGTATTTTTTATATTTTTATTGATTTCAGAGAGGAAGGGAGAGGGAGAGATAGAAACATCAATGATGAAAGAGAATCACTGATTGGCTGCCTCTTGCATATCCCCTACTGGGTTCAAGCCTGCAACCTGGGCATGTACCTGAACCATGGTTTATGAGCTGATGCTTAACCACTGAACCACATCGGCTGGGTGCTACTAGTAATTTTTTTGTTATTGATTCCTTATATATTTTTTCTATACATAAGCTCATGGTACCTATAAAAACAGTTCTACTTCTTCCTTTCCATACCATGTCCTTCTCTAGATAGAACCTTCAGTACAATGTTGAATAGCAGTGGTAAGAGCAGATATCTTGTATTTCTAATCTTGGAAAAGCACCATTAAATGTGTTTAGTAGAGTAGAACCTCGGTTCTTGAACTTACTTCATTCTGAAAGGTTGTTCAAAAACCAAATCATTGTTTCTCATTAGAAATAATGTAAAGTGAATTAATTGGTTCCAGATCCCCAATTATACCATTTTAATCTCTTATATACAGTACATATCTGATGTGCTATTTAATCTATAAACACATTAAAAACAAAAAGGAAATGAAATGTACATTAAAAAAATAAAAATTTAATAATAAGCAGCAACAAAAGCAAAAAACCCCAAAACACAGCACAATTTCTTGAGATGTGAACAAGCCGAGGTTCAGTGGTTAACTGACTCACACTTGATAATTTTCTCCTTTGTAGCTTGAGAGACACGTCACTGATCATATCAGCATGAAAGAGTTGTCAGGTTGAGAAGTGAATTGTTCAAGATGCAAGATGTTTGAGAACTGAGGTTTGATCGTATACCAGTAAAGGAAGAAATATTTGCCCATGTAGGTCCTTAAATGATCCCATGAGCTATCCAATCCTAGTGCTCCGACACCAAGGGAAGCAGTTTCCCCTACAATTCCAAGCACTCTTGCTTTTTTTGGAATCTGATGCATCCAAGTCTGGAAATTCTCTTGGGATTATCTCTACATATCCTATCCCCTCCAAGAGGAAAATTATTTCCTACTGGTACCTGATCTTTACTTATATGATAGATAAACTGTAATTAATCAGGTTTTGGAAGTAGAACAAAAAATTAAGAAACAAGGAGAAGGTTTTAGGTCAAGATAATTTAGGAAACCCTGGATGGTGCTAGAAAGTGCAACATCCTTAATAAAACCAAGACCAAGAAATTAGCATAAATAAAGGTTTTTATTGGTCAGTTTGCATGAATGACATACTGACATGCCCCCAACTCACTGTTTCACACACCAAGGCCCTGAAGTGGCAGGAGAAGCTGAGCCCATGGATGGTGAGAAAAGGGTGGGAGGTGGGAGAACATGAAGGCCTCTGAGGGTTAACAAGGCTACTGGGACCGGGACCGGGACCACCGACCTAGGAATAAATCCAGGATGGAAAAGGCATCATCCAGGGCTGGAGCTGTTGGTGATTCTGGACCTAAGAAAGAGAGTGAAACACAGACACACTAAGAGGCAAGGCAGAGGCAAAGGATGGGAATAATATTAAAAGGTAGAAGAGTATGGGTTTTCCTTTTCCAAGGAATTAAAAGATGGATCACTTTGATTCACACTCCTCACTTACCCTCTCTAGGACTGCCATCTGCTTCTTGAACGGTTACTGTGGTTTCTGTTCGGCCCTCACTATCCACCACAGTCCGGCGTTCCTCTACTGTCTACAAGGGAAAGCCCCACAAATATCCTCAGCATCCCTAAAAGTGAGGTCCTGCTTTCTTGACAAAGATCCCTCTGTCCAAAACATCCTTAGCCACAGTTCCTCTTCCCCCTCTTCCCAACTCACCCCATCTGGCCTGGTGATCTTGGTCACAGAGACACTCTTGAAATAGGATTTGGGCTGGGGCTGCAGAACTGGGCCAAGGCCCTCCTGGGAAACCTGGGAATCAAGATCTAGGAGGACAGAGAGAAGAAACAGGAAAGAAAGAGTCTAAGGGAAAGAAAGAACCAGCGTGTCAGGAAGAAACTTGAGGGAGAGAGGACAGAGAGAACTTCTGAAGAACAACAGCGGGCGGGCGAATGTCCTCTCCAGACTCACCCTTGTCCTCTTTGGCTCTAGAAGGGGGGGTCACAGGCCACATGTCATCAAACTGCAGAAGCCAAACGAGACGAAATGACATCTTTCAATCTGAAACTTGAGGAGTCACTGACCCAAAATATTCCCAAGTTCCAAAACCACCTCTCCCCAGAGGAGAGAATCCTATCCAAGATCGCTTTATTTACTCATTCTTCCTCTTTCCTAGCTGTTTTATGTATCCTTCTACCAAAAAAACAAAACAAAACAAAAAAAACCTTTCTGCCCTGGCTGGTGCGGCTCAGTTGGCTGGAGTATCATCCTCTGCAATGATTCCGGGTCAGGTCACATACCCAGATTGCAAGTTTGATTCCCCCATCAGGATGTGTGCAGTGGCAACCTACCAGTATAGATGTTCCTCTCCCTTTCTCTCCCCCCGCCTCTCAAGTCAATAAAGACATATCCTTGAGGATTGAAAAAATAAAAATAAAAGTGGGGATGGTAAATTAAAAAAAAAAAAAAAAAAAGCCTTAATGACCTGTTAACTTTCCTGATCTCCCCCAATAATCCTGCCTTGTCCAAGAATCTCACAGACCAGTATTTTTTACGAAAAAGCAAAACTCCTATTTCCCCCCAAAGAAAATACTACAAAAAGCTTAATATAGGAAACAGATAAATTAGTGGGGGGAGAAGGGGCCAGTATTTCAACCCACGTCTGTTAGATTCCAACAAGGATTTTAGTCTTTGCCCTCTAATAGGGGTCTCCCACAGGCTTCCATTTCAGGCTCAGATGTACTCACCCTATGAAAAGGTCTCTGGGAGCCCCAGTCTGGTGCTGGTTTTGGAGAGTCAGTTCTTGTATCACTCTCCAAGGCCCCCCCAAAGATCCTGTGTTGGTGACTGTCTGGATACTTAAGCATCGAGTCCCGAAGTGTCTGTCCCTCCTGCAATCTCTCACTAGGTGTCTCAGACTCAGGACCTGGAAGCTCTGCAGGAAGATGGCAAGTGTATAAGCCTTTTAATCCCCCTTGAAATGATCAGTCTCCTCACACCTCCCACCCCCCAACTACTTTCTGCAGGCTCTTTATTTCACCCACCAACCCAGTAGAAACCACAGGTTCTCCCTCAGGGGCAGCCACACACCAGGAGGACGGGAAGGCAAGGTCCAGGCCCCCATCTCGCTGAAGATGCTATTAAAATCCCGAACTAGTTCATCGAAGCCGAAGTTGTCGTGGAAACGCATCCCTCCTCCAGGGGTGAAGCTGAAGCCGAAGCTAAATTCCTCAGGGGGCTGGGGACCCTCAAACCTCGGGCTCCCAGGGCCCCAGGCGGCTCCTCCTTCTTCTTCATCCTCATCCTCATCTTCATCTCGAGTCATCCCTCCGAAAAAGGGGTCTCTGTGGCTGGGGTGGAGGCAGATTGGCCACACTCACTTCTTAAACCGTAACTTCAACTCGTGGGTGGCGAAGTGTTACAAGAACAGGTGTCTGGGGAGCCGGCTGAGGATTAGAAGCCTGGCCATCGGGGTGCTGTTTTTAATCAGGTAACCATCCCATCCCCAAACACCTCCCCTCGGCTTTCCTTCAGTGTCTCCAGCCCCTCCCTTCTCCCAGGGTCCTGCTCACATGCTCATTGTCCTCCACCCCAAAGCCCCACACTCCTCCCCGCCCAGGCCCTGTTGCATCACCCCGGATTGGAGAAAGGCTTAAGCTGTTGCTTTTCCTCCTAACGACCGCCTTGGTTACTGTCGCGGGGTGAGTGTTCAATGTTGTGACTTCTGTTCTCTCCACCGGAGTTGAAGGAGTGGAGATACAGAGGGTGTTTTCCCAACTATAGGGTGTCAGAGGTCAAGCTCCCCTCAGAAGACCCCCCCTCCCTTGTCCGACCCGGATCCATTCTCACCTCCGAGGTCCAGGAAAGCCGAAAAAGCCCCGAAAGAGGTCAAAGAGGCTCATTCCCGTATTGGGACTCGAACCTCCGAATCCCACCGGAGGCCCATTCACACCGGGAGGGGAGCCTGCGCTACGCCGTCGGAAATTGGGCGAAGAGTCAGCTCGAGCTGCCGGAAAGCAAGCCTGCGACTGACACCCTGTCGTAAAACGGCCGTAAGCCGACGCGGAGGGGGCGGGGCAGACGGGCCTCTCAACTTGGAAAGGCTTTCATTTCACAGCAGCAGCAGCAGTTTTTTTCCTGGTAGTGGGCGTCCTGAACTTTCATCCCCCGGCGATCACCTGTCTCCTAAGCCAATTCTTCTTGCCGACCAACCCGGCCCAACCAGGTATTTCCCTCCCAAAAGGGATCTCTGGTGCCGATAAAGCAGCCTGACGGCCGCCCGTCCGCACAAATGAAACGGTCCCACGCCCGCCCTCACCGCCGGTTCACCACATCCGTGGACGACCAGTCCTCCATCTGAAACCACCTTGCCCTTTCCTCGGACCTGTTTCTTGACTGACCTTAGTGAAGTTTAAGTGGGATGGATAAAATATTTTATCAAACTCCTTTACTGAATTCCCCACTTTATTAGATATGGGGTTAGACACGGGGTCACTTGCACTTAATCTCCTCTCTCCAGTTAAGGAGCTTGTCATTACCATAAAGGATGCTTTTAATTTTTCTATGCAGGCTTTACAACCAGCAGAATAAATGCTTTGTGAGAGACCAAGGGAAATCTCGTGAAGAGTCTCAGAAGAGAAGAAATAATATGGGGCTCTAAGTATCCCCCTTTCCCTACCATCCATGGCTTTCAAAGCCTCTCTCTCCTACACCCCTGCCACAACCTCACCCCTGGTCTTCCTCTAGACTTCTTTTCAGGGGTTTGGGTATAGCTATTTTTGAAGGAAATGAAGATTTGAGGTGGTTCTTTCCAGGCAACAGGCTGTGAAATTCTTAGGGGAGAAGGGAAGAGAATCCCCTCAAGGGCACAGTACTAAGTCATTAAGGTCAGAGCTGTACTTAAAGGATGAAGATTTCATTTTATTCCACTGCCTTCGGGGCCTGCTAGAAGAGGCCCAGTTGGTACAGTAATACTTATTCACCAAGCTGGTCATCTGCGAGACTGAGGATGTCCTAGACGGAGCAAGAATGGGCAGAGGCTGAAGGTAGATGTTTTCTTTTTATATATACAAGACACATTAATCCATTAAATTTGTAGACACAGTACAAAAAAAAAGAAAAAAAAGAAAAAGAACCACTTCAACTAATCCATCTGACAATGCTGTTCATATTCATGACGCCATTTTTTGTTGTTGTTTTGCTTCCTAATAATAAAGGAGGAGACATAGGGCTGTTGGGCTGATATATATTTGGGGGTTCCCCCCTCCCCACCTCACCCATACACCACCAGGGTGAACAGGAGGAAAAGGAAGGGCAGGGCCCACAGCAAAGTTTCATAATCTTGAATGCAAGGGGGAAGGAGGAAAGGAAAGGGGGGGGGGGGAGTGAAAATACAAATCCTATAATACATACAACAGAGTGGGGATGGTATGGGAATGGACAGACATGAAGCTGAGGCATGGGGCGGGCCACTGGGGGTGAGGGTGGGGCAGCGGAACCCCTCCACATTCCTCTCTTTGATGCTGTTTCCATAGTTGCCAGGCTGAGAAGCCCTCTCAGAAGATGGGACCAGGAAGAGAGGGTCAGGGCCTCAGTTGGCCCCCCAGCTGTAGCTGTTGTAGGCAGACTTGTTGGTCTGGGGCTTCTGCGGGATGGAGCTGGTCTGGCTACGTTGCCCGCTGCCCGTCTGCAGGGGAATGGGAGGATGATGGGGAGGAAAAAGGTGTCTAGTTAGTGTGACAAATTTGTGACAACTTCAGGTGGAGATTTGGAAATCATCTTGCTTTCCCATTCCCCTTGCTTAGAAACTTTTGAAGCTTCTCAACCACAGAAAATTTGATTTATATGGCTTCTAAAGCACCTCTGACCAAAACAAATCACAAAAAGCACCAAAAAATCCCCCCAAAAAACCAAAAAAAACCCCAAACAACCCTTCAAATAGGGAAAAGATGAAAAGAGGGCAAGATACCTTCAGAGATTAGACAGTGAATCAGTTCTACTCATTCTCAATTGTACCTTCTCCTCTCCTCATCCCCCTGCTCTGAGAAAAGGCAGTTCTCTAGAGAGAATTATGGCTTCTTGGAGATGAGTGATTACAAATGACTTCTTTCTCATTGATCCCCAAGAAGGCCTCACTTGGAAAGCTGCCTTTGAGAGCCAAGAGGCTCTTATTCCAGTTCCCCAGCCACCTCCGGTGGAGGAGGGCACTTTACCACCCGTGGGTCCCCTCCCCTGCCACGTGCATCGTATCTGTGAGCCCATTTAGGCAAAGTGGAGAGACAGTCTCGAGGCCCCAGGCTTCAGATGCTGCCTCAAGAATCCTTTCCATTCCAGTAACCAAGTGTTCCCAGAGTTTGGGGAAGGGCAGAAAGAAAGAGGGCATTGAGGAGGGGAGGACAAGAGAGGAATGGGAGGCCAGAGAGCTCAGCAAGGTGTTTATATGTTTGTGTATCCCGATTTGTGATCGTGCAAACTTTTCTCAAATTCCCTAAGGCTGTGGAGGTGTAATGGGGACTGAAAAGGAGTGGGTTCAAGCATATCATTCAGTTTCATTACCTGCTCCTCCTGCTGGCGCTGGCAACAGAGAATCATCTGCAAATATGGTAGCTGAGGCAGAACCAGGATATATGGAAAATAAAGGGACAAACTTTGACAATAGAACTCTACCATTGTTAGAAGGGAAAGCTATAATGTGAGGGAAGGGGGAGGGCTGGGAGAGGTAAGAGGGAAGGTGTGACCCAGGTCTGATGGGATGAGGAAAACTGTGATATGGGAGGAGGTGGAGGAGAAAGGCACCAAAGGAATTGGGCAGAATTAGGTTTCAGTCTGGCCCCTTCTCTGACATCTCCTTTGCCGGCCACTTGTGTTATGTGCGCTTGTGTCTGTAATGTGCTGTGTGCCCATGGCTGGCGCTGGGGAGGATCGGGTGGAGGTGGTGGTGAGGAAGGGTAAGAAAAGGAAAGGGAAGGCAGTTTTAAGGGATAAGAAGGAAGAGGAAGAGAAAGGAGAGAGGGAGGGCTATTACCTGGCCATCCTGCTGTAGGTGATGGTGAAGGATCTGCGAATGCGGCTGCTGATGGGGGGTCAGAATGTGCATAAAGGGGGCAGGTGGGTAGGCAGCAGCTGTGGCTGGATTGATGGGCCCCCCACTTCCTAGGGCTGAAGGCAAGTTGAAGGAGGCAGCAGGAGTACCGGAATGAAAACCTTGTTTCTCAAAAGATTGCTATCCAGGAGGATGGGAGGAGAGAGTAAAAGGGATCAGCAAATGAATCCTTCGGATTTGAGCCCAAGCTCTCCCACCCTCAAAAAGCAGCATGGTGTCACAGAAGGAATGCTGCACCTGAAGTCAGATATTCAAGTCTCAGTCTCGGCTCTGTGCTTTAATAGCTGTGTGATCCTGAGAAAACTACTCTGAGCCTGTTTTCTCATATATAAAATGATGCTTATGGACCTCTTAGTTTTAAGGACAAAATGAGGCTGGATGTGAAAGCACTTTGTAAAACCTGTCATATACAAACATAGTGAAATCTGTTGATTACTCCTTAGCACCCCTATCTCTGATGTTGGGTAGATATAGGTATACTCCATGGGTTTTTTTCAAAAGAATGCTGAGTTATCTTTAAAGTATTGGCCATGAAGCACTCCACCATAACTCCTAATACTTTGTATCAAACTTTAAATTATTTATGGTGGTGGGAGAAAAACAAAATACAAACTTGTGGATAATTCAAATGTTTCACTTTACTGAGTCGGGCTTTGTCCACTCCATTCCCACTGTTTATTGTAGATATACTTACAAAGAAGGGAATAAACTTATCTTCCTTCATTCCATATTCATTCTCTTTGAAAGTTATGGAAAGGTTGGTTGTGTGTAGGTTAAGGACCAGTTACACAATCAATCACATGACACATTACAATTTTCCAACCTTCCTATGGCATTTCTCATTTGTTCTCTCCCTCCCTGAAGAATGAATTTGAGTTTCCTCAAGAAACTAAAGTCTAAAGATGAATCATTTTCTAGTAGAATGGGTTTCCTGACACCTGCTCACTTCTATCAATGCAACTCTATCTTCTCTATGTCTGTCTCTTTTTCCACTTCTATCCAGAGCCAGGCACCTACCTGGGTTTTGGAGTACACAGAACCCGAGATATCTGGCACGCCCGTGTTACTGGAGGTGACTGATACACCTGAGGGAGGAGGAAACAGATAGAGGATTAGCTCAGCTAGCTGCCTGATCCCCTCCCTGGGAGGCGGTGAGTGACATGTGAAGTCTTTCTAGCTATAGCACGGCAAGGGAATTTTGGTCTGTTTTTCCAGCTTCAGGTCAGTCTTGAGGGATAAGAGCTCATGATACAACGGCTAGCTAAGGGTTCTCTTGTCCTTTCCAGGTGTGTACTGAGCCTATGTGTGTGAGTGAGGTGAGTTGGTTTTGGAGGGACAAGAGGAAATAGCCAAAACTCACTAGTACGTAAGCTTTCAAAACACCTCGGTAGCAAAGCCCAACAGGAATGTATTACACTTATATTGTTCATTTTAAATCAATCCACCAGACTTCACTCATTCCTGCTCCAGAAGACAGGTAATCTGGCTCTTCCTGTTCATGAAGAGACACTCTTGGGCTCAAATGCATGCTTTCACAGCATACGCTAAGTACTAGAGAAGCAGTTCAATTCCACCTCCAAAAGTACTTTTATTCTCCGAGCTTCCGCTCACTTAGCCCAGCTTCTCCAATCTTGGAGCTTCTAGGCTGTATACTTACGAGTTGGCATAAAGATGAAGATCCATCTACGCATTTTAAGGAAGAGGGGTAATGAAGGCATATAGGAATAGGCTATCTCTTGCAGTCTCGGTGGAACACAAAACCTAAATGTTATTCTAGTTTACAACTTCAGCTTCTCCATGAAATAAAGGCTTCAATCCATACTCTTAACAACTTGCATGTTTCCTTTTGAAAAACTCGTTACCACCACTACAACTTAAAGGAAACCAAAGTAATACAATTCCTCATTTTAATTTATACTCCACATAGTCTACCTCCTGGGGCAAAAGGTCAAGGTTAGAGGGGAAAAAAAAAATGCCATCAGGTAAGCTAATCCAGCATCTTACCTTACTAAAATTATATGCGAAGATTTGAGGTAAAGTAACTCAAATTTAACTAGGAACTTAAAGCATGATTTTAAAAGATATATTAGTTCTCATGAATGGAGATAAAGTGAAACTCCAGAAGAACTTTGTATTTCAGTCTATGTCCTTGGAGCCTTCTCCTTTGCTGTTAGGATTACTTTGACAGAAGAGTTTTTTTTAGAAACACTGTACTGAAGTGACCAAATCACAAATGAAGAATCCTCCATTCACCCGCAATTCAGCAGCAATCCCCCTTCAAACTGCAGAACCCAAATCCTCCCAATGTCTAGGACAAACGCAGCCATCAAAAGTTAAGCCCACCTTAGACAGCCACTTTAGAATCTTCCCAATAGAAGTGGCCTCTTAACCTGGAAACCCCTCCCACAAGTCCAGATAGTTCCAGGGAGGAGCAAACACCAACTAGGAAAAAGAACAGAACTACAGAAAGCAAGCATGAGAAAATACTTCCCCGTGTCCAAAGTATCAACTATACTTTCTGGGCACAAAAGTAAAAGGCAGGGGCAATATGATGTGATTGAGTTTTCTTCCCTTTCCCTTTTTTTCAAATCCCAGGATCCCATCTGGTAAATCACCAGTAACTTAAAAAAAACTAGCTTATTTTTTTGTATGGAAAAAAGCTAAGCTGATGAGGTTTGTATGGAAGGTTTGAGTAAAGTGTAATAGACAGGATACAAGTAGAACATGTTTTAGGAAAATGAGATGAATTTTACTGCAAAGACTCAAAACAGCTTGCTGACACCCCTTGGTCATCCCACACAAATGGAAGAAATGGCTAACTTGACTCTCAGACTGGGTAGTAAGGAGCAATTTAGTTTCAATGTGCCCCTACTTGGTCTCATTTTTTTTCAGAGGCTGGACTAGCTAAAAACCAGCTTATAGTCCAGAGGCTTTAAGTTGGATATTGACTAAAGGGATTGGAAATACAGGGCGGGCGGAAGGGGCGGGAAAGAGATTTCTCCTTGTAGTTGCCATAATAGCTGTAAGCATTAGAGGTCCCTACCAACACTTTACCAGTTATTAGAAAGCTCCTCAGGCTTGAGTTCTCTTGTTTTCCTTCCAAGAGTCAAAATTCCCTTCTATAATCATATTAACACCATGTGGACAACAGGGAGGAGACCAAGAACCAACTCTCCCCCTTGGAAAGTTGGTTACATCCCCAGGACAAAATTACTCCAGAGGGCTAGAAAGAAGGAAAGTAATATTGGGGTTTCCAATTAACCAAGCATGGTGGTCTCCCTGTGCAAGTTAACTGTAAACAAAGGGCTGGTGAAGTACTAGTGGGATTGAGAATTTCTGTAATCAAAGATATCTAACCAAACTTCTCCCAAACATCATTAGCTACACCCACAAGTGCAAAACACTAATAATCCACAATCCCTGAAGGGACTAAGAACAATGCTCCAGGCTAGCAGTTTCCACAGCCTGAGTCATCAACTAGCTGGTTCCTCAAAACTCTATCAGATCTCAACCAGCCACTTAGCCTGAGGGAACCAAATGTGGAAATTAAACCTTGAAGATACTTCCCCAACAACAGCTCTGAACACCATCTCTTCTACCTTTTACTGTAATATACACTAAACCTCTTTTCCTTCCCCTCTGCTTATGTCAGAGGCAAGGGGAAGATCTGAATGAAAAGTGAAGAGCTATAATAAGCATGGAGAATCAGGGATTTTCTACAAATAACTTTCTTTACCAACCAATCAACAGGTTGGAAACGGAGACTGTTTCCCCTCCCCCACCTTCATAAAATTACCCTACTGAAAAGTTACCAGTTCTTTGGCTATGCTGGAGTTTGATTGAAAAAGCCACCCTCCACCCTTCATCTGCACAACATTGGATCCTAGTGTCCAGAGAGACATGCACGGAAAGAACGCCAGAGTTAGCTAAAGAAATACCACAGTTTATTGAAGACTACAAATATTTTTGTTACAAGTTGAAACTACATGCCTTCCAGAAAACAAAAGCAACAGCAGGTGTGTGCATTGATGCTTCGAAGGTGCTGCACCGCTTGAACTCGAAATGGGTAAGACAGGGTCAGACACATGGGGGAGGGGAACTGGGGAAAGGGCAAGTTCAAAAGCCCAGAAGGTATCCACCAACTCATTTCCCCAAGCCACGCAGGCATGGCCTCAGCTCAGCAGGCTCTCCTCAGTGGTCTGGTTTCTGAAACAAGACTTCAGTGCAAATTTATACACACACACAAAACACAGCCCCCAGCCTTGGGCCAAATTAGCTCTCTGCCGTCCAGAAATGCTTGTAAGGGGGTGGATATTTTCTTCCTAAAAGGAATCAAATACATAAAAATAAATGAATTTAGAGGTTGATGAGGAATGGGATGACAACCTTCTGTGGGGCTGGGAACTGGGGGTTCTTAAGAGGGCTGTTAAGAGAGTTTCTGAAATCTTAAGGGAGGTAAGAAGCTACGATTTCCAGAATTAGGTATGCTATTCTTGAACATGGTCCAGCTAAAACTTTAATCTCGGAATGGGGCAATTCCAAATAAAAAAGTTTATAATATTTCCCCAAGGATTAGGGTGGATCATGCTCAGTGAGAGGAATAGCCAACAGGGGTCCTAGATATTAAATCTCAATGGGTGCCTCAGGATTTCTTGAGTTTAAATCTTGACCTAAGTCATACAACACAGTTCAAAACTCCACTTCGCTGTCAGTTCCCAGACCAACTGCCATCTGTGCTCAGCTCAGAGTTTCCCAATTATTAAAACCTTGGGCAATTTATCAACTTGGAGGCCACACAAGGGTAAAGAATGCAGATGCAGCTCCATCCAAATCATGAAACCATAATTGAGCAGATTTTTGAAGTACAACCCTCAACCCCATCCTCCTCCCCCCACCCATATTCATCTACAAATCACTGAAAAAAGTAGATGGAATTGTTTTATTCAAAGACTCCTTTTCTTACTCCCTGTCCTCCAAAAGTGGAGTATAGGTTCAGGTTTAGGCAAGGGATGGACTAAGAATCTTTTAGGTCAGTACCCATTCAGGAGATTCCAACATTTACCTCCCTGCCATCAGATGTGCAAATGGATTTTGCAAGGAGCCCAGACCCACAAGTGAAGGTATCTAAAGGTTCAACTCTCACTTTATTGAGTACAGGCATACTTGGTTTTATTGCATCTCACAAGTGTTGCATTTTTTGGAACGTGAAGGCAAGACCATCCACCACCAAAGACTACAATCATTCTATGATGGTGGTTTGGAAGAGAATCCACAATATCTCCAAGGTATGCCTATACTCATGCCCTAATTCTTTCTCTCCATATTTTAGGTCTCCTAGCTTGGGACTTAAAGGAGGCCACATAAAAAAGTAGTACTAGAAAGATATTTAAGCTAAGTCTACTACAGCACACTAGCAAAGAAACCTTTTAACCCTTCTATTAAATAAATATGGCCTCTTTTGTATGATCAGTACCATACATATTAACACTTGCCTCCATTGACATCTCAATGAAATCTTGGGGCCCCTTGCCCTGCTTCCCACCTAAATATTAGGCCAGCCAGCATATGCTAATAGTCAATACATGCTCCAGGCCATCCCTGTCATGAGTAGTGACTATATGGTCTAGTATCAAGCTCCTCTGTTGGGGCTGCTCAGGCACACACACAAGCAGTCAATCATTAACAATCATACATGAGCAGCAGCACACCTTCACCAACACAATTTTATCAAGCATGGAGTCTTCCTCCTTGAAACTCATTTAATAACATCCCACAGACACCACTGACAGCTGGGGTCAAGATAAGCTTACCAGTGTTGTATCCATGAGACCCATATCCACTTGGCTGTTGGAAAGGGGTGGCCGATGCATTCACACTGACATTCACACCATGCTGCTTGGAAGAGGTAGGAGCCACCTAAAGAGTAAAAAGGCCAGAACTGCAGTGAAATGGAAGCAGACTACCATTCACCCTACCCATTTTCTGGTTGTGTGATTTTGTTTTGTTTTGTTTTTGCTTTTTTGGATCTCACCCTACCCATTTTCGTTCAGGGACTCAAGCATTCAGATGATTACTCATTGTGATATAGGCTGACCACAGTTCGTTTACAGAATGTAATAGGCTTCCTATCAACTTTCTAAAATCAGTGAAGTCAATAAATGCTACTTTAAAAAAAGGGAAAAGGGCAGTGATAACAGGGAATGAAAGACAGTCTGGGAGTAAAGCTATATGCCATCATATTCGTATTTTAGCTAATTCTAAGAATAGGTAATCTTTATCCCAATACCCCCAATTTCAGCCCCATTCCCTCCTCCAGGCCAGAAAGAGAAATTGTTCCGCTCCATCCATTATTAAAAAGTCCTTGAAAGAACCTACAATAGTGTCCAGGGTTAGGATACTTTACTGCAAGGAAAAACCAGTACTCACAGGGAACACAGCAGGCCCATACTGGAAGGTGCTGGGGAGGCCCGGAACCCCTGTGTAGTATGGCAGGCTGGTGTAACTGTAGCCAGGAGGCAGCGCCGGGTTCAGGAATGTCTGCTGCGTGGTGTGGTGAGTCTGCGTCTGGTTCTGTTGGGGTTGGGCCAAGGTAGTGGCCGGGGCTGGGGAGGAGGCATCCCCACGGCCAAACTTTGTGAGGTCACCTGTGACAGGAGAGGCTAAATGTACCTGCCTCTTTCACCCCCCACACCAATGCAGAATTACTACTTCTGGTTTCACATGATTTCAGAAAATCCTGTTAAATTTGAATTACATTTCTTTGTAGCTCCACAGCAAGCACAGTGCTAGTCAAGGACTAATGTCGAATGACTGTGCAACGCTGCAGCATAGACAGGCTCCCAGAATAAAATTCCTGCATGATTTCCCTGCCTACTCATTTCATCTCCCCTAAATCTCCCTCCATGGAAACACTCCATGCTGGATTCAAAAAAACAATGATAGAACCTGATCAGTTTGGCTCAGTGGATAGAGCGTCAGCAGACTGAAGGGTCCCGATTCTGGTCAAGAGCATTACGTTGGTTGTGGGCACATCCCCAGTAGGGATTATGCAGGAGGCAGCTGATGGATGTTTCTCTCTCGATGTTTCTAACTCTTCCCTCCTCTCTGTAAAAAAATCAATTAAACAAAACAAAACAAAAACAATGATAGGTCCAGAAAATGGTAGATCAGTGAGGACAACAGAAGGCGGCCCATGGATAATCAAGATAATGGCACTGGGACTGCTCCTATGAGTAGGGTACAGGAGCAGAGATGAGCAGAGGAAGGCCAGTTCAACAACTGCCTTTCCTGGAAAAAGCTGAAGAATATCTGAAAACCAAATCAAAATACCATCTGAATCACAGGGAGACAAAAAGTGAGCTAAGGAAAAACTTGCCAGATGCCCAAGTTAAGCAGGATTCTGAATCTACCAATACTGATTCATCACATCCATTCTCTATTCCTGCCAAAGATCTTAACCGAACTGGGTCCCTTCCTGCTACTAATCAGGTTTCTGCCTCCAATGTCAACACACACTCCTTTTATTTAGCCCCATCCCAGTCCTACCAGAATAAGGGTTGCTGGCCAGGCTACCATCCCTCCCAGTTAGCGGTGTGGTGGGTGTGGGAAATGGGATGCTGTAGTAATCCTAGAAGAGAGAATTAAAAGAGCAGAGTTAATGCCACTATTCTCTCTGTTGAGAGGCAGGAAAATGTTGAAGTAATGCAACTTATCCAGCCACTGAATAGGCTGGCTAAAATTGGCACAAACTCCAAATTACTCTTGCATACTCTGTCCCCCCTGCCTGGCCATGGGCACAGTCAAGCAAGGTCTACTGGTATGCCCAGTGTAAAACACACCAAGTCCATCAGGACCAGTAATATTCTCAAATCTGTAGATAATTATTGCTAATAGTCTACTCTAATGAGAAAATAGATCTTTCTATAATTCAAAGTGTCTGAAACATACAGAAAGCATCTTGAGAGTTCCAGGGTACCCTGAGTTATAAAATGCTAAAATTTGTTTACTTCAAAGATGCCACAATTCTGATTTTTCTTTTAAATTATCTTCTATTAGAGCCACTTCCCAAGACACCATACTTTGATATGTCTTAAAGGGTGTGTATGAAGATAATGGTTGGGAAAGAGCTATGACTTATCATTTGATAATGTGAAAGCAATCCTCCCCTCCAAGACTAATTTTAACATTGCTTTCTTTTCCTATGCCCTACATCACATACTCACCAATGGGAATCTTGTCTGAAGCATCTGCAAGTCATCATAACCATATACTTGTGGCTGAAAGATACAAGCATGTAACAATACTAATGTGGACAGATCATGACATTAGCAAACCAAGGAGCTAGGAAACAAGATAAATCAACAGAACTTTCATCCTCATTTTTAGGAAAGAGTAGGAGACAAATTGTTTCCTTTAAGAAGAAGAAGTAAATACAGAGATTAAATGATTCATGAAAGGTATTGAAGCTTTCCTTGAGTTATACACTAGTGATTCAACTAGACTGGCTTTGAACACAAGTCATACATAAATAGCCTGCTCTTATTTTCTGTTCCACCAGCCTGTCTCTTATAGTTTTCAAAACATGGCTTAGCCCTGGCTGGTGTGGCTCACTTCGTTTGGATGTCGTCCCATACACCAAGAGGTTGCTGATTTGATTTCTGGTCAGGGCACATGCCCATGTGGCAGACTTCATCTCTATAGGAGGCATGCAGAAGGCAGCTAAGGTGAATGATGTTTCCCTCTCACATTGAGTTCCTCCCTCCCTCCTTCCCTTCCTCTCTCCCCAAAACCAATATAAAAGAATTTTTTAAAAAATTGAAATATATAGTTTTCACAGTATTACAGATGTCACCTATTTCTACCTCCAAACCCGTTTGCAAAAAACGACTACTGTTAGCCACCTATTTTCACTTAGACCTAATAGAGTTGGGAACTCTGGTCTGACCAGGTGGGAGCCAGCAAAGACCCTCATAGATAGGAAATCAATTCAACTAGAAAAAATAATTCTCTAAGAAATTAAAAGGGATATCAGGTGGACATTCTGGCTTTTGGCTTCTGAGGCCGAGAATATGTATTTCACAGAGAAAATATACAACAGAGGGCCTGGCCTCCATTTAGTCCTTCCTCTCTGAAAACTGTTATTTTTTCTCAAAACTACAAAGATTAAAGCCCTGTTTTCATGCAACAACCACTCATCTGTTCTATATTTTAATTATAGTGTTCCACCTGAAGCCAGATTTATAAAGAGTAGCCACACCATCTTCATTTTTTGGAAAAGACCCCCAAGTCTCACTTACCGGGTAGGCATGTAACAGCCCTGGAGCCATAATATACGGATTAGGCAACAATGGCGGGACCCCAGGAGGGAGATTAGGAGGAGCTTTTCCTAAAAAAAAAAAAAAAAATTACATTTTTATGCTGTTACACAATTACTTCTCTCCTGCATCCCAAAGGAATGCCATCCACCTTTTCTATGCAGGGCTACCTGAAGTTGTAGCAACTGAGCTTCGAGTCGAGGCTGTGACAGTGGAGTTGCTGCCTAGGCTGAGGCCCAGGCTGCTGCCACTATTGAGACTGGAGGAGACACTGACCACTGGCGGAGGTGCAGAGACTGTGCTGGACGTTGTGGAGAAAGTGCTGGAGGAAGAATGAAGATTCGCCTCACTCTCCACGCTTGTGTGCTTCAAAAAGAGAGCGGTGGAAGAGAGGAGGAGGAAACAGCAATTAGCATAACCGGTCAGGAAAAATCAATACTCCCTGTTGATTATATCATCAATCAATTTCCCAATTAAAAAGGCTGAGGAATGGCCCTAACCGGTTTGGCTCAGTGGATAAAGCATCAGCCTGCGGACTCAAGGGTCCCAGCTTCGATTCCGGTCAAGGGCATGTACAGGAGGCAGCTGATCAATGGGTGTGCAGGAGGCAGCTGATCGATGTTTCTCTCTCATTGATATTTCTAACTCTCTCTCCCTCTCCCGTCCTCTCTGTAAAAAATCAATAAAATTAAAAATTAAAAAAAAAAAGGCTGAGGAATGGTACCAGAGGGTACTCTGCCAAATTAGAAGAAATTACTAAATACTTTACTGGTAGACAATTCCCTAAGAGTCATCTGATAAGGATGGTAACAAAAGACCCACTACACACCATTACACTGTTCAGAACAGTAGCAGAGAGAGTAGGGACAAACCAACCTCCCCCCAAACCAGTGCTGGTTGGCCAATAAGAAGACAGAGATAGTTTAAATACAAAAAATATATCATAGCCTTTTCTCCTACACTCTTCATTAGTTCAGAATAAGACCAGTTCACGGGACAGGAAAAAGTTCTAATAAACTTAAACATGAAATCGTATATTTGAGAAACAAAGACTCCTAGAAAAATCTTAGCCCCCATGATCTCCCCTAGGCTCCTGGCAAACCAGACACCTTTGCCCCAAATGTTACTTGTCTTTCTTACCATCTCAGAGTAATGAAATAGTTGCTATAAATCACAACAGTGAAATTAATTCTTTGACCAAAAGCTCTTATTTCATCTCTACTTTTACAGATGCTCAGATTCACACTATTTTCAGGACTCATGTTCAGCATATCTCAGACCAAGAATAAAAATGCCTGTACCAGTTAGAAAATATATTCTTACAGAAGTTATTATAGCATACAAAAGCCACAACCAGCTTCAGTTAAAAAAAAAAAAAAAAAAAAGTCACACAATGAATGATTCAGGAAAGTTACTTCCAGGGCTTTGAAAACCTCAGATCAATGATCATTTTGCCACCTCAGAATCCCTTAGGACAATCTTACGGTTGGATAGTAGTAAGTATAAAAAACCCACAATTCTTTTATAGCACCATGCTTACCAAAAGAGTGGATGTCGAAGTACGCCCAGAAGATGTTGATGACGAAAGGGTATTCTGCTGAGTAGATAAAGTACTGTAACAAAAAAAGAAGAAAAGAGGGTGTCATAAGACACAGTGCTATAGTCACCTGACCTGAAGCTTCAATTAAAAATACAGCAAGAGTTTGGCCAGTTTGGCTCAATGGTTGAGCATCGACCCATGAACCAAAAGGTCACAGGTTCACTTCCTGGTCAGGGCACATGTCTGGGTTAAGGGCTTAATCCCCAGTAGGGGACATGTAAGAGGCAACCGATCGATGGTTCTTTCTCATCGATGTTTCTACCTCTCTATTCCTCTTCCTTCCTCTCTTCCTAAACATCAATAAAAACATTAAAAAAAAAAAAAAAAAAAAATACAGCCAAAACCAGTTTGGCTCAGTGGATAGAGCATAGGCCTGCAGACTGAAAGGTCCCAGGTTCGATTCCGGTCAAGGGCATGTACCTTGGTTGGGGGCACATCCCCTACGGGGGATGTGCAAGAGGCAGCCGATCGATGATTCTCTCTCATCGATGTTTCTAACTCTCTATCCCTCTCCCTTCCTCTCTATAAAAAAATCAATAAAATATATTTTTTTAAAAATAAAGCAAGAAAATAAGACAGAATATAGGACCAAGGAAATCTAAGATAATATAGTCAGCAAAATAGCCAGCCAGGGGTAGAGAGCAAAGGTAAAATGGATGTTGAAAGGGGAAAATAATCATCCTGTCTTTACTTCCCATACCTTTTAGGTAATCTACTTAGCTAAAGTGATCTGAGCCAGGTAGAGGGTTAATAAGATAGAACCAGAGAGCTCCCACCAACTCTAACCTCCAATCCTCACCCAAATCACCTGTTGTGTTGTGTGGTAGTAGTATTTGGAATCTCCTCATTGTGACTCAAGCCACCCAAAGTGGATGAGTGCTGATTGGTTGTCGTCAATAAGGAAGCTGCAGATACCGTTTCACTGAGGGGGGGGATACTAGAAGTAGAAGGTGAGTCAGATTTCACTGCAGAGCCTGTAGCACCTGGAAATGAAGAAAGGAAGTCATCTCATCAGAGGAAGGAGAATGTCTATAGGTGTGGCTCAGTTGGTTGAGCATATCTCATGCACCAAAAAGGTCGCTGGTTAGATTCCTATCAGGGCACACGGCCAGGGTGTGGGCCCGATCCCTAGTATGGGGCATGCAGGAGGCAGCTGATGTGTTTTTTTCCTTCTCCCTTTCTTTAAAATAAAATAAAAACATATTAAAAAAAAAAAAAAAACTTTTAAAATGAAATGATGATTATAGTTCTAGGCTGTCCCAAAGACAAGAGTCTTGAGTTATTTAATAATGGATCATTTATTTTTAGGTCGAATCCTTTTCCGTTTTTTAATTCCAAGCATTTCAGAGCACTGATCTCCTTTACCCAGTAAAGGGAACCAAGGGTATTATCACCATTTTAAGACAGAAAACCTAAAAGTTAGGATGGTTTGAGATTAAACAACAAGATAGAACCAAACTAAGACTATAACCACATGTTCTGATCATTGAGCTGGGGCTATTTTCACTACAATCTAGGAAATACAAAAATAGTGAAAGGACAGGGAAAACACTACACACATAGGTGGTTTGGCTCAATGGACAGAATGTAGGCTGCTCTCAGGCTGAAGGGTCCTAGGTTGGATACTAGTCAGGTGCATGTGGAAGGCAACCAATCAATTTTCTCTTTCTCTGTCTCTCCCCCTCCCTTCCACTCTCTCCAAAAATCAATGGAAAAATATTCTTTGGTGAAGATTAACAAAAAAAGGAAAAAAACAACACTATAACTGGGAGGAAAAAAACCTGGAGAACACTCACCTTCAACAGATTGCGTGGTCTGTAACTGCGTGGCCTGCACAGAACTGAAGCCATTCTGATATAAAACAGGAGATAAACAGATAAATTCAAGTGAACAGAACAAATTAGTACTGACTGACACAACTTAATTTTCAACAAAATTCTGTAAATTAACATAATTTAGACTATCAAAAGAAAATAAAACAAAAATTAACAACAAAACAAAGATGTTGTAGGCCGTATGGCTCAAATGGATAGAGCATTGGCCTGGGAACTGAAGGGTCCCAGGTTTGATTCCAATCAAAGGGATATGGCTGGGTTTCGGGCTCTCTTCCAGTAGGGGGCATGCAGGAGGCAGCCAATCAATTATTCTCTTTCATCATTGATGTTTCTGTATCTTCCCTCCCTCCCTTCCTCTCTAAAATCAGTAAAAATATATTAAAACAACAAAGATAAACAAGCAAACAAATGAAAAAACAAAACAAAGAGACATAAACCCTGTGTGACCCAAAGCAACAGAAAGCAACCCCCAGATTGCTGAATATATCCCAAACCCAAATAGCTGCAGAAGAAAGCCCAAATCCATTGATCCTTGGGGGAAATGTTGGAAGTAAGGTAGTTCAGCCAAGTCACTTATTTTTCTGGCTGCACCTCACAATGCCACCACATCACCTCTGGCATGAGCTATCCCCCTCACCAAGCCAAGACATGGCAAGGTGAGATCTACTGCTATGCACCCAGCATGCTAGCAATCAGCTCTTCCAGCAATCCATTCAGAACACAGGCACTGAGTCTGATTCTAATAGAAAGAATGACTCTTGAGTGCAGGGAAAATAGTTTTCTGGTTCTGAGTCTCCAGGCTTGCTAAAAAAACTATTTCACCAACCACAGAAATGTACTTTTATCAGCTTCTCAATAAGCACTTCTGAGGTGTCTTAGCACTATTTGTCAAGAAACAAAACACTAATATTAAAAGGCCCCTGCCCACTATGTTTCTAATCAAGGTTCATGAAGACACTACCTTTGCCTGAGTCAGGTCCTTTTGGGGTGATGAAGAGATGGAGCTGGGGAACCGCCGAGTCTGCGTGGATCTCTGTTCATACAGAGGGCCCTGAGCATTGTTTTGGGAGGTATAGGTTGTCGACTGAATTGGGCCACTCTGATAACCGGACTCCTGACTCTGATTAGATGAAATTGTAGATGAAGATTCACTGTGGGTAATAAAGAAGAAATCTATTAGAGAAATTAAATAAAGCAGATCGATTGATACTAAGGAAACAGTGGAGATTAACTACTAAAGTTATTTCAATCCAAAAAGAAAATTTCCAGCAACAATAAAAGAAACCACCATTTTCTCCTGACAACTGAATGCATTTTCATAACCTACAGAGCTAAGTATTTGAATTAAGAATTTAAAATATTTTGTTTAAACATTTAGGAGTTTAAAACACTTATTGTCCCCCCTATATTCTGCTGTTATAAGAAAAAGAGGCTACGAGTCAGTAGAAAGGATACACTAATCGGTCCCTTCATCATAGCATGAACCCTAATCATGAGAGCATCATCTTTTGCTCATATACATTTTAAGTAATTCTGAGCCCTTGTCTCTTTCAAAAATCCCATTAAATACAAAGTTACTGGTAGAACTTTCTGAGAGGAACTTTTGAAATATTCTCATGCATTAATGGCATATGATTCAAAATATCTAGGCTAGGGCCAAACACCTTTATTTATTTATTTATTTATTTATTTATTTATTTATTTAAATTCTAAGGATTGAGAAAAGCAGCCCAGACCCCTAAAATTCCTCCAGGATTTTCTTTTTCCTTTAAAAAAAAAAAAAAAAAAAAAAAAAAAATATATATATATATATATATATATATATTTAATTTTTTAACAGAGAGGAAGGATGAGAGATAGTTAGAAACATCGATGAGAGAGTCATCCATCAGCTGCCTCTTGCACACCCCCCAGTGGGGATATGCCCGCAACCAAGGTACATGCCCTTGACAGGAATCGAACCCGGGACCCTTCAGTCAGCAGGCTGATCTATCCACTGAGCCAAACCGGTGTCGGCCCTCCAGGATTTCCTATTGCTTAAGAAGGCCCCCCCTGAAGTATCAGAGGAAGTAGGAAAGTTTCTATTGGAAAGGTTCCTTTTCATCTGTCTAATACATCAATGCTTTCTCCTTCTTAGGAGTTCCAAGTTATATTCTTCAAAGGCCTAAGTCCCAAACCAAAGCACTAAAAGTGTCAAAAGCATTTTTACTTATTTTTATTTTTTTTCAAAAGCATTTTTAGCTGTGGCAGATGCCAAGGTACTTTCCATTAGAGGTACGGTACACCTCTGAAAGATCTGTGTTTTACTGTTCTAGAAGTACTCAAAGGGTATTATTTCCCTCTGTTTAGAGTTACAGATGATCCTAGTAATGATATTTTAAAGCGCTACTTTTTAAAGGTGGCTATTATTTTCTCACTCGGTCAGAGACTTGTCATTCCTAGAGTTAGAAGAATAAGCGAAGATCCTTAGAAAAAGGGTAAAAACCTAATATAAGAAGCCTTATGACTGAGGTTCCCGCTACCTGGCCGTGCTGGTATAGAGGCTATTTGGAGCCTGGCTTGAAGAGGCGGTCGTGGTTGGAGTGGACTCATAATCAGAAAGCACAGGCTCTGACCCAAACTGCAATGCCCCAAACTGTAGGTTTAGCCCTGAGATATCTGCTGAGCCAGGCATCTCCACAGCCAGAGCAGGAATCTGTAGAGAAGAGAAGATAATGCCTTATTGTAATCTTACTGTGAGACTAAAAAAAAACACCCATGCTTCAATTTCCCAAACTAATACTCTTACAATCTCAATTCCCAAATCATACACCGTCTTGCCCAGGGCAATATATATCTAAAAGCTCAAGTACCTTAGAAGTCAAGGAGGCTTTTTTCTTCTGCTGTTTCAGTTTTTGCTGAGCCGGCTGAGGGCTGGAGGACTGGTTGTCTGAAGACCCAGGAGACATTTGTGGAGCCGAGGTGGGTTTGCTTGGCAGCGGAGAAGAGGGGGGTGGAGGTGCGGCCGTGGAGGTAGCCGCTGCGGGGGGCTTCTCCTGAAGGAACACCTCCATCATGGTTGACGATGGAGTGAAAGCCTGGCGCTTTGTAAAGGGGCTGTGCACTGTTGAATCATTTGGGTTCTTCAAATCTGCATGAGTAAACCCACTATGTGTAAGGCCAGAGATACTGATGAACCTCAAGAAAACGCTGTTATCCTGCTCTTGAGCCATGAACAAGGTCTTCAGGATTAGAAACTCATATAAATAGGTCCTCTTTTAAGGCATTATCCCATTTCTGTAGGTAATAATCATTGGATCACATTTGTTCTTATGTAGAGCCTAGGAACCTAATTGAATCAACACTATTACCCTACCTGTTAAGATAGGAATCTAGGAACTGTCCCTGTTTAGAGTATAAAGTCATAAAATGGCCAAGTCCATGAAACTTTCCAAAGGGAATATGCTGATTTCAAACACTAAAGATAAATCGAAGGAATTAAAAAAAATCCCCAGGTCAACAGAAGACTACAAATATGTATAAAGCTAAATTTAATGAAAAAATTTATAGCCTTTTATTATAGACTTTTTATTATTCCCCAGCTTCAGAAAGCCCAGCTCACTAGGGGAAATCACTGTGGGAAACTAGTCAGTTGGCAGCCCTTTTCCTTAGTTCAGGACATACTCTCTACCCCCTACTCCTGCTTAACAGTAATGCTCCAATGCTTAAAGAATTCAATACACTTTCCATTTTTCTCACCATACTGCACCAGCGATGGGGATTGTGTGGTGGAGCCCATGTCCCAAGAGGAGGTGGTGGTGGTTCCAGATTGAGAATGCTGAGCTGCCAACTGAGCCAGGGCCTGAGCAGTCTTGAATTGCTCCAAGAACTGGGAGCCTGTGGTGCTGCCACTTTTAGCTTCACTGACATCGCCAAATCCTTTCCCTAACATGCTCACCTGTAAATCAACACAGAGATTAGAGAAATCTATAGCCAACAACCTTGTTCAGCTACTCAAAAAGACACTTGCTCTGGAGTCAGACTATCTAGATTCAAATCCCAGTTATGTAACCATGGAAAAGTAATTTTTCTGCACCTCATTTTCCCTCATCTGAAAATAGAAATAAAAGTAGTTCCTCAGAAAGTTGTAGGATCAAACAAATATATGTACAGCATTTAATGTGTGCATAGAACACAGTAAATAATATAAATGACAGCTATTAAAATTTATACTTTTATCAGCACTTCCTCCTCCTCCTCCTCCCTCCAGCTCAGGCATAAAGCTCTAATGATTAGAGGATATTTTCCCCCTTTCCACTCCACAGCTCAAAAGGAACAAAAAAGCCGGCCAGAGTGGCTAGCTAGGTTGGTTGAGCAATATCCCGTGCACCAAAGGCTTGCCAATTTGATTCCAGGTCAGGGCACGTACCGGGGTTGCAGGAATGTACGGAAGGCAAACCAATAGTTGGTGTTTCTCTCTCACATCAATGTTCGTTTCTCTCCCCCGCTCCTTCCTTCCTCTAAGTAGTCCTCAGATGAGGATTTTTAAAAAAGGAACAAAAACAACTAATTAGAGTCTCATCGCTATGCTGCTAATACCCTGTTTCCCCGAAAATAAAACAGTGTCTTTCTATTAATTTTTTCTCCCAAAGTTGCGCTAGGTCTTATTTTCTGGGGATGTCTTATCTTTCCATGCACTAGGTCTTTTCGGAGGATGTCTTATTTTCGGGGAAACACGGTATCTGGCATAGAAGCAAAGACAATTTTAGGGGCCATCCTACCTTCAGCACTAGACAATCAAATGAGTCAAGATGATTTAACTGTTTTCTCTATGTGTATCCAAGTATGAGATAATCATGACAACAAAGCAAAATTTACTCATATGCTTTTGGGAGATTCTCCCCATTGCCTGCTACACCAAGAAAAACTATCAGCCTAGTCCAGAATATGAACCATGTGACCTTAACTATTCCAGGAAACCTCCAAGGAGATTTAATCTCATTTTCCTTAAATTCTTATTTAACCCTATAATCATTATCATGATTGAGCAACGCTTTCTTTCTTTTTTAAAATATATTTTATTGATATTTTACAAAGAGGAAGGGAGAGGGATAGAGAGCTAGAAACATCGATGAGAGAGAAACATCGGCCAACCCCTCCCAGGGATATGGCCGCAACCAATGTACATGCCCTTGACTGGAATCAAACCTGGGACCCTTCAGTTTGCAGGCTGAAGCTCTATCCATTGAGCCAAACTGGTTTCAGTTGAGCAACGCTTTCTTATACAGAACCAGTCTGTCCAACTCAAGGTAAGTCATTTCCCCCACTTCAGTCTATTATCCCAAGATTATACAAAACACACACACACACACACACACACACACACACACACACACACAAAAAAAAACAAACAAACCCCAAAACCAAAAAAACCAGAAGTCTAGTTCAAGTATGTGATGTGGCAAGATGATGTCACACAGCAATGACTACCAAATATTCTACAAGTGCAAAGCATATTAAAGATATATAAAATTACTGAATCTTCACATATTGTACATGGTAATTAATAGAGGCTTCTGTATTATTCACATCTGTCAAATTTTAAGGGAAAATCAAACCTCTGTTTATTCTCAATGGAAAAGAAACATTAAACAGCACAGTGACTAATACAGGTGACGAGAAAAAAAAACCAGAGTAACATTTGTTTAGTTTAACATACCACATTAAAAAAAATGTAGGGTTAGTGAAAATATGTTGAAACTTTAAAAGGGCAATTTAAGAGATACAGAGCACGTAACATTTTCCAGTCTTATCTTCTAGAGGTTGGTAAGTATTTCCTGATGTCTCTTTCACCTACTTACAACTTTGACCCATTTTGCTGCTCTCTTCATCTTTTTTCTTCTTCTTTATCTTTTTAATCTTATATTCCTTTCCTTCTTACCTCTCTCCTTCATTTTCTCATCTATCACCTTTTACTTATGGCAGAATATCAACTCTTCAGTCCGCAGACGGACGCTCTACCACTGAGCTAAACCAGTTTCGGCAGAACTAGCACTCTTATTCCCACTTATAGAGAAAGGGAGAAACGGAAAAGTGGGCAGATTCAGGAAAACACGAAGCTTTTGGAAACGTAGTCCAGAAATGTCTGGTTTAAATAAATATATATAGCAATTCTGCTCTATCAAGAAATAGGAAACTGCTACAATTCCCTACTGCAAAAGGATTAAAATTTGTTGCCATTGATTTTCTCTTCAAGAACAGCCAACAATGTTCAGCACAATGAATATTAAATTATGTTAACTCATTTTTATAGGGTTTAGTATGTCTGAAGCTAATTCCTCTCCTTAGAGGTACCCATAGCTACCCAACTAATCACCTCTAAACCAAGGGCTGCTTAAGAGGACTTTACTGCCTCAAACTTCTGTCACTGAAGGAACTACTGTATTGCAAGGGTAGAGTTTGGTATGAGTTGGATTAAAATACACCATGTTTCCTACTTACCACACTGTGATGAGAAAATGTGTTCCCTGAAGCAGGCTGCGATATGGTATTCTGCTTCGAGTTACTGAACACGAGAGGCTGGGCAAGAGAAGGAGCCTGAGATGGATCCAGATTGGACGAATCATTCTCCATTGAAGATGGTGTCTTCCCCAACAGAACAGCAAGGTCAATTCTAGTGGAGAGGAGAGAGGATCTTAATGAGTAAGACTGAACTTTCTAACACCCCCAACATCAGAATCACATGAAGTCACCCCCCAAAATACAAAGTCCTGACTGAAATGTTTATCAAAAGCAACTGATATACAAGAGCCACTATACTATCTAGCTATGTTCTAATATTGCCAAGCATAATAATATTTAAATATATATATTTTTAGTGAAGTTAATTTAATGAAATGTAAGTGTTTTAATACAGCAGCTTGATAACTGAGCCAAAATTTACTAATTTTTTTTTAAAGTTAATATTTAGAGAGAGAGGGAGAGGGGAAGAGTGAGAAACATTAATTGGCTGACTCATGTACACACCCGACTGGGGATGGGACCCCCATCCTGAGTATGTGACCTAGCCAGGAATTGAACCGGCGACCTTTTGGTACATGGGATGATGCTCAACCAAGCCACACCGGCCAAGACAAAATTTATTAATTTTTACCTATGACTTTAAAATATAGAATACCTGCCATCACCAATATTTAATATGTAAAACTAGATACTTGAATGCCCACATCTTCAAGTGGCTTTGGAACAAGAAAAATTGGGGGAATCTCCCCAATTTTTATAAAATTTCAAAAGTTATCTATGGCATAATAAAATATATGTTTGTGCTTTGGCCCTAGTTCTTGGCAAAGCTCTTAAAATTCCCTGAGTAATAGAGTGGTCTTTTGAAAAGAGGTGGGCTATCATGCTATGTTTTAATCAATGCCTGTGATGCTTACCTAGGTGATTAAATGGCCATTTGGGGGGAAGAATCAATTTTAAAATTGTAATATACAGACTTCCATTCAGTAAACTATCAACTTACAATTCTATCAATCAACTAAAGAGAATCTAATGTGATTTGGTTATCATCATTTACCAACACCTTGTAAAGGTCCAGTGTTCCTTACAGCTATCTCAGCAGATCCCTTTGGGAAAAGATACTGAATTTTACCACACTTGCCTCTGACCAGCAGTGATTGTCACATTCTCTGCAGGCAGAGGCACTGAAGACACGTTAGAGGCAGTGAAGATCTTGGTCTCAGAAAGCTGGAAAACAGAGAAATTAGTCACTCCTGGTGTTAGGTAGGTTATACTCAGAATCCTGGCATAAGTAAGGGGAATTAATTTCAAGAAAAATGGAAAACCGTTTGAAGGGGAAACTACTCTGAAGAATCTTGAATGGATCGATTTTGAAGCCCCTTCTATCCATGCTCAATGATTTTATCAAAAGAATCAAGAAACCCAAAAATATACAGTAGAGTCACATAATATGCACACTAAACTTAGAGGAAGGGTGGATATATACAATACTTGCTAGACAGAAAAAAACACCTATATATTTTTCCATTACACTTCCCCGCTTTCACCTCTACCTAAATCATTAATTTATCTGCTACTGCTCCTCTCAAAGAAAGGAAAATGACAGCCTAGATGAAGAGAGAAATTTTTAAAAAAAGTTAATTCTTGGCTTTTGAGTAGTAAGGGCCCAAGTGCTGGTGAGTTAAGGTCTTTTCAGGGATAATTTTAACCATATGTAATTATTGCCTTAATAATGACTTGATTAAACCTACCCTCTTCCACTATGACATTAAAATCAGGTAAGCAATTATTGGGAATAATTCTTCATACTATTCAAAAGTTTGTTTTGTTTTGACCTTTTGATTAAAATCTCTCCTCTAAATACAGGGAATCCACTTCTCCAAATATATCATTCTCTGATGAAAGTTGCTTAAGCAGACAAGCCAAATTTTAGAAAATATTCATTCACAATGCAGTCTAGCTCAGCTACAATAGAAAATAATCACCCTGATGCTGACGCACCTGAAATGTTAAAACCACCGGCCTAGCCACCAAAACAGTTTGACATATCATTTCTTCTTAACACAAAAGTTGTCTTGCCTGAACATGAATGTAAGTATATTTAAAAATGTTAAAATGGAAATTCATTCATGATCACTGATAACTGTAATTCACAGCAAAAGCTAGAGGTGACAGGAATCAGCAAAATTCCTTTACTGAGGTACTACTCCAGCGAATTCATAGAGCTTGCTTATGTGCTACCTTATGCCACCCATCTATAAAATTTCCAAGTTGTAAAGCTGCAAGATAACCAATTCTACGTATAGTTTTCAATTACACTTATAAAGTTGGGCTTCAAGTAACTTAAAAGGGTTCCAGAGCCAAACAGATATCAGACTTAAGGACTTGGCACTTTAACTCTCCCTTTGTACCCACCTCCAAGCCAATTTAGTACCGTACACCAATCAATGCTCAAATGTGAACTAAATAGCAAATTGTTCCAAGTATAGTCCTGTGCCACCAGCAGGTGTTAATGCACTACCTGCCTAACTCCATTTCCAATGCTCTACCCAACCACCATCTCTTCCTGAGATAATCCAACAATCAGATATTTGGACTTACACAAGTGCACTTGCCCTTTCCATAGTCTGGTTCCACAGAGTCCTGTTCATGCCCAGTCTCCTTCATATAACATATGTGAAATGTTCTGGCTCAGAACACTATTTTGGATGTAAAAGTTTTGGGTCAGAATCTTAAGGATTAATTTTGAGGGGTAGAAACATACCCATTTTCTATCCCTAAACACCACTTAGGGATAGAAGGCACTAAAGAAAAATGACCTAGAAATACCTACATCTTCATTCCAATCTTCAGTTCCCCACTCTTCTGTTGCGGTCCTCCATGCACCTGGGAATAAAAGAAAACAGTCATTTTTAAGTGTCAACCCACAGCATGTGCAGAAAAACACTAATGTACATTTTTGGCAGCCAAAAGTGTAACCAGAATTTAGTAATCAGAAAGGATTCTTGGGCTTCAAGGGGAGGAAAGGACTATTTAGAAAAGCATTACCTCAGAACACCAGGGTTTTAATAAGATTATGATTTCACAGCTACTTTCAGTTTTTGTTACATGGCTATACAGCAAAGGACAAGAGCAAGAAAATGCGAGAGAGCAAGATACCAACGAATGCAACGCTCCAGGCAATCTCATAAGAAACATAAACGTCTGATTTTGCAGTCAATTCAGTGAAATGGCAGCAGCCACTTAAACCAGAACATAACGCCACCTACTTATCTGGTATAAGATAATACTGCAGCCAATCTGAAGATCAATACTGAGACCACTGACAATTGTCTGCTATTGGAACTGTATTTAAAAATGCATACTTAGCCCAGCCAGCGTAGTTCAGTGGTTGAGCATCAACCTATGAACCAACCAAGAAGTCACGCTTCGATTCCCTGTCAGGGCACATGCCTGGGTTGCAGGCTTGATCCCCAGTGTGGAGCCTGCAGGAGGTAGCCGATCAATGATTCTCTCTCATTATTGATGTTTCTCCCTCTCTCCTTCCTTCTCTGAAATCAATAAAAATATAATAAAAAATAAAATAATAAAGTATACTTAGGAAATGTTTATAAATCTTATTGACTTAACTATAGGGAATCTCTATGGATCTGCTCTTTTCAGAAGATACTGGACGAAACTTAAAAATCAGGTATGTGAGCCCTAGCTGGTTTGGCTCAGTGGACTGAGTGTAGGCTTATGGACTGAAAGGTCCCAGGTTTAATTCCTGGTTGGGGCACAGGCTCGAATTGAGGGCTCAATCCCCAGTGGAGGGCATGCAGGAGGCAGCTAATCAATGGTTCTCCCTCATCATTGATGTTTCTCTCCCTCTGAAATTAACAAATAAATCGATATATAAAATCAAGTATGTGTGATAGTTATTCTTCTAATCCTAATCATACAGAAAATCTGACCTGCCGAGTTCATGGCACAGACAATGGAGGTGTGCACACTCCTCATGGTGGTAATGACAGAGCTGGGATTCAGTTTATACAGGAGAGATCCACAGCAATCAATATATTCACTAAGGGGAACTGCCCTTTCTTAAGGAACATAGGTAAAAGTTTCACTGAGAACCAGTATTCTTCCCTTTGACCAAAGGGCTACAATAAGAAATAAAAACCTATTTGTAGAAGGGACATGAATACTCTTTATTTTCTTTTCTAGAACAATAGTATATATTGAAGAATTTAAAGGTTTATCTCTAAATGAGGAAGCTTCTTAGAGAAATTAAAGTCTGGCATTCAGATATTTCATTGTCACTGAAGAAATATTATAGCAGCTATAAACCCATCTGAAATTCTTTAATCATTTAATAATGAAAAATCCTATTTCCTAAAGAAAAATATGTTCAATGCCTGTCCTAAGACAATAGTTAAAATTGCACCAGGGGAGTTCCAAACCATTTACTAATGACAATGTTCTCCGAATCAAACTATAGTCCAATCTCAGTTAAGGACAAATTATAAACCACATTTTCCTTTCCCTCTCTGGTGATACCCCTCTTCCTGCCCATTGACACCCATCCCACATGGTTAAGTGAGCTTCTCCACCTCCTCCAAGATCTGGTTTAATGCATACACACAATCCTAGAGTTGGAAGTGACCTGAGAAATTATCTACTATTGAGAGATAATCTCTCAATGCAAGCATTTTGTTTTTTGCCTCCGGCAACTACATCTGGGAAAGAAAAGAATGTAGATTCCTCATGGATATTTTCTTATAAGGGATGTATGAAAATGACTGAGGAAGAGGACTATATTGAGGAAGCATTAAGGAATAGAAAGAATGAAAATGCTCTGAACAACAGATTAGGGTTTCCATCTCATCAGTTGATGTAAATGTTAAATAGTCATTAAATGAATCAAATTTTTAAGAAGCAAAAAACGAGCATAAAATACGGCAGAAAAAGGCAGAAAGAGAAAAAGCGGAAGACAGAAAAATGACATATCCACAGATATTTCAGTTCATAAAAATCTATAAAAATATCCGGGGCAGTTAGGCGCCTGGATGTATCATACCAGGAGCAGTCTCAAATTTTCGGGGATAATTTGACCCCTCAACCCCAATGAAATCAAGTCCTGAAACAAAAAAGAAAAAACAACCAGTGAAATTTTGCTTGTAAATGAGAACATTTGCCCCAAAAACACAATTCCCAGCGTACCTGTGGATATTTTAAGGGTAAGTTTAAATTTTTAAGTTGAAAAAGGAATTTGAGTTTGCTACCATAAAAACACAAAAAGAGATCATGCATGAAAGTGAGTTTGTAATGAAATTAACAATAATGAGAATGTACGAAGCTACACCCAATACTTTTACACTAACATGAGAGCAGCATCACGTAATTTTTTATTCCAACACAAACCACAGATTTCGGATTCTACCCTCTCAAATCTGCTATTTCCCCACTAATACAAATAAACATAAACTTCTTCAACCTTCTCCCGTTTTCCAACCAGAACTTTGTTGAAAATAGTGGAAGTTAGCAATACAGGACTGGGACTCCATGCCTGATTTTCCATCCACAACTGAAAATAAATCCCTTAACTTCTATAATCTTTTCTGCCAGTGATAAAATGCCAATTACCCAAGAACAATTTAAAGCTCAAAAACAGTAACTTTTGTTATTCAGACTGCTACCACTGCCTCTACAAAGCCATCAAGAGATGTATGAAGAACAGAAAGTTAAAACAGAAAAGGACATTTCATAGCCAAATGGTCAAGGGAATTTACAAAGATGTCTATCCTGCCAATAACTCAACATTAATCTCCACCAATTAGAAAGTTGTATTACAAATGAATTTATAAGACAACTTGATAAAACAAAAAGCAAGTACCATTCAGGACCCGAAGTGTATGTAACATCTATGGACAGTAGATGAGAAGCTGTGCCAAAGATCCTACAAAGATAAAGATCACTGATATTTAAAAAGGGTCAATGCTGCCCAGTCAGCATGGCTCAGTGGTTGAGCAGTGACCTATGATTCAGGAAGTCACAGTTCAATTCCCAGGCAGGGCATATGCCTGGGTTGTGGGCTCGATCCCCAGTGTGGGGCATGCAGGCAGTACCTGATCAATGATTCTCATCATTGATGTTTCTATTTCTTTCCCTTTCTCTTACTTTCTGAAATCAATAAAAATGTATTTAAATAAACAGGAGCAAGGCACAGAGCCTCGGCCGGGTAATTTAGTTGGCTATATACATCATTTCAATACTCCAAGGTTGGGGGTTCAATCCCCCATCAGGGCATATAGAACCAACCAATAAATCCATAAATAAATGGAACAAATAGATGTGTGTTTTTTCCTATAGAATTTAAAAATTGGGGGGGAAAAAAGGGGGGGCAAGGCAAGTTTAAAGGATAAGAAAAAAAAAAAAAGCCAATTTCTTTATTATTAATGCATTCTCCCTTTAGAAGAGAAAACAGAAGGAGCTGATGTCACAAGTACTCTGGAGCCCAGAGGCTGTGCTTATTTAAAGCAGTAAAAGTATTGTACTCCCAAATATATCTTGGTGTATCCCATAAGCCTAATATATTCTTAAATATATACACCCTACCAAGATAGAAGCACCAAAGTGAGCTAACAAAAAAAGCAATCTTATTAAAATCCTATAACATTCTACCACACCCAGAAGACTGTCCAACAAGAGAGCAAAAAAGTCTCAAGAGCCCTGGCCAGTTTGGCTCGACCTGTGGACTGAAGGGTCCCAGGTTCGATTCCAGTCAAGGGCACATGCCCAGGGTTGCAGGCTCGTTCCCCATTGGGAAGGCATGCAGGAGGCAGGCAATCAATGATTCTCTCTCATCATTCATGTTTCTATTTCTCTCTCCCTCTTTCTTCCTCTAAGAAATCAATAAAAATGTATTTTTAAAAAAGTCTCAATATTTCCTTTGTGCCCAGATATGAGATTTCTCAAAAATGAAAGGGGAAAAAAAGATACTCCTACATCAGTATGAGAAAACAAACTGACTGTGGGTTTTGATTCTGGAACTACTTCATCTCTACAAGTATTGGCTTGATTGATATCTTTTCACAAGGCAATGCTAGCTATTCTAACAAAAATACTAGGAAACAACAATTGGAACTAATGGCACCTATATGGCATAATGGAAAGAGCATGGGCTTGTAGAATCAAATAATTCTGAGCTCAAATACTAGCAAATTTCTTCACTCCTCTTTCAATCTAAGTTCCATCATCTGGAAGGTGATGATAAATGTCTGTTTCATAAAATAATGATGAAGATCAGGTGAAATAATTTGTATAACGTGCAGACAGACACAAAGTAAAAAGAACACACAGTAATTTGATTGTGATTTTCTCCCTTTCTCCCCCTATCTCTACACCCAAAAACTATTCCTCCACTTTACATAATTATATCCTCAAAACAATTATTTCCTTAGGTTCCCAGAGGCAAGAAACGAATAATAAACACTCACTCGTCCCATCATCTGGCTCGAAGTGGCCAGTGTTGTTCCACGTACTGCCGCTATTATTGCCATAGTTATCATCAGTATTGGCTGGTTCTGCATAATCAGCTGGGTTAAAGGTTCTGGGGGGTGGGATGGGTGAACAACAACAAAAAAGCTTAAAAGAGTCTCCAACAACTACAAGTTCCAAAAAAAACTTAACTCAAAGAGAAGAATAATTATAATGTTCAATGTCCCTACAAATCAATCACAGCCCCTTTCTATAATCTATGCTGTCAATTTTTCCTCACCTATCAGCCTACCTAAAATTTCATGGCATAATCTCAATTTATATCTACTATCCATTTTGGGTTAGGACACCAATCCTATCCTTATCGATAAAGAGGAAAATTGACCATCACCCTCACAAATATGGTGGTGCCTACAGCCACAAGATGGTGGTACCCAATTCCCTCAGCCCCACCAGGGCAGCGCGGCCAGGCCTGACTTGGGCATGTCTGGGTGCTCCTTGTGGCTGCCTCCGGAGTTCCCCAGTCCCCTCAGCCGCCCAGGGCTGGCCCAATGCACGGGCAAGCCTGGAATGGTGGCTGCCCAGCTGCCCAGGACCGCCCAAGGCTCAGGTAACCAGTGGCAACAGCACAGGTGTGATGGGGTCGCCTCCTGGCCCTGAGGGCTCCTGGACTGTGAGAGGGGCAGGTCAAGCTGAGGGACCCCCCCCATTCAGTGCATGAATTTTCATGCATTGGGCCTCTAGTAATTATAATAAAATTCACATGAAGATTGTGGAAAGATATTAGGTATATACATTCAAATGAAGCTGTGAAACAGAGATAATGATCTAGGTTGTAAGTGCTTTTTCTTAAAAAATAAGCCCTGCCCTGGCTGATTTGCCTCGATGAATAGAGTGCTGGCCTATGAACTGAAGGATCCCTGGTTCAGTTCTGGTCAGGGGTACATGACCCCGTTGTGGGCTTGATCCCAAGAAGGGGGCGTGCAGGAGGCAGCCAATCGATGATTCTCTCTCATCATTGATGTTTCTCTTTTTCTCTCTTCCTCTCTCTCTGAAATCAATAAAAATGTGATTTAAAGGGGGGGGGGAGTAAGTTTTAAGTACACACCTTTCTGATTAAATAGTCTAGACATCTTTTTTATTATATTTTGGTCAAGGTTGTGTTATTATCCTCAGGACATCAGGATATTAGCCACCCTAAAGGCTGTGACATTGGATCAAGGAAACTTACCCCATTCCTTGAGCAGAAAACCTTCCTCCACGCCTACCAGAACCACCTAAGGAAAGCGACAAAGACAGAAACGCTGTAGAAATTAAACTAAACTAACTTGCCAACTGAGGCAGCTTAGAATATTAAGTAGTTAATATTATCAGATGTGCTTTTTTTCACTGTAGTGGATCAGTTCATATAAAACAATAGGATAATCATTGACAGACTGTTCCTTTGCTGATCATACTGCTGGGTCTCAAACAAATACAATAATATCAACAATAAGACTAGAGGAAATGACATCCATCTTCTCATTTCCCACTTAACAACCTCCAAAATTTGCAGGACACTCTAACTATGAAGGTAACTAGACTCTTTGAGAATTTGTTTTGAAATAATGCAGACTCCTACAAAACTAGTAAGAGTCCCCCAATGTCCAGTCCTCCCCACACTGTAATGATCACCTCTGCCTCGTCCACGACCTCTTCTGCCTCTCTCTGTGCCTCTTCCAGAAGGCCCTCCACTCTTGGTGCCATCTAATCCATTTTCCTGACCCCGAACTGGGAGAAACAAAACACAGATGATCAGAACAGAATCAATAGAATATACATAAATTTTATGCAAATAAATATATAAATGGCATTTATATACACTGGTGGAAAACCAAAAGGAGAGAAAAAATGAGTTGGATGAACATGACGGTTACTAGGGGAATGGTGATGAACCAAAACAGAGAACTATAAGTCAAACTTTACAAATAGTTACAGGATAACTTAATGCCAAACTGGTGGTTGCTGCTAGAAAGACTAATGTTAAGAGATGCTAGCCCCTGGCCAGCTTGACTCAGTGGATAGAGTGTCGGTGTGCGGACTGAAGGGTCCCAGGTTCGATTCCGGCCAGGGGCACGTGCCTGGGTTGTGGGCTCCATCCCCCGTGGGGGGCGTGCAAGAGGCAGCCGATCAATGATTCTCTCTCATCATTGATGTTTCTATCTCTCTCTCCTTTTCCCTTCCTCTCTGCATCAATAAAAAAAAAAAATATATAAAAAGAAAAAAAAAAAGGAAGAAAAAAAGATGCCAGAGTCTCTCAAGAGATAATGGCAAGAAAATTTTTAAAAAGGTAATATAATGTTTACTAGGTCCAGCCTGGCAGGGCGTTGACAACCCTGAAATCTGGACATTACCGACCCCCAGTTGGTTTTGTAAAGCCCCATGCATACACTCTCGTCCACGGCTGGCACCTCTTCCCCGTCTTGGTAGCCCACCACGTCGCCGACTATAGTCTCTGTCCCGGTCTCGATTTTCTTTGCCTTCCTCGTTGGATTCCGTTTGGCCACTATCCTTCTGTCCTGAGACTCCTTTCTTCTTCCCGACCATCTCCCAGGAATGCTAAAGAAGGCAGAGCATTCATAGCTAATCAACATGGATTGCTACCAGGAAAATCAGAGATAAAAGCTGGGACAGCCCAGCTGCTGTGTCTCAGTGGCTGAGCATCTATCTAAGAACCAGGAGGTTACAGTTAGATTCCCAGTCAGGGCACATGCCCACGTTGCAGGCAAAATCCTCCATGTAGGGTTTGTGGGAGGCATCTAATCATTCTTTCTCCCTCTCCCTTCCTCACTCTGACATCAATAAAAATGTATTTTAAAAAAGGAAAAAGCTGGGACAACTGTTAACCATTCTCCTCTCAGCATCCAAGTCTAAGATACCTCTAACTAATTTACTTCTATTTAAATGGAGGGTACAGAAAGAACCTTAAAACAAACTCTACACCTAACGCTGCACAACTGAAGTTCTTTTATTGTGGAGGTGCTGACAGATTACAGAGATCACTTCCAAAAGGATCACCAAGATCCTTATCCAGTTTAGTCACTTTGCATATTAGTCAAAGGATTTAATTTTTGGTTCCTAGCTTTCAAGTGTGTCTCTTTAGCTGAAAAAACTAATTTCCTATGGATTCAGTGATTCCTAATTTTTTATAACCTCATGCATGTCAAATAAAATTGAAAGTTTCTAAAAGTTAACTTTGAATTCAGAATGAGTAAGCAGCTTTCAACTCTTGGGCACGTTCTTTAACCAAGCAACCCAGAATTTAGGAGGAAAACAACAACTGTACCTACTTCCCCACACAACATCCCAACTTCCTTTACTTAAAAGACCAAGTAGCAGCCAGGAAGGCACTACCCTGGCCCCAAGACATGCTGACTATAAGAAGCCTTCCATTCCAGGTTTTATGCACTGTGTTCTCCCCTATACTTCCTAAACTGATATAGTCCAATTCGGCTTTCCCCAAAACAGAATATTCTATAATTTATTACAAAAGGAAAATTTGTGGTAAAGAAAATAACCTAAACAGTCTTATAAAATACTCATTCTTAAGAAAATGAATTTTATAGCACCGAAACCGGTTTGGCTCAATGGATAGAGCGTCGGCTTGGGGACTGAAGGGACCCGGGTTCGATTCCAGTCAAGGGCATGTACCTTGGTTGCGGGCATATCCTCAGTAGGGGTTGTGCAAGAGGCAGCTGATCGGTGACACTCTTTCATCGATGTTTCTAACTCTCTATCTCTCTCCCTTCCTCTCTATACAAAATCAATAAAATATATTAAAAAAAGAAAAGAAATTTTATAAATTTAAAGTTTTAAACATACACTTATCTTGATTTACACATTTTTTCAGAAAATATATGTAAAATAAAGTTCCAGGACAAGAACCCAAATTACCAATCTTTACTATTCTAGTTACCATTTAACTCAAATAACAATAACCCTGGTTATCAGCAACAGCTATCTAATATTGAATAGCTTTCAAGAATATGAACCAGGCCCTGGCCAGGTGGCTCTGTTGGTTGGAGTGTTATCCCGTACATCAAAAGGTTGTGGGTTTAATCCACAGTCCAGGTGCATACAAGAAGCAATGTTTCTCTCCTCCCACCCCTGACTCCTCTTTCTAAAATCAATAAACATATACTTGGGTGAGGGTGAAAAAAAAAAGAGAAAAAATATGAACCAGGTATAATATAAAATTATTAGTATTAATTTTCTCAGGGTTGACAATAATACTGTGGTCATATAAAACAGCAGTTGCCAACCGGTGGTTCTTCGTGGACCACTGTCGTCTGTGAGGTCCAAAAGGTTGGCGAATGCTGGTATAAAAGATCATCCTTCACCCTGACCGGTGTAGTTCAGTGGATAGAGCGTCAGCCTGTGCACCAAAAGGATTATGGGTTCAATGCCGGATCAAGTGCACGTACCTAGAATGTGTGCAAGAGGCGACCAATCAATGCCTCTCTCTCTCATTGATATTTTTTCTCTCTCTCCTTTCACTCATTCTAAAATCAATGGAAAAATACCCTTGGGTGAGGATTAACAAAAAGAAAAAAAAGATCATCTTTCTTTAAGGGAAGCATGATAAAATATTTAGGAAATAAAATATTATGATATTTACAAATTATTTCCAAATAATCCCAAATATCCATCATTGGACAACTGGACAAACAAAACTGTGGCATATACATATACTGGATTATCAAGCCTTAAAAAAAATGGAATTCTGATACGAGACACAAAATAAACCTTGAAAACATTATGCTAGGTGAAATAATAAAATAACAACAAAAGAACAACTATATTATATGATGCCACAAGAATAGGCAAATTCAGAAATAGAAACAGAAAATAGGTTACCAGGAGTTGAAGGGAGGGAGAAATGAGGAGTTACTATTTAATTAATACAGAAAATCCATTCTTAATTCAGTTTGAGAAATGAAAAACTCCTGAAAATAGTAATGGTTAAACAACTTTGTCAATGTACTTAATGCCTGAATTATACACTTTAAAATCATTAAAACAGTAAATTTTAAGTACATTTTACCAAAATTCTAAAAGTTCTTAAGTTCAAAAACCATCAATTTAGAATTATGGTAAAAACATATCTACATATACTAAAATCTACAATAAATAGTTTACAAAAGTAATAATTAAAAATATACATATTAAGCCGGGACTGGTTTTGCTCAGTGGATAGACTGAAAGGTCCCGGGTTCAATTCCGGGCAAGGGCATGTACCTTGGTTGCAGACACATCCCAAGTAGAAGGTGTGCAGAAGGCAGCTGATGGATGTTTCTCCCTTATCAATGTTTGTTACTAACTATCCCTGTCCCTTCCTCTCTGTAAAAAATATCAGTGATTTTTTTTTTCTTAAAGCACTGCAGAAACATCCCAAATTAGTAAGGCAGAATCTCTGTTGTTAAGGGTCTTATAATTGAGAACAATGACAAGACAAGCACAAAAACACAGGATTCTCACTGAGTGGGAACTAGAGGAAGAGGTAAAAGCAATTCTAAATTTTAAAACAAGAGATCCTGTAAGATATTCCCATATCATCTCTAGGGATAGTCAAGAGGCTGTAGAAGTTTGTTATCTGCAACTTCAACAGAAATAAGAAAAGGTATAGGAAAATGCAAAGCTGATATTGATGGGAATGTGCCAAAGTCAGAATCCAGTAGTTTGTGACTTTGTTCAGTGACAGTAAAACAGGTGAGCAAAGTCTTCCATGATTAGCAGCTAAAGCTATGAAACAGCATCTCTAATTCATTCTAAGCCAGCCCTGAAAACAGTCACTAGCCTAGAATGAATAATTTATTCCAGGCCAATTAGGAGAACCTGATTTTATGTTTTCTCCTGTTTATTGTACATTAATTTTAAGTATTTGCAACCTGCAGCAAACAATCTTCTGGGTAGTTCCAAGTTCTATTTGAAGAATAAGGTACTCTGTTTTAATTGAGTACCCCATTTGCTATTTTTAGACTACTACTAGCATCCCACTTGCTATTTTTAGACTACTACTAGCATCCCACTTTCTATAACACTGTATTAGCACTATACCGTATCTGGGTTTCCTTCCAGCAGTACATTGATGGCTCTGTTGACATCTCCATTGCAGTCATGCAAAGCAATGACACATTCATCCTGGTTCTTGCCTGTGATATCAATCAACTGAAAGAGAAAGGTCAGCAGTGATCATGATGAAGTTTGTTCTCCCCACCAAAACAACAACAAAAAAAGAGAAAACACTAGCAGAGTCTGAAAAAACCAACCTTAAAAGAACAAATTTTGGTGTTTTAATTCCAAAAGCAAAAAATACTTGTGACCAAAAATGGGATTAAAGGATATACAGACAAAAGCAATCAAACAATAAAGACATCTAATAGAGAATCAAACCCAGAAACACATGAACTTCCACACTTCCTAGATGCCACAATTGCTCAAAGTTGTTATAAAAGGGCATCAACAAAGTCAGTCATTAAACAAAAGGTTAAAATTAAGATAAAACCTCTGAACAAGTTATCTGTCCGAAAGGGTCAGTAAATCAGACAATAAAAACACTTATTTACTGGCTTAACTTATCATATTTCAGGTCATAACTCTTTTAATACTTATAATACAAAGTACCCTGATAGGCATCTTATGCATTAACCCAGATTTCCCTCCCCATAGTTTACAGCAAATTAGCAATCCACTCACTTGTTTCACCTTTTCCTCAAAGTCAGCATCATTATGGTCTGAAATCATCTGTGCAAGTCGAATTTGTTCCGCAGTGGCCTAAGAATTGAGATTAAAAAAAGAAAAAAGGCATGACTGATAGACAACAGTTTAGAGCAAGGGTGGGAGACCTTTTTTCATCCAATGGCCATTTGGATATTTATAACATTGTTTGCAGGCCATAAAAATTATCAACTTAAAAATTAACCTGCTATATTTGGTCATACATTTAATTACCCTAATGCCCTGGCAAGCAAAGACTGAATTATTTCGAGGGCCTTGTAGCCCGAGGGGCAGATGTTCCCCACCCTTGGTTTAGAGAAATAAGAAGGACCCATGTAGTCAATATCCACTGTACCTTCCACCCCAATTTCCTTCTTGTTACAAATGACCAAATAATAAAATCCTAACAGCCCTGGCCAGTATGGCTTTGTTGGTTGGAGCATCATCCCATGCATCAAAAGGTGGTGGGTTCGATTCCCACAGGAGGAAGCTGATAGATGTTTCTCTCTTACATGTATGTTTCTTGTTCCCTCTAAAACAACAACAATAAAACACTAACAGCATTTGAGATGCTTAAGTCAGCACAATGATAAAAAACACTCTACAATACCTAAAAAAAGCAGGAAGCTTTTTCACCAATGTTCACCATTAAAGAGGCTTCCATATTGGGGTCACAGCACCACTTTGAAACATTTGCATCTTAATTCACATTAATGTATTTGCAAAGTCATGTGTAAACAAACCCTTTCCCTATTTCTGCAATAACCGATGCCATCTTCCTATTCTTAGGGTTGACATAAGGGCTAGCCTAAAGGTAGACTCAGCATATCTTAGTATCCGGTATATGTTTACAAGATAATACAAATCTTATTGTCCCAATTGAGACACTAACTCACTTAAGTGCTAAAATTCTGCTAGAAATTCACAGGAAAAGTAAAAAAAAAAAAAAAAAAAAAAAAAAAAGAGGAAAGTTCTAGTCTTACATATTCAATTTTTCTGACCAGAACCAAATGTAAAATTAATTTTCACATTACATTCCTACCAACACCAAACTGGTTATAGAAAACAGATCATACCTAAATCAAACTTTAAAAACAAAAACCCATAACCTTTAGTACCCAGGAAGGGTACAATACTCTAGGTGTCTCATTTGTTAATTTTGAGGGAAAATAGCAAAGATATTATAATAACTCCTCAGGGAAAAGGAAGTAGCAGATTAGGCCTCAGTGAGACCAGAGAGGAAGGTAACAGATTCGTTAGGAAAAAGAACAAAAGACAGACAAAAAGTGCCAAGATAAAGGTGGGCTAGAAAGATGGCAAGGTGGAAGATCTAAAAAATAAGAAATCCGCCTGGACCGGTTTGGCTCAATGGATAGAGCGTCAGCTTGGGGACTGAAGGGTCCCGGGTTCGATTCCGGTCAAGGGCATGTACCTTGGTTGTGGGCATATCCCCAGTAGGGGGTGTGCAAGAGGCAGCTGATCGATGACTCTTTCTCATCGATGTTTCTAACTCTCTATCCCTCTCTCTTCCTCTCTGTACAAAATCAATAAAATATATTTAAAAAAAATAATAATAAAAAATAAGAAATCTATTGCTAAAACATGTATTGCCTCCTTAGAGATATACTAAGATATACAAGAGCCATTCTTTCCAAGCCTCATGGTTCAGTATTAAAGAACAAAAGAGTGCTACATCACAATATGGCATTAATAGTTATAGGGCTCCAAGTAAAAAGAGGCGAGGACATGCCCTACCCCAGTGGTTGGCAAACTGTGGCTCAAGAGCCACATGCGGCTCTTTGGCCCCTTTAGTGTGGCTCTTCCACAAAATAACACGTGCAGGCGCGCATGTACAGAGCGAATGAAACTTCGTGGCCCATGTGCAGAAGTCGGTTTTCGGCTCTCAAAAGAAATTTCAATCATTGTACCGTTGATATTTGGCTCTGTTGACTAATGAGTTTGCTGACCATTGCCCTAGCCTCGTTCAGTGGATAGAGCGTTGGCTTTCCAACTGAAAAATCCCAGGTTTGATTCTGGTCAAGGGCAAATGCCCAGATTGTGGGCTCAATCCCCAGTAGGGAGCGTGCAGGAAACAGCCGATCAATGATTCTCTCTCATCATTGATATTTCTATCTCTCTCCCACTCTCTCTTCCTCTCTGAAATCATTAAAATATACTTAAAAAAAAAAAAAAAAAAAAAAAAAAAAAAAAAAAAAGAGGCAAGGGCTTGCAAATAAGAATGAAGAACCCAAATCAAGAATCCAAAGTATAGCCAAAACTGGTTTGGCTTAGTGGATAAAGCGTCAGCCTGCGGAATGAAAGGTCCCAGGTTAGATTCTGGTCAAGGGCATTTACCTTGGTTGCGCGCACATCCCCAGTAGGGGATGTGCAGGAGGCAGCTGATTGATGGTTCTCTCTCATCGATGTTTCTAGCTTTCTATCCCTCTCTCTTCCACTCTGTAAAGAAAAATCAATAAAAATATATTAAAAAAAAAAAAAAAAAAAAGAATCCAAAGTATAGAATGATGCTGCATTAGACAGAAACCAGAATCAATCAGCAAAACTACCCATGGGTCCATAACACCTGTATTCTTTACCTGTGGCCGTTGCTTGTGCTGTGTCTGGTTTTGGTTTTGAGGTTGTTCCCAGTTTCCCCGGGCTCGGTTCGTGCCCACCGATGTCATCATTTACAGTATATACAAATAACAGTATTTACAAGGTAGAATACTGAAAGATTAAAAAAAAAGTTTAAATATTAAATTCAGGCAACATGGGGGGCTTCTCACCTCTCATCAGCATCTTCACTAAAACCTTTGTTCTTCAAAGAAACAAACCAAGAGGATTCACTTGTTCTTCAGACAAATTTAGTTTGACAATTTCCTTATGAAATTATGGATGTTAATCAATTTTGTATAAGAAATGCATAAAGCATCTGTTAAATAATAGGCATTTTTTTAGTTATGAGCACAGTTTGGTTCCTCATCCCCTATGCGCAGGTTTTGTGAAGTTTTGCTATCTTAGTAGACAAAAATATCTCAAGTACCTTTGACATAAAGGAAAGATAAAGCCTGAAAACAAGTCTTCTAGGAAGAGGATTAGTCTGTACTCAATTCACTTATAAAAACACAGCCTTACCTGCCTTACAACCCTTGGGTTGCATGTGACTTCCATCACTTAAAAAGGCACAAACTCAAGTCTAGCCTCTTTCTCCCTCAAGTTTCTATCTCTCAGCATGCTGTGGGGCTTCCATAGCTTTCAGCAGGGCATGTATTAGCCCCAGTGACTGTGCCCAGAACTACATTTCCTTGGATAATTCCAACACACTGCTTTTGCAGCTGCTTCTGTTGATCTCCTAATCCAGTCCAAGAAACCAGAATTACAATTACTCTCCACCACTCACCTTGATATACAGAGAATCCCAAACCCAAATCATCTAGCAGCACAAAGTTTTATTTGGAAGAAAGGGCTTCTGGGAAATCATTTTAAACTTGAGACATTATTGCAGGGCAAGATGACTTAGTAAACAAAGAAAACATTCACCTGATGGAGTGCTCAAGATAAGGTTATTCTGCATTGTTTTATTCTCTTCCAAGGCGTACAAGTTTATACTTTTATGCTCGTTTACTTATTTATCGGTTAATACCTTATACAGGGCAATTCTAGACTGCTCAGAAGACATTGCTGGATTTGAGGTAGTACTAGAGTGGGCTCCTAAAGAAATATGCAAGGATTAACTATTAGGGAAGTGAATTTCATCTGTTTCTTGGTTCACAAAAAAAGTTGACTTCCTTATGGATAAATTCTTCACTAAGTTCGGTAATAGGTTGGATGGGTTTTGTTTTGTGATGCAGTCATTAAGAATTAAGAATTCTATATCCTTTATCACTCAGAAAGAGTTGTAAGGAACTAATTTTTAACCATTACCTCTCCCCTCATACACATGTGCACACAAAGACCTATAAATATTTCTAGCTTAGTATGAGATTATTTACTACACAGTAGTACAGTTTCCTAGTCTGGCATTATAATCAAGTTTCAATACTTCATTATAAAAACAACAAAAACCTGTTGTTTAAGCAAGTACCTTTGGATTCAACTAAAAGTGTGTGTGTGGGGGGGGGGGGGGATTAGAAGGAAACTGTTATGCTTAATAACTAGCTCTAAGATGTAGTTTCTAATTTGGGATAGCCATTCCTGTAGCTTATAACTATTGACTGCTTTCTACTCCACATGTGATTTCAGTTTGTGAGCATGATTTACACTACAGCTATGGATTGCATGGCTAGTTAGCCATGTGGACAACTATATACTGTACCAATTGATGTAAATATGTTAAGTCATATTGGAAGCCACATAATCACTCAGGAAAGCGGGTATGTGAGGGGGATCCTCCTGATCGATCTTGCTATTTATTGGTTTCTATTTTTCTATTACAAGTGTTTTAAAAAGCGTAACTAGGAAAATTTTACCAGCTAGATAATAATAAAACTGAGCAACAGGTAAGTGATCTGAAATGGATCACTAGAGGTCACAGAATTAGCAGCCTTTCAGTAGCAAGCAGACACATACCCAGGGTTATCACAGTGAAGGTGAGGAATCTTGTTAAATACTCCTTCTTAAAAAATAAAACAGTTTAAGGGAAATAGGTGAGAAGTATTGGAGACCAAGGGACTAGTGTGGGAACAAATACAGGTTTCAACACAGGAGTGCCCTTGACCATTTTTTGAAAACCAGCTACTTAAAAAAATAGCCAGAGAAATTTTACAGAAAAAAATAAATAACAAGTATTTATTGAGTATCTACTGTGTCCAGTACTTGAGAAAATACAAAAGCAGTTATGACTTGGTTGCTGCCCTCAGGGAGCTTACAATCTAATTTGAGAAACAGTTCAGGAACCCTGAAGCTGGACTGGTGTCAGTAAGGCTTACTACTTCTAACAAAGTAACTAATTCCCCTGGATGCTTTGTAGTAATGACCTCTGCATCTCCTTCCCTTGAACTGGAATCTAATTTTTGAAAATAGTACTTCCCAGTTAGGACATGTTTAATAAGGAGGGGGCTTTAAAAATGAAAAGCAAACAGTACAATTGAAGGCCTTTCATCATTGGCTTACATGCCAGAAATACTTCCTGTTCATAACGGAAATAATCACTGGCGTAATCTAATCTTTAAAGACAATGGTGTAGAATCTCAAAGCAGTTTTATCAACCCATACCCGGACCAAAACGTTTCAGTTCTCTACTAATGCCGGTGGTCACTGACCCCTCATCACCTCCTATCAAGCTGCATGAAATCAAATATCACCAAAGCACAATATGGGCGGTGGGAGGAGGACAGGGGGGAGGGGGTAGAAAGACCATCTAATAATCGGGGACAGTCAAAGGCAAAACGACAGTAACAACAAAAACACCCATTACTGTGTTGTTTTTCTTTCCACAACATCCTACACCAGAGGTGGCTACATTTCAAGAATGGTGGAAAAGGAGCAGCCTCCTGTTTGTGACATCAGTTTGCAAAGCAAATTTAGAGACCGCCCGTAGGCTGAAGCGTCTCAAGCAATTCCTAATGACTGTCCCATTATGAGGACAGTGAATACCCCAGTGCTCCAGTGACGTCCCTTAGGCGTAATGCCCCCGATGGGGGCCTCCATGTCCAGCTCCCCAAATAACATCATCATTTTTTTTGTTGGGGGGGGGGGGGTTTACACCAAACTATACAGTATTACGGACAACACAAAAAGCTAAAGACGGCAGCAAAAATATATATCTATTCCAAGAGCTGGGGCGGCGAGAAGGAAGGAAGGGCAATCAGAAGAGCTGACAAAGAAGCTGGAAACGGAGCGGGGACGCAAGCCCACGCGTTAAGGATGAAAAGGCTCACCCCGCTCGGCAGCGCCACATCGCCTCCCCTCCCACCCGGAACAATTTGATCCCCCGCACGCCACACGGAGGACCACATGAGCGAGTTGGGGGCAGCTCCACCCCATCGCCCTCCCTCCCTCCCCTCCGCCACCCCCAAACCAGGCCGGACCCGGATCGGAAGAGGCCCACAGCGGGCTGGGAAGGGAGGAGGGCCCCTCGTCTTCTCCGCGGGCACCGGCAGGGGCGGAGAGGGCCGTACCTCAGGCGGGGCCCAGGGCTCGCTCGCTCGCGCTCTTTCTCGCTCTCCCCCACCTCAGGCTCTAGCCGCATACCCCCCCCTCCGGCTGTCCCAAGCCCCGCCCCGGCCACGCTCCCAAATCGAGGCCCCGGCTCTGGTGAGGCCCACTAGGCCGCGAACCCAACCATAAACAAAACCTCCGGCGGCCGACTCGGAGGGTAGCCAGGGCTCTCACGACTTGGGGGGGAGGGGGGTTTACAGTGGGGGAACACACGATGCGGGGGGTGGGGAGGGGCCCTACCAAGGGAGGGGAACACGGCGGGGGTAGGAGAGAAAGGAGGATAAAAGGGGGATCGCGGATTTAAAGGGGCCGCGGACAATACCCAGCCCCGCCGCGCTGCCGCTGCCGCCGCCGCCGCCGCCAACGCCGCTGCGCTCCCAACTTTACCTCAGTCTCCTCCACACTGACACCCCCGGGCCGCGCCGCCCCTGTCACGTGATATAAGGTTCCCTCCTCCCCGCCCCCATCCCTCCTTTTCCCTCTCGCGCTCGCTCTCGCGCCTTGCCCCTCCCACTTGCCTTCCTGCGTCTCTCAGCACGTGACGCAGAAGGGACGCGCACGCAAGCGTGCGTGCGCGCGCGCGCCGCCATGCCACGAGAACCTCTTTTCCCCCCCGCCTCCTCCACGCAGGCCACGCCCCCTCCACGTGACGCACAGGTGGCCTCCGCTTCCTCTTCCTAGCGTAGTTCCGCGTCTCCGCTTCCACCGCTCCCGGCAGCCTTTGCGCGCCCCGAGTCACGTGTTGGGGGAGGTGGGAAAGTGTGTTCTTCTTTACCAGCCTCCCTCCCATCCGCCATGTTTTCTGGCCGGGTCATCCTTGGTCTTCCCGCGTAAGGAAATGGCCGGGGGGTTTCAGAGCACCCAGGTGCCGCTGCCTCGGAGGAGCCCGGGCTGACGGAGGCGGGGCAGCGGGGTAAACCGGAGCAGTTCTGCGCGGGGTGGGGAGGCCATGGCGTCCAGCAGTAACTGGCTGTCGGGGGTGAATGTCGTGCTGGTGATGGCCTACGGGAGCCTGGTGAGCTTTCCCGACTCCTATTCCTGCTGTTGCGTGTGACCTAGGAGAGCCCCTCCGCGTGAACAGCCCTTGTCTTCATTCTGCATCCACTCACCTGCACTTTTTCTGGGTTTTGACTCGTATCCCAGGAGTACCTGGGGGCATAAGTGACGGACCCGGACTGCCCCGCCCCGCCCCTGGCCAAGAACCCTCCCTCTGAACCCTAAAACACACACACACACACACACACACACACACGCTGCCGGCTTCCTGTTATCCACCCCTTCTCTGATGGCCTTGCTGTCCCGTTACACCCCCTAGAGAGCCTGAATGGGGATTTGAAACGAAAGCATGCCTTTTATTCTTGCCACTTTTTTTTTTTTTTCCCACTTAAAGACTCTTCTCTCATATCTTTTGGACAGGTGTTTGTGCTGCTATTTATTTTTGTGAAGAGGCAAATCATGCGCTTTGCAATGAAATCCCGAAGGGGACCTCATGTCCCTGTGGGACACAATGCCCCCAAGGTAGGTCCTTAAGGCACTAGATAGGCCTGGTTTTCCAGATCTCTTAGGGCCCAGAATGAAATGACTTTTGCTTTTAGAAATGACTTTCAAGTCCCTCGTGTTCTTGTCCCGTTACCCACGTTACCTTGTTAGACTGAGCAATAGTTGTCAGTGTGGGGGCTGGTCTACCTGCTCTCTGCTGTGGCATGCAGCTTACCCAGGAACTTCAGTTTCTGCATCTGCAGAATTGAAGGGCTTGAGTTAAAATTCCCAACTTTTGTGTTAAGATACCTCCCAGTTCAAATTAAACTACCCATTGTTTTCTGTTGGTGTGTTTTTATTTTATTTTGTTTTAGGATGGGGTTAGGGTGGTTAAAATAAGAGTTGTCTCTGCAGAACTTTAGATTTATAAGGGCTCCGTAAATCATCTAGTTCCAACACTCACCTTAGAAAGCGAAACCAAACCTAAGTGGATAGTGTCAGCCTGCAGAGCGAAGGGTCCTGAGTTCTATTCCGTTCAAGAGCATGTGCCTTGGTTTCAGGCACATCCCCAGTGGGGAGTGTGCAGGAGACAGCTGATCAATGTTTCTCTCTCATTGCTGTTTCTAACTCTCTATCCCTCTCCCTTCCTCTGTAAAAAAAATCAATAAAAAATATATATTTTTAAAACGTGAAACCAAATAAAATGAAATAGTTTACCCAAAGGCATTTTAGAAAGTGAGTAACCACTTCTTCAGTGATTGCCTTCCTTTCCTTGGCGTAGTTATCTACTGATGAAATTTTATCTCTCTCCCAAATCTCTTTCCTGAGTTCCATGCTTACATATCCAACTGCCTACCTAACACTTAGATATCTTATAGGCATATCACACCTAACATATCTTAAGTCAGAACTCTATAACCTTACCACCACCCCATCCTGCTGTCTCTGCCTTCCACTTCTGAGTAAAAAGACACCTCTTGCCCTTACCAACTTCTTCTTGTATGTTTCTCCCTTGATCACTGGAACCCAGCTACAGTGGTTGAATTTTCCACTTTTTCATGTGCTGTTACTGTGATCTAGAATAATCTGTTGGTCTTCACTTGACTAGCTCATTTGTTCTTTAGATCTTAATTTAAATAACCATTTCCTCCCAAGAGGAATGCTTATTATGTATTTAAAATAGGTTTTCCTTTTTGTTTTCTCATAGTTCCCTGATATTTTTTTTTTCTAGATAGCATTTTACCACTAATTTTCTTTTATGCTTAATTTTCTATGTGTTTAATGCTTCTCTCTTCCATTAAACTTTAAGTTTCAAGAATGCAGGCCCATACCAGTTTTGTTCACCCCTGTAAAATCAGGATCTACACATACTAGGTACTCAACTCATTTTAAGTGAAAAGCAGGTTAGTTGGGAGAGCTAGAGCTAGTACGCAGCTCTCAGTCCTACACCAAAGCTCTTTCATTAACCAGTGCTATTAACCCTGCCCTCCTTATTCTTTGCTTATATATTTTATGAAAAACTTCAAGAAAGATGTCATGGCCTGAAATGTCAACAGAGCTCCTTTAACATTCCTGTAGGTCTGCCTGCTCCATAAGAGGGTTAGGATTGGCTTCCAGTATATCATGAGCCAATCAAAACTTTGACTATCTAGCCCTAACTGGTTTGGCTCAGTGGATAGAGTGTTGGCCTGCAGACTAAAATGCCCCAGTCTATTCCGCTCAAGGGCATGTACCTTGGTTGCGGGCACTTCCCCAGTGGAAGGTGTGCAAGAGGCAGCTGATCGATGTTTCTCAATGTTTCTAGCTCTCTATCCCTCTCCCTTCCTCTCTATAAAAATATCAATAAAAATGCCGAAACCGGTTTGGCTCAGTGGTAGAGCGTCGGTCTGCGGACTGAGAGGTCCTGGGTTTGATTCCTGTCAGGGGCATGTATGTTGGTTGCAGGCACATCTCCGGTGGGGGGTGTGCAAGAGGCACCTGGTCGATGTTTCTCATCAATGTTTCTGGCTCTCTATCTCTCTCCTTTCCTCTCTGTAAAAATCAATAAAATATATTTTTTAAAAATTATTTTAAAAAATCAATAAAATACATATATTTTTAAAAACATCAATGATGAGAGAGAATCATTGATCGGCTGCCTCCTACACATTCCCCACTGGGAATGCAGCCTGCAATCAGAGTGCCTCAACTGGGAATTGAACCATGACTTCCTGGTTCATAGGTCTGCACTCAACCATTGAACCATGCAAGTTGGGTGAGAGGAATTTCCCCCCCATTTATTTATTAAGGTATTATATGTGTACATATCTTATAATTGCCCTGGGGTGGGAGGAATTGTTAATCCAAATGTCTACTGAGAATGGCTACCTGTAGATATAAAAGGCTAATATGCTAAATGTCTATCTGACCGGTTGCTATGACACGCACTGACTACCAGAGGGGCAGACACTCAATGCAGGAACTACAATGACACACACTGGCCATTTACAAAGAAATGGCACCATGTACCTGGTGCCGACAAAGCAACACTCAGCTTCCCCCAAGTGGGACATAGACCCCACCACCACCCGAGTGACAGCCCACCAAATCACAATCAGCGCTGCCAAGACTCCATGGCACAAAATGCAGCCCACTGCCCAGCCCGGAAATGGTTGCTGTGGGTGCTGGGTAATGATGTCACGTAGCAACGACTGGCTTCCTCTCCCTAGTGACTAGTCTCCTTGGAGTTTCTTCAGTCTAGGAACATGATGTGCTTTATAGCCAGGTGCAAAAATGTCTGTGAAGCATTTTTCCTGTGTGTCATTTCATTTGATTCTCACAGAAGTCCTGGAGTAGGTAGCTAGGAGACTCGGTGGAATCCTATTTTCTTTTCATTAGCTGGAAAACAGAGATCTAGAGAAAGTTTAGAAACTTGACCTGACTGAAAAGAAGTAAGAAATGGTGGACCTTGAAAATGACTTCAGATTTTCTCACTGTGCAAAATATAGGCAAACACTGCTATAGTTAAATATTTTACCCTTTGTTTTCCTTGCATGATCTACAATAATAATCTGCCTCGTGTTGATATTTACTGCTGTGTTGCAGACAGTTACCTGAAAGACAAGTTGGGGTTCCTCACTGGGCTGGAAAAGTTTAGCTAAATCAGAAAGCAGGTCAAATTAAGCAAGTTTATTAACATATAAATATATTTATATACATATATATATATAGATATATATTTATATCTATATATGTGTATATATAGATATATATAAAAGGCTGATTTGAGCATGTGTGATACATATAAAGATCTCGCTGGCGCCAATCTTACATGTGTGTTTTGATCTGTCATTGTTGATCATGAATTTGGGTGACACTTCTATTCAAGAGAAAGGGCAAATAGCAATATTAAAATATTCTAATTAATTTCCTTTCAGTGTGCACAAATCTGTGCACCAGATCACTAGTATAATTATATAGTTGTATTCTGGAATACTATAGGAAATGAAAATAAACTGAAGGTAAATATATGAACACAAATGAATCTCCAAAGTATTTGTGAACGTAAGTCGTAAACATGAATGAATCTTGAAAACATCCTGAGTGAAAAAAGCCATTCACAAAAAAAATAGATACCATATGATTCCACTCCATTTTTTTTTTTTTTTATTGGTTTGAGAGAGAGGTAGAGGGAGAGAAATATTGATTGGTTGGCTTGTCTGCAGTACGTGCCCCAACAGGATTGAACCACTTGTATGTGCCTTGACCAGGAATGGAACCCATAATCATCTGCACACAGGACAATGCTCTAACCAATTGAGCCTCACCAGCCAGGGCATGTTCTATATCTTGATTGGGTATATTCATTTGTCAAAATTCATCCACCTACACACTTAAAATGGTTGCATTTTGTTGCATGTAAATTCACCCTCAATAACGGTTATTTAAAATTTTGAAGGACGAGCCAAAACCGGTTTGGCTCAGTGAATAGAGCGTCGGCTTGTGAACTGAAAGGTCCCAGGTTCTATTCCAGTCAAGGGCATGTACCTTGGTTACGGGCACATCCCCAGTGGGGGGTGTGCAGGAGGCAGCTGATAGATGTTTCTCTCTCATCGATGTTTCTAGCTCTCTATTGCTCTCTTTTCCTCTCTGTAAAAAATCAATAAAAAAATATATTTTAAAAAACAATAAATAAATAAATAAATAAATAAATAAATAAAATTTTGAAAGATGAATTCAAAAAGCATTTTTTCTGTCCTGGTCAGTATTCTACAGTGGTTAGAGCGTTGGCCGAGGAAGCAAAGGGTCGCAGGTTTGATTCTGGTTAACAGCAAGTACCTGGATTGCAGGTTTTCCGCTTAAGATTGGACTTGTTCAGGAGGCATCTAATTGATGTGGCTGTCTCACATCAATATTTCTTTCTCTCTCTCTCTCTCTCTCTCACATCATTGGAATAAATACCTTCCAGCGATGATTAACAACAAAAAAAGAAAAGCCCTCTGCTTTTGTATCTGATACTTCCAGATGAATAAGATACAGCAATATCACCTTGTATTCAGAGAAATTTCCTAAAGTTTTCTGGTGATGGAACCACTTATGATATGATATGCTAGTATTATACAGACAGATTCATGTGGCAGTAGTAAAGCATGCACAATGGCTTTGGCAAGATGAGGCTCACACTTGAGCGGGCTCTCAGATTGTGATAATCATGCAGCTGATTTCTTTCCATTGATTTTCTTTGTCACTAACCCTCTCCAATGGTCATGAGTACTTTTACTTATTTCACCTCTTGCACATCTTGCTTCCAGTTCCACAGACATCGATTGGGTCTCTTATTTTATTTATTTTTAAAAATATATCTTATTGATTTTTTGCAGAGAGGAAAGGAGAGGGATAGAGAGTTAGAAACATCGATGAGAGAGAGTCATCGATCAGTTGCCTCTTGCACACCTCCCACTAGGGTTGTGCCTGCAACCCAGGTACATGCCCTTGACCAGAATCGAACCCCGGACCTTTCAGTCCGCAGGCTGATGCTCTATCCACTGAGCCAAACCGATTTCGGCTGGTCAGGTTTCTTTTAAATGCTGAATGTTCATCATTGTATCCTGGGTCTTCCTTAGTGTGAGGGATGGTACCATAGTGCCAGATACATTGTTTATAAGGGTACAAATTTGCAACAAAATGGAATTTTCCTTTTTTCACCTCTTGTTTAGTTGGTTTTGAATGGTCCTTTGTAGTAATCTCCATTAGACCAGTGTGGTACTTGAACTACTATATAAAACATATCCTTACCTGTATAAATTGGAATATCATGAAATGGAGATATTTATTGTCTTTTTTTTTTTTTTTTTTTTTTTTTTTTAGAGTGAGAGGGTGAGAAAGAAACATCAATGTGAAAACATTAACCATCTGCTTCCTACTATTATACATGCCCTCTACCCAGGCATGTCCCCTGATCAGAAATTGAACTGTCAAATCTTCCGTTGCATGGGACCGTGCCCAACCGAACTACAACAGCCACGGCTGTCCTTTTTAATTTCTCTCTCTCTTTTATATATATCGGCTGCCTCCTGCACATTCCACATTGGATCAAGCCTACAACCCAGGCATGTGCCCTGACCGGAAATGGAATCACAACCACCTGGTTCATAGATCAGTGCTCAACCACTGAACCATGCCAGCTGGGCTCTTTTTAAGTTTTGAGGAAGATGTGGGACTTGAGGGTGAAGGGTGTGATGCTCCTCAGGCCTGAAGCAGCTCACGGTGCAGAGACATTGCCTGCTGCTGCCACCGACCAAGCAGCCCGCACACAGTTCACTGATAAGGAGAGACCATTCTTTTTTTATTATTATTATTCCTCACCAGAGAACATGTTATTTTTATAGAGGGGAAGGGGGAGAGAGAGAGACTGATCAGTTGTCTCTTGTACATGCCCCAACCAGGGATCAAACCCACACCTAGGTATGTGCCCTGACCTGAATTGAACCTCAACCTTTTAGTGTATGGGATGACATTCCAACCAACTGAGCTACACTGGCAAAGAGAGACCATCATTAAATTTTTGAATCTTACCTTGCAATGTCATTAGCCAAATGAGCATTTTTTCTGCTTCTGTCATCTTAGTTGCTCATTTGCTCTGCTCCATTTCCAGATTAATGGAAAGCATAGTGCAGGGTAAGTGATTGTGTATCCTTTTCTCTATGAACAGGACTTAAAAGAGGAGATTGATATTCGACTATCCAGGGTTCAGGATATCAAGTATGAACCTCAGCTCCTTGCGGATGATGATGCAAGACTCCTACAGCTGGACACCCCGGGAAATCAGAGTGTGTGGCACCCTCTTGGAGAAGACTTCAGTGGGGGATCCTACAAGTTCAGAATTCCTTTGCTCTCAGAGTTGTAACATAGCTGCTGGCAAAACCAGCAGCTGTGGGTTCTATGTTCCTGGGTATAGGACATGTAGAAGGCAATTTTTTAGCTTGGAGTTATGTCTGAGACCACTCTCTTTTTCAACAGGTTGTTACAACTATTTATACCGGATGAAAGCTCTAGATGCCATCCGTGCCTCTGGTAAGGGCTGCTTGACAGGGGCCATTCGGAATCTGTAAGCTCATTTAGGGAAGAGGGGGAGGGACCCACTTTATGGATGTTAGAATTTGTCCTTTCTGTGCTATCTCTGGTTAGGAATTTTCCTAGAGTTTTGGGTATTGGGTGACTCTTTTGCATCAGAAAATGCCTTAGACAATTATTTCTTCTCCAAAGAGTCTGAATTTGTTTTGTTTTTTAGACCTTAAGTTTCGTGAACTGAGTGTGGTAATTTGCTTGTTTTCTGCAAAAGACAAACTCTTTTGCTAAGTCCCAGATAGATCATTCTTTAACTTTTTTTTTTTTTCTTTTTTTTTAAATATATTTTATTGATTTGTTAAAGAGAGGAAGGGAGAGAGATAGTCAGAAACATCGATGAGAGAGAGTCATCGATCAGCTGCCTCTTGCACATCCCCTACTGGGGATATGCCCGCAACCAGGGTACATGCCCTTGACCGGAATCGAACCCGGGACCTTTCAGTCCCCAAGCCGACGCTCTATTCATTTAGCCAAGCCGGTCCCGGCTAACTTTTTAAATTCTATAACCATCATCATACATACTTTGTCTCTACTAAAATATAATTTATGTCTTGAAGCCAGGGTAGGCATTTAGGGGGGTAAATAGGAGGGTGACAACCATGTGTATCATTGGTGTAGCTTACAGCTGTGTTGCCATCACCAAATGACAACTCTGACACACCTCTATACCTCTGGTCTTCTTAATTCTTTAGAACTTCCCTCCAGCTCATTCATTGGACCCATTTCTGAGTTTGGGAAATGAACTAGAAAGAGTAACAAGTGGGAGAGGAGTAGCACTGTGCTATTATTTATCTCCTCAGAAATCCCATTCCATGCTGAAGGCCGGCATCCCCGCTCCTTAATGGGCAAGAATTTCCGCTCCTACCTGCTGGATCTTCGGAACACTAGCACTCCGTTCAAGGGCGTGCGCAAGGCCCTCATCGACACCCTGCTGGATGGCTACGAGACGGCCCGCTACGGGACGGGGGTGAGCGGGGTGCCACCTACGGGAGCTAAAGGGACCCCACACTACAGGATGCTCACTCTTCTCCCTTTTCCCGCAGGTCTTCGGCCAGAGAGAGCACCTGCGCTACCAGGAGGCCCTGAGTGAGCTGGCCGCAGTGTGAGTGCAGAGGGGACTGGACTGTTTATAGTGCTGGGCTGTTTCCACAGTGAGATGGCCTTCACAGAGCAATATGAACAAAACCCATGGAAACACAGAGTTGTCAGGTCCTAGACAATTAGCACTGCCTCTCGCTCACATTGCAAAGCCTCGACAAGCTAATAAGCGAACCTTCTACTTTTGTACACCTCTTTTTCTTTTTTTTTAATTTTATTGATTTTTTACAGAGAGAAAGGGAGAGAGTGAGTTAGAAACATTGATCAGCTGCCTCCTGCACACCCCCCACTGGGGATGTGCCTGCAACCAAGATACATGCGTTTGACCGGAATCGAACCTGGGACCCTTGAGTCCACAGGCCGATGCTCTATCCACTGAGCCAAACTGGTTTTGGCTGTACACCTCTTTTTTAAGTGGTATGAAAAGGAATCGAGTTTTTCAACATACAGAGATGCCTTCTCTTCCAGGATCCCAGGGTGCTCCTTCAGTGCCTTGGTCTGATAAAAAATAAGATTTAAATGCCACCCATTTTTTTTTTTTTAATATATTTTATTGATATTTTACAGATAGGAGAAAGGGAGAGAGATAGAGGGCTAGAAACGTCGATGAGAGAGAAACATCGACCAGCTGCCTCTTGCACACCCCCCACCAGGGATGTGCCTGCAACCAATGCACATGCCCTTGTCCGGAATCGAACCTGGGACCCTTCAGTCCACAGACCGACGCTCTACCACTGAGCCAAACTGGTTTCGGCTAAATGCCACCCATTTTTATTACTTCTTTAAGCATTAGTAACCTTCTCTGAAGCATAGGACATCACTATAGAGTCAGCTGATGAGTATTTGTGTTATAGGAGAGGAATCGTGACTTTCTGGGAATGTTTTAGACATATACTAACATAGTTTCATTATGTTGTTTATACAAATCTATAATAATAAAAACATAGTATGCTAATTAGCCTGGACAGCCAAACATCCAGAACTGTCCGGATGATTTTCCCGATGAAGCCGGAGCTGTGAGGGCCTAGCTCCTTGAACAAATTTCATGCATCAGGCCTCTAATGTTGGAATGAAAGGGTAAAAAGGATAAGCCAATCTATATAATAAACAGGGAATATGCTAATGGGTCCTAATGATGTCCCAGTGACAACTGGTGACAGGTCAACAGGCAGGAGCTGCTGGGCGGGGACGGGGGTGAGGACTTCCGCCCCCAGCACAGGCGTGCCCAGGCCTGCCCAGCGTTCACATCTGGGTGCCTGCATGTGTCCCCACCCAACACTGAAGTGAGGCTGCCTGCCTGCCTCCCCGCCCAGCGCTGATGTGACGCTGCAGGGAGGTCGGGCTTGACTGACAGGTGTGCGGCTGGCCAGTTCTGGGTCTTGCCCCGTGGGGGAGGGGCCAGCCAGGTCTGAGTCTCAAGTGATTTTGAGGCCTGCAAATTGTGCAGGGACTTGACTCTGACTCCCACAGCACACCCCACAGTCTGAAAGGAGGGAGGAGGGAGCCTGATACCCGCACCCAGGACCCACATAGCATGGCACCTGCAGCAGAACCCATACACCAGGGCGGCAGGAGCCCCATCCTTCACAGAATCAGCCATTGGTCAGCTTGCTGTCAGCACCCTGACAGCCAGGAATCCATTCACCTGCACCACAGGCCCTGACAGCAGGGAGGTGGGAATATGTCTGTAGGCCAACTATTGGCACAAAGTATCTCTGAAACCGAAAGAAGCCATTGTTGGTGACACAATATATCATTTTGTTAATGTTTGTTAACAAATTTATATACTATTTTAATATACATTTTACTACTTTCCTTTCATCTTCAACACTTCTATTATGGAGAAAAGACAAATTGCAATATTAAAGTATTTCCTCTACTTAATTCCATTTTATGTGCATGAATTTTGTGCACCGGGCCACTTGTCTAGAATAAAAAGTTAGCAGCATGAAAAGAAAGAATACATCTGTTTTCTGATGTGTTGAGTATGGATCTTTCTGAAATGATAAGGGTTATGTCTATTCTGTCTTTTTTCTGTTCCTAAGAATAAATCATCTTGTTCCTGCTAAAAACTATTAGCAATGATAATAAAAATGAGCATGTGCAAAGGATGGAAAAGGGCATTTGGTTTAGAAGTTAGGCAGAAGGCCTGTTCAAAAAAATTTGTTTTGAAAGACAAATATTTTATGACTCCACTTACTTGAGATGCTTAGAGTAGTTAAATTAATAGAGAGAGAAAATAGAATGGTGGTTGCCCAGGGGCTGGAGGAAAGGGAATAGAGAGTTAAGCAGTTGAGGGCTGTTTTGCAAAATGAAAAAAATCCTGGACATTAGTTGTATAATAGTGTAAATGCACTATTAAACTGTAAACATTTAAAAATAGTTAATATGGGCCCTGGCTCATTTGTTTGGATTGCTGTCCCATCCACAGGAAGGTCACAGGTTCAATTCCTGGTCAGAGGCACATACCTAAGCTGTATGTTCAATCCCAGTCAGAGCAGGTACGGGAAGCAACCAATTCATGTTTCTCAAGTCACTATTTCTCGATCTCTCTCCCTTCCTTCCTCTAAAAAATCAATAAGGTTCTATAAAAAATAGTTAATATTTAAATATTAAAAAATAGTAACTTTTATGTTTACTGTAAAAGTCTCTTTGATTTCTAGCTTCTAGAAAGGTTCAATGGATGTAGTGAAAATAGTATAGGTTCTGAAACCTGACAAACTTAGGTTTGAATCCCAGCTTTCATTTACTTAATACCTTTGTGACCTCAAGCAAATTACTTAATGGACTCTCAATTTCCTAACCTGCAAAATGAAATGATGCCACAATGTAGGAATATTGGGATGTTACTAAATTAGGTGTTAGGCAATCACCAAGTTTAATGTCCTAATGTGATCAGTACTCAATAGTTACTTTTATTTATTTTTTTAAATATTTTTTTATTGATTTCAGAGAGGAAGAGAGAGAGAGAGAGAGAGAGAGAGAGAGAGAGAGAGAGAGAGAGAGAGAGAAAGAAAATATCAATGATGAGAATCATTGGTCAGCTTTCTCTCACACGCCCCCTACTGGGGATTGAGCCCACAATCCAGTCATGTGCCCTTGGCCGGAATTGAACCTGTGACCCTTCAATCTCAGGCTGACGCTCTATCCACCGAGCCAAACCAGCTAGGACTACTTTTATTATTTGATATTCCATTCTCAAGAGATTCTCTCTGGACTGGGAGAATATTAGCAGCATATACACATTAGGTGACTCAGCAGAATTAAAAGTTTTCTTAAGGGTAGTGAGATGAAAAGGTTGGACCAAATTGGTTACTCTGCTATTTCTAAGCTTCCAGGTAGCATTTGGTAATTAGTTGGTAAAATAGGATAGAGACTGTTTGTGCTACAACTGCATTGATGGAATGGATGAACCTCAAATTCTGTTCTTTCGTTAGTCCTCATTCTGTCTGTGACCTGCTCTCTGTTCTTCAGGGTCAAAGCACGAAGTGGGAGCTCGCAGCGACAACATCAGTCAGCAGCCAAAGACCTAACCCAGTCTCCTGAAGTTTCCCCAACAACCATCCAGGTGACATACCTCCCCTCCAGCCAGAAGAGTAAACGTGCCAAGCACTTCCTTGAATTGAAGAGCTTTAAGGACAACTATAACACTCTGGAGAGCACTCTGTGACGACGCTGATGGAGCCAGGGAGACTGCATTGTGCTTGCCGGGGGCCCCTCAGGTCATCTGGACCAGCAGGCCCAGGCTGGATGGGCGGAAGCTCCCGGTCGTGTCCACAGCTCTTCGAGCTCATGCTTAGAGAATCATTCTCCAAACCTTCCTTATGGCCAGTTTCAGAACATCAGTGAAGACTTTATTTTCTCTTGGTAGCACTTTATTTCTGGAATTGAAATAAGATGTGTTTTTTTTTTTAATGTTTGTCAGAGCTTTCATAAAAATCCTCACTTGGTTTTGATCATAGTTCATCTGCCTTTTTCTAGACTATAATCCCAAGGATGAGAGAGTTGGGGTGACAGGGGAAGAATGGTCAGACCAATGCACTGGTCTGACTTTATGAATTAATAAAATAAACAATTAAGCAATAAAGTATATGATTCATTCATTTACAGTTGCCTTTTAGTAAAACAGATATATAATATGTTCTCTGCATCTGCCTCAGGATATGCATGAGGATTTGCCTTCAGAGAATTGATAGGACTGGACCCTGGATTTGGGACCATACAGATACTCCTTGGGATCCCAACAGAAGAAATCTTAAAATTGGAATTCTGGTCCTTGCTCATAAAATTGCCTGTGTCACTAATAGAATACAAGAACCAGGATTCTTTCAGGTGTCTCGGGCATCAGGCCAGGTGACCAATCAACTCCTACCTGTAGGGTCATTGTTGGAGGCAAAAATGTTGCTATGACTACTGAAACCTTGGTTACTGAATCAAACAGAAAGAGCCTGCTCAGTCTCCCAAGACCACATCAGACAGTCTACAAACATGTCTACCGACGACCTGCCTGAGACTGAAAAGGTATGCAGAGTTGGAAGGAGAAGCTGGGGTGGAGGGGATTTTCCTTGATGGGGTTTCCAGATAAGCTTACCAGGAGTGGCCCTTATGAGAGAGGCCCTTGATATAACAAGGACAGCAAGAGAAGTGGGAGACTATTATCTGACACATACTATGCCTGGCGCATAGTATGTCCTACCAACTCCTACCTATTCTCTTTGATCCGTTCTGAAAGGAATAGACCTTTCTTCCTACCTCCCCTAGAAAATTAGCCCCTCTCTAAAGAGATCTAGGTATTTGTCTCCCACAAGAGCAGTAGTAGGGGTGAGGAACTGGAGATATAAAGCAGACCAACAGAACTCCCTTTTCTTGCAGAGTTTTCACAGGAACCTTATACGTAAGAAGATGTTGGAAAGGTAATCTCTGCTTCTATCCCTTCCCTTACTCTTCAGTTTAACCTTTTACCCTCCTGTACTCCCTGAGCCATCTCTTAGCTCTGGATCACTTCCTGGGAGCTCATCAAGAAAAAAAACAGGCCCTAAGCACTTTGGCTCAGTAGATAGAGCATCAGCCTGTGGACTGAAGGGTCCCGGGTTCGATTCTGGTCAAGGGCATTGATTGATTGGGGGCTCGATCCCGGCAAGTGTGTGTATGTGGCTGTGCAGGAGGCAGCTGATCGATGTTTCTCATTGATATTTGATGTTTCTAACTTTGTCCCTCTCCCTTCCTCTCTGTAAAATCAATAAAACATTTAAAAAAAAAAAAAAAAAGGAAAACAGGTGTGAAGGGGGCCAGAGTTAGCTTCCTAGTGCCCACTATGTTAAGCTGAATAGACAGTGGTGATTGGTTTTTAATCCTCAGTAGAAGCCATGCTTGATATTTTAGGGAGAAGGGGAGAGAGAGGGCAATGTTGATGTGAGAGAAACATCAATCATTTGCCTTTCCACACGTGCCCTGGTTGGAGATGGAACCTGCAACTTAGTTGTGTCCCCTGACTGGGATTCAAACCCACAACCTTTTGGTGTATGGGACAATGCTCCAATCAATTGAGCAGCACCAGCCAGTGCCTAGACAATGGTTTTTATTGTCCCTTATTCTCTAAAGGAAAATGGGAGTTTTTGTTATCTTATTTTTAATTTTTATTTACTTTTTAAATGTTTTTATTGATTTTTAGAGAAAGGAAGAGAGAGGGACAGAGGTAGAAACATCAATGAGAGAGTAACATCATTGATCAGCTGCCTCCTGCACACACTCCCACTGGAGATCAAGCCTACAACCCAGGCATGTACCCCAACCAGGAATTGAACCAGCGACTTCTTGGTTTCTGGGTCCACACTCAACTGCTGAGCCATACCAGCTGGATTTTTGTTTACATTTTAAGGAGAATGCACGTATTTGTTGCCTGGCATTGGTAGGTATGCAGTATTTGTTAAATGAGTGAGAAGATTCAAAAGCCTAGGTTGTATCTCTCCTTTACCTGGAAGAACTTTTTAAAAAGCACGGGTACGCAGTCCTGGGCAGTGTGGCTCAGTGGGAGCATCATCCTGTGCACCAAAAGGAGGCAGGTTTGACTCCTGGTCAGGGCACCTACCAGATTGTAGGTTTGGTCCCTGTGGGAGGCAACCAGTTGATTCTCTCTCTCTCTCTCTCTCTCACTCTCTCTCTCTCTCTCTCCCAACTCTCCCTCCCTCCCTTCTCTCTCTTCTTCTCTCTCCCTCCCCCTTCCTCTCTAAAATCAGTCAGTAAATATGGAAAAGGTGAAACCACCCAGCTAGGTATATTATGATACAGAAATGCTAGGCAGCCTTTAAACAAAATGAAGCAAAACATATCAGAAGTGTGCTGATATGAAAAGTCCAAATTGTTAAGTCATGCTGCCTATATAAATAGGCTTTTATGAAAAAATTAAAAGATGTACTTGTTGCCGAAACCGGTTTGGCTCAGTGGTAGAGCATCGGTCTGCGGACTGAAAGGTCCCAGGTTCGATTCAGGTCAGGGGCATGTACATTGATTGTGGGCACATCCCCAGTAGGGGGTGTGCAAGAGGCAGCTGGTCGATGTTTCTCTCTCATCGACGTTTCTAGCTCTCTATCTCCCTTCCTCTCTGTAAAAAATCAATAAAATATATATATATATATATATATATATATATATATATATATATATATATATAAAATGAGCCGATCCTCTGTTAAAAAAAAAAGATGTACTTGTTGGTATCTGATAGAAACATTTTCTGGAAAGATACACAAGAAACTGATAGCTTTGTTGAGAAGGACTGGAGCAGAAGAATGAAGCTCTCACACTATATTTCTGTATGGATTTAATTTTCTAGTAATCTGTAAAAAATACTTGAATTTTATTTTATTTATTTATTTTTAATATATTTTATTGATTTTTTACAGAGAGGAAGGGAGAGGAATAGAAAGCTAGAAACATCCATGAGAGAAAAACACCGACCAGCTGCCTCCTGCACACCCCCTACCGGGGATGTGCCCGCAACCAATGTACATGCCCTTGACCGGAATTGAACCTGGGACCTTTCAGTTTGCAGACCGACGCTCGACCACTGAGCCAAACCGACTTCGGCAAAATACTTGAATTTTAAAAAAATCTCTGGGGTCCTAGTTGGTTTAGCTCAGTGGATAGAGCGTTGGCCTACAAACTGTAGGGTCCCAAGTTTAATTCCAGTCAAGGACACATGCCTGGGTTGCAGGCTCGATCCCCAGTAGGGGGCATGCAGGGGGCATCCGATCAATGATTCTTTCTTATTATTGATGTTTCTATCCTCTCTCCTTCTCCCTTCCTCTCTGAAAAAAAAACAAAAACACACACACACAAAAAAAAAAAAACCCAGACACATTGATGGGGTTTTTGTCTCCATTCCTAACTCACCCTACCTCTATACCTGGGCAGGTGGCGAAACGCACACACACTCTGTCTGTGGCAGACAACGTTGAGCCAGAGGAGAAACCCTTATGCTATTCTGAAGATTCAGGAGTCCATGGTACAGGAGATGGCAATGGCCAACAAGCAACTATTGATGGTGAGTTCTAGCAAGGGTGACCTTAAGTCTCATCCAGTTCTGCTCTGTGCTATGCGGAGATTCCCAAACACTTAATCTCCGCTATTACTCACCCTGCCATCACTTTCCCCTGAGGTTTTCACTATTACACCAGAGCCATAACTCATTACCATGTTAAGTGGCCAGCCTGTTTTCTCTTCCAGATGAAAAGTACAGTGACAATCACCAGTAATTGACTGGGCGCTTAGCGTGTTAACTCTTAAATGCCTTAAGCTCCTTTTTACTATAATAAATGATTCTTTTTTTCCCCCCTTTATTTTATTTTATTTTTTTTAAAATATATTTTATTGATTTTTTTTTTACAGAGAGGAAGAGAGAGGGATAGAGAGCTAGAAACATCGATGAGAGAGAATCATAGATCAGCTGCCTCTTGCACACCCCCTACCGGGGATGTGCCCGCAACCAAGGTACATGCCCTTGACTGTAATCGAACCCGGGACCCTTCAGTCCGCAGGCCGACGCTCTATCCACTGAGCCAAAAACGGGTTTCGGTCTAAATGATTCTTGGCATTCAGCTGCAGATGGAACCTTACAGAGTTCCAAAGTTCAGTCTAGCCCTTGCTCCTCTCATCCTGGTGAGACTAAAAACTGTTTTAGTGCCCAGCACCTGTCTCTCAGAATCTCTCTTCCTGGGGTCCCCAATTGTCATGTTACCATCTTTGTATCCCAAGTGCCTAGCAGAGTACCTGGTTCATGATATATTCTCAGCAAATATTTGCTGAACATGGAGTTTCACCCTGGAGGAAAAAAATTAGATAGGCTTCTCCTTCAATGGTTTAGCCTCTGTGCTCCTGTCTAGCTTTATGTCACAGCTAAGTCCAGACCCAAGAGAACATGATAGAATAACGGGAAAGCAACCTGGGAGAGAGAATGAGATGAGAAAGGGGGGTAAACAGTGGACAGCATCACACTGTGGATGAAAAGGGGCCACATACTAAAACTGACAAGTTCAGGGAAGGCCTGCATGGTGGCCTTACAAATGCAGAGACTTAAAAGAACCACAAAGAACGGTCCGACATTAAAACTTTTTAGCCTGCTGGAGTGGCTCAGTTAATTGAGTGTTGTCCTGTGCAAAAGATTGCCAGTACCTGGGTTGTGGGTTTGATCCCTGATGGGGGGCACATATGGAAGGCAACTGATAGATATTTCTCTCTCTCGTTGATGTTTTTCTCCCCCTTCCTCTCTCTAAGTATGACCTCTGGTAAGGATTGAAAAAAACAGAACTTGTTGCCGAAACCGGTTTGGCTCAGCGGTAGAGCGTCGGTCTGTGGACTGAAAGGTCCCAGGTTCGATTCCGGTTAAGGGCATGTACCTTGGTTGCAGGTACATCTCCGGTACGGGGTGTGCAAGAGGCAGCTGGTCGATGTTTCTCTCTCATCGACGTTTCTAGCTCTCTATCTCTCTCTCCCTTCCTCTCTGTAAAAAAATCAATAAAATATATTTTAAAACACACACACACACGCACACACACAAAACACTTGTTAACTAAAAGAAGTTTATGGTGGGTGATCATGACCTAGAATAGAATTTTTCCTGAAAAAGATCAATTTTCACCTTAGGTAAGTCTGTCTATTGTCTTTTTGTATCTACGATAACATAACTTTATTTATTTTTTAAAATATATTTTATTGATTTTATACAGAGAGAAATTGAGAGGGATAGAGAGTTAGAAATGTCGATGAGAGAGAAACATCGACCAGCTGCCTCTTGCACACCCCCCACTGGGGATGTGCCCACAACCAAGGTACGTGCCCTTGACCGGAATCAAACCCAGGACCTTTCAGTCCGAAGACCGACGCTCTACCACTGAGCCAAACCAGTTTCGGCCGATAACATACCTTTAGAATGTCAAAATAATTCACTTAAAAGTTTTTTGTTTTTGTTTTTTTTAGAGGAAGGGAGAAATAGAAACATTAATGGTGAGAGAATCACTCATCGCCTGCCTCCTGGAAGCTCCCTACTGAATATCAAGCCCTCAGCCCAGGCATGTGCCTTGACCGGGAATCGAAACATGACCTCTTGCTTCATAGGACAATGCTCAACCACTGAGCCACATCGGCCAGGCCAAAATAATTTACTTTTTCTGAACTCCTCAAAGGACAGCTACTGAACCAAAGTAGAGACCACAAATCTCCTCATTGTTATTGAGTTACTAGTTGACTTAATTTTTTATCCAATCCCAAAGGTTCCCTCACCCCTGCTTTGCTTTTCCAGCCTCCATAATCTATTACCAATGAATTTCATAACCCACTTACCATCTTCTCTTTTGATTGTAATGTGGAAAATAAGATGCAAAACTGCCATTCTCTGGAGCATTTTCTCAGTCCGTTGAGATTTTGCTTTCTGGCAATTGTCAACAGTTTGGCTCAAATAAACTCACAAAAAATTTTCTATAGCCCAGCCAGTGTGGCTCACTGGTTGAGCTTTGACCTGTGAATCAGGAGGTCACGGTTTGATTCCCAGTGAGGGCACGTGCCTGGGTGTGGGCTCGTCCCCCAATGGGGGACATGTAGGAGGCAGCCAATCGTTCTGTCTCATCATTGATATGTCTCTCTCCCTCTCCCTTCCTCTCTGAAATCAATAAAAATATATTTTAGAAAATTCTCTATAGGTTTGAATGTTTCTTGTGTTGACAATATTCTATTGTGCCCTTCCCACCAGGTCCGTCAAGCCGCCCTGCACCAGCTGTTTGAAAAGGAGCATCAGCAGTACCAGCAGGAACTAAGTCAGATGGGCAAAGCTTTTTACAAGGAAAGATTCTGATGACATCTGAAACACTGTCCTTCCATTTTCATCATGCCCTAGTCTTCTCAAGCTTCTACCACCTTGAACTTCCTTCCCAAAACATCTGGATCTAGTTATCTGTCCACAACTTAAGGGGATGCTCCTACTCTTGCCTCTCAACTGCCTGGTGCTATTTGGGAAACCATCTATGAAGAACTGAAAAAAAAAAAAAAAAGAAAAGAAAAAAGAAATACACCAAGAGTGACACCTTGTGGTCAGAATGAGGGATGTAAGGTGGATGTAAGGTGGGAAGGGAAGATGGAGAGATGGACAATGTGAAAGAATCCTGATTTGGTTTAATAAATAAAGGTAGTTTTTAAAGCTTCAAACATAGTTCCTGGCCAGCGTGGCTCAGTTGGTTGGAGCATCCCATACACCAGTAGGTGCTGGGTCTGATTCCTGATCGGGGCACATACCCAGCTTGCAGATTTGATCTCCAGTTGGGGACCATTGCTAGAGTCAATGAATTGATGTTTCTCTCCCCCCCCCCTCACTTCCTTCCCATCTCTAAAAAATAAATTAAAACCCTGTGCAGCCCTAGCTGGTTTGGCTCAGTGGATAGAGCTTGGCCTGCGGACCAAAGGCTCCAGAGTTCAGGTCCAGTCAAAGGCATGTACCTTGATTGCAGGCTCTTCCCCAGCCCAGGCCCTCATCAGAGTTCATGCAGGAGGCAATCAATCAATATGTCTCTCTTACTTTGATGTTTCTGTCTTTCCCTCTCCCACTCTCCCTAAAAGTCAATGGAAATATATCCTCAGGTGAAGATTAACAAAAATAAAAACAAACAAACAAACAAAACCCCTGGCCAGTGTAGCTTAATTGGGCTCAGTTGAGCAACATCCCATGCACCAAAAGGTTACTGGTTTGATTACCATTCAGGGCACATGCCCAGGTTGCAGGCAAGCGTGCAGAGGCAGCCTCCTGAACATCCACTGGGTCAGAGGTTGAAACTGCAACCAGGCATCTGCCCTTGACTGGAATTGAACCCAAGACCCTGGGGTGCTTGGGCTGAAGTTCTAACCACGAGCAAAACCAGTCAGGACTCCACTAATATTTTTCTGTACACTTGATAATCCTGAATGTAGCTATTAATCCACAGCCACTGTGGTGCTTGAGTATCAGGAGGTCTGGGTTTTAGGTTTCGAGTCAGCCAGTGATTGTGAGACCTTGAGATAAGTCTCTTTCCTCTGGGTCTCAATTCCCACCTCTGCAAATGATAGGGTTCCAAACTCAAATGCCTACAGATGTGAGGAAATAAGTAGTTGAGTCTATATGGGACCAGAAACAGCATTAAATCTAGACATTTAAAATTTGAATAAATACTGAGAAGTACTAATGAATCATATGCATCGATAGGCCACTAAGAAACTTAGTTTACATTCAAATGTAGGTAAAAATCCACTTTACATTCAAATGACATCCCAAACCGGAGAGACCCCACCAAAAAATTCCCATCTCCCTCCCCTTCCCGTTTGAGAACTATTAGCTTGTTCTTATATCTATGGAGAGACTCTATTTTGCAGGCAGTAACAGTTGCCAGAACAATCACTCTGATGTAATTCATCATCATACACTTTTTCCTTTTCTCTGGCTTTGCCATCTGCGTACAATTGGTCACTCACCCTTCATATTGATCTTTTTCTGCCCTCAACTCCATGTGGCTACGTCTTCACTGCAAAACACACCTTTCCCTTCGCTTTTCCCAAAAGTCTGTCTCATGCACCAGTTACCCTCTAGGACCCTCTGGCGGGATGTCCCTGCAGCGTGTGGAGGACGGAGCAGAGGGCTCCAGTCCTAGAGGCTGCGGACAGGTCCTGGCCACCGCGTCCCGTTACACATGCACAGAGGGCCCCCGAGCCTCCTGGGTTCGTGAACACGGGGACCACACACGTCAGCGGCAGAGACCGACCTGGTTCCCAGTCTAGCTCTGCCCCATCCCAGCGGAGGGAAGCGCCAGGCCTGGTTCTGCCCTGTGGAATGGAAGGATGTGCTGGGCCGGCTCCCAGTGGGCACTGGGTGGCAGGCTGACTCTCACTTTCTGCAGTGTCAGGAACTGGCCAGCAGAGGGCGACCGCCATGCGGCCTCCCAAGACAGGCAGCGGGGCTGGGCGGAAACCACACCTGGCTCCCCTTCAGAAGGGGCAAGGGGGAGCTGAGGATGGCTTTGGGGCCAGGTGGGCACCCAGCTGCCCTGGGAGGCCTGTTCTGCCTGCCACCCTGCAGACGGGTCCCCTCTGGTGGCCGCACTGCGCAGGCTGACCCTCCGGGAGCTGATATCAGCACAGTCTGTGTGCTCTCGGCATTTCCTCCGGGGAGCAGGGAGGCGGGTGTGGGGGCAGAGTGCCCACCTGGTGTCTGCACCCCTCTGTCAACCCCATCCCCACCGCCCCTCCCAGGCTGGTTTGAGGGCCTGGGGCTGCAGGCAGGACCTGGGGAACTGGTGGCCGGCTGGGCCCCCGGGCTCAGCGGGTCCCTGGAGCTGCAGGGGAGCGCTGGGGGTGCCGTGTGCTGTATGGGGGCCCAGGGATGAGAGATGTTGCCACGGAGGTGGGGTGGCATCGGGGACTTGAACCAGGAGGCGCCGGGTCAGGACCACCCCTCACAGAGCGAATGCACGAAGTCTGCTGGTTTGCAGACCAGAATCAGTTTCATTTCGAGGGAAAACAAAATCTGCCAGGAAGGCAGGCGGCATAAGCCAGACAGAAAAATCATGGCACTTTGTAGTCAAAGCTACAGACAGTGAGGGGAAGGAGAGGGGAAGGAGCGAGGGAGGGAGAGAAAGAGGGAGGGAAGAGAAAGAAGCAAGACACGCCTCTTCTAGGATGGGAGAGGACCTGGGCCGTGAGCACCTGGCACAGGCCTGGGCAAGGAGCAAAGCCACTCCCTTCCTGCCGCCTCCACTTGAGCCTGGGCTCCAGCACCTTCTGCCTCATCCCACTGGGAGCCGGCTCAGGGGTCCTCTCTGTACCCACGGGCCTGTGTCTGTTGTCCGTTTGGAGGCAAGGCCATCACACCAGGATGCAGACGTGCACTTGGCTTCATCAGGAGCTCCGTGTGTTTGGGAGAACTGGGAGAAAGGCCTGCATTCTCCCAAACCCAGGACCATGCATTTCAAGGCCGAGGGCTGACCTTGAGCAGGGACTTCAGAGGGTTTGCTCACTGAGTACTCTCTGCAAACAAAGCCTCACCTGATGGCCATGACACACAACAGAAGAAACTGAGCTGCGTGGGGCGAAGTTGTGGGTGTAGAAGGCGCTGGGAGAGGGCACCAGAGTCCCCTCTCCCCTGTAGCTCTGGGTCCCGGGGAGATGGGGAGCAAAGCCCAGTCCCTTCCTGCCGCCTCCACTGGAGCCTGGGCTCCAGCACCTTCTGCCTCAGCCCACTGGGAGCCGGCTCAGAGGCCGCCTCCACATCCGCAGGCCTGAGTCGGTTGCCCATTTGGAGTCAAGGGACCCCTTATTTCTCAACTGCCAGAGCTTCTCCTTCCTCCTCTCCCTACACACCCTCCTGATGGGAGCACAAATCAGCAAGAGGCGGAGGAGCGCACAGGCTTTGGAGTTTAGTGTGGGTCCAAAGTCTGGCTTCTGATTGTTGTCATCGTGTACAAGTTATTGTACTTCTCTGCACCTCCATTTCCTCTTCTGAAAACCGGGACAATAGTTCCCATCTCCTCCTAGGATTAAATAAGACAACATATATAGGGCAAGTATGTCAAACTTTCCGGCCCTAGGGGGTTTGGCTCAGTAGATAGAGCGTTGGCCAGAGGGACCCCCAGTTTGATTCCTGTCAAAGACATGTACCCTCTGTTATATGCTCCTCCTCAGCCCAGGCCCTGATGGGGGCGCATACAGGAGGCAACCAATCGATGTGTTCCTCTCACATCGATGTTTCTCTCTGTCTTTCCCTCTCTCTTCCACTCTCCCTGAAAAGCCAATGATAAAATATCCTCGGATGAGGATTAACAAAACACACACACAAAAACTGAAACCTTGGTGTAGTAGGTCGATACTTTAATAAACTGAGCTACCTGGCCAGAACCCATTTTTTAAAATTTTATTTATTTTTTTGTCTCCATTAACGGCTCCCCAACCCCAACCCACCTCCCACCACACTCCCTTACCAACCCCTTTTCTTTCTCTTTCCTCGGTTCATTTGCACCCACAGAATACCCAGCCCCCTCAGCCTCGATCCCTGACCTTGGCCTCTTTCCCCAGGGCTTGTCAGTGCCAGGCTGGCTCCGGTATTGGCAGGCTGGCCCCCTACAAAGCCCATCACTTCTGATCCTCCCAGCCTACTCTGTCTGTTCTCATCACATCAGCGGGGTAGTTCACCCATCCAGTCCCTTTTCCCTCCGGACCGGTGCCTCACCCAGCTCCCCTGGGGAATGAAATGGCTGCATGGAAGGTACTTCCGGGAGAGCCCGAAAGCTCTCATCGGAGGCCACCTGACGCTGCTGCCTCGCTATGCCAACCAGAGCCTCCTTTTAAGAGAGATGTGCTTCCCCTACATCCATATTCCTGTCTCTGCATCGGTGACCCCAGTGCCCCAAACACAGAAGTCCTTTCAGTTCCCGCTGGTCCCTTCCCGGCCTCTGGCTCAGGCTCTGCGGGGAGTCAACGTTCTCAGAGAAGGGAACTAGGACTTGAAGACTAAGAGTAAAGGGGAAGGTCAAGAAGGTAAAAATAACACACCGCCCTTCACTGCGAGTCATACAGGAACAAGCCCTAAGACAATGCCCTGGTTGCCTACCTTGGGGCTTACACACCCATGTGCTCGTCTCCCCCTGGAAGCCAAGAGCCACACGACAGGAATCGACTAGGGCTTGGGACAAGCTAGCTATCTAGATCAAGGGCACTGTGGTGGTGTTGGTATATGTAGGGCCGAGGGCATGGGAGTGGGGGTGGGGGTAGTGTCCAGACTAATGGGAACAAGGACACATGGAACAGGCCCAGGGGCTAAAGCAGAGCATCCTCCTCCCA